ACAGCCGCAGGGAGCCGCCGTGTGAGGTGCGAGAGAGACGGCGACAAAACGCTTTGCGCGCGAAGCGGAATCAGTCTGCGCGCCTCCCATTTGTCGCCACTTGCTCCCCTGCCGTGTTGTCATCGCCGCGGTTAGCCGCGCCGCCCCGCTCCGCTCCGCCTCGCCCCCGCCCCGCCGGGCCGACGATATATCGGTCCGCGGGGAGCGGGACGCGGGTCGGGGTTGTCGGGGTTGTCGCCCCATTGTCTTGTGCCGCCGTGCCGCCGCCGCTGCGCTGCGGTCTCTCTCGCACTCCATCGGGCGCTCCATGCCGGTGCGAGAGAGATCGACTAGGCTCGACCCCTGAAGCGCTGCTTTCCGCTCACGAGCAGAAAATTATCGCCCCTTGATGCTGGATGAAGCTGGATTCTGTTGGATGCCGCATGCAAATCGCGTCCACACTCGTCCAGCAGACTGGTTCCGAGAGTCGTTTTCGTCCCTCTGTCGTCTCTCTCGCACTCATGGGGCGTCCTGTAAAGGTGTGAGAGAGCGACGAGAACGAGTCTCAGAATCAGTCTACGACGGTTAGGGTTGAAAATGCCCGGAAAGTTTCCGGAAACATTGGAAAAAAACAGTGTTTTTTTCCGTTTTTTTCCCTGGCCTCGGAAAAATTGGAAAGATAGTCGGGCATTTCGCCTGAAAGTAGGCTAAAAGCATACCTTTATCCCTATGTGAACACGATTCTCAGTGCACTCATACTACTTATACCCTGTTATGATTCCTTCTCGTGCGTTTTTTTTAGATTGCTGTTGTGAATCTCGGGTTGTCAGTATAATTTAAGTTGTAACAAAGCACAAAAATAGTAGATTCCATGATCATAGTGCTTAAAAACTAATTTTTCCTATTTTTCCTTTTTTTTCAAATTTTCTGGTTTTTTTTTTTCAACTTTTCCGGTTTTTTTCCGACCCTTCGAAAGTTTCCGGAAAATTTGCATCTCTAACGACGGTCTACGAGGTCTGAGACGTCCAGGGGAGGGGAGCGAGTTGTGTTGTCGTGTCATTAGTCTCGCTGTCGATGCCGGCCAGCCGATGTCCCGCCGATCGGTGCGGTCGATGCGATTCCGATAAGAGTCGTGCCGTCGCTTCCGTAGGGATGCGAGAGAGACAGAACCACTGCCAAGGGGTGACCCACTGTAAAATTTTGAGTACAATGATTGCGTGAATGTGCAAGAATGTGCAAGATTTATGGCGTTTTTGCCACACATGTCGCCTACTGACAGGCGTTTTTGACACCTGAATGTGGAATGTGGTCAAATTTTGTACAACACTGGTAAAACTGAAGCGTAGTTGTATGCTTGATTCAAGCATACAACTACGCTTGAAGACTTTACGCTTGACGTCAAGCGTGGAGAAGAAATTCTCCCATGCATTTAGATAGGTGGGAGAGGGGCAAAATGGAGAACTATGCTTGAAGCCAAGCGTAGTTCTACTACGCTTGAAGAAAGGCGTAAAACTACGCTTGAGTTCTACCAGTGAACGAATGTGGGAAGCTGCTCCCCCCTCGACCACTGCGCGCTGTCGGCCACCAAGGCGTGCTGCAGGGCGTGCTGGAGGTGCAGGCCATCCCGTCCAGGCCGTCCACACTGTAAATGTCTTACGGTGAAAGGCTGCACCGACATATTATGGCGGAGATTTTCTCCATAATACCAACGAAATTCGTCAAAATATCTATAAGGTAGTGAATTCTGAATGGTATGTTACGAAGTCAGCTGCACCACCATAATATGGAACATTTTCACCATAATTATGGAGAACCTTCACTGTAGAACATTTAGAGTGCAGGCCGTCCAGGTCTGCGTAAACTCTAGATCTGCTCCTCGCACGCGCGGCAGTCCCTTGCCGACGACAGACTCCCTGCCCGAAGGACCCTGCCCGAAGGGTGGGGGAGGGGAAGGGGAAGGGGTTCATCCCGGCTAGGCGTCCCGACGCCCGACCGTCCCGGCGGACAAGAAACCCCAGGAAAATCTTAACATCGCAAACAGGCGCACGCCCGACCCGTCCATGCCTCCGCAGCGCTCCGCAGCCTCCAGCCTGCATGCCGACCAATCGGCTACTCGGCCTTTACACCCGTGCCGACATCCCGACAAAAAAGAAAAAGAGCAGCGGCAACCGGGGGCAATGAAAAAGGTGGGGGCTAGGGGAAAAAAAGAGGAGAGGTAGTAAGCAGGGTTTTGTGTAAATTCCTTGAGCTGTTTGCCATCTTACTCTATCCGTGACTCTTTTATTGTCGTCAATGGTCGTGTAAAGCAGCTACGTGCTAAAAAAAAGGGGAGCAGATGTAATAATACGGTTTTGATTGTGTTGACTGGTAAAACGAGACTATGCTTTACAACAAACACGTTTTTTTAGGGGGGAGGGGGTCGGGGGGCGAGGCCTCACAGTTTTGTGCATGCGAAATTTCTCGTACAAATTTGTACGCAGAGTGGCACAAACTCGTGCAAATGTTCGTACAAATTTGTACAAAAAACGCACATGCGCTAAATTGTGTGAAACCACGAACCAAAAGTGTTCAAAGGAATTAAGTGTGCACGGACTGTACTTACATGAAGGAACCGGGGCAGGTGTACGCGGTTCTGAGCTATAACTTACGCCAAACTGGAGCTAACAAAATGGGTCCAAGTCCAAAACTGTTCAATATCATTTAATGGTCGTCCCCTTATCAACCTTTCTGTCCTGCGCTGAACCAAGGCGGATGTACACGGAGGCTGGCGCGGCGCGGCGTGGTGCGGCGTGGCGTGGTGCGGCGTGGCGGGTCGGCAGCGGGGCCTTATCTGGATTAGCACCTCTCTTTCATGTGGCCGCCATGCAGGCCACGCAGGGCCAGGCCGAGACGAGTGACACGCCAAGCAACAACATCAAAAACAACAAAGTTTCGTATCCGAGAACATTTGATTGCAGTCAATCGGCCTCAACTAGTGACCTTGTAAGATGTCCACGCTTTTCTTCTTTTTCTCTATTTTAATTTGGAGAAACTTTGTTTGGAACGAAGCGGCAGAATCTGCTGCAAGTCGTCGCGAGCGCGCCGTGTGGATGTGTGCGTGTGCTGTGTGCCCACAGACTGTTTACTCAATCTGAATTCCAAGGCAAGCTTGATTCGGGCCTTTCGGGCCCGCTGCGTGCACAATGTGGGCACAATGTGGGCACGGCAGCTCGGCAGCACGGCGTCGGGGCAGACGGTCGGCCACGTCAGCCCCCGTCGTCCTGCCTGCAGACATTTTGGCGCGCTGAACGGGAACTGTAATTTGTGTCTTATCACTCAAAAGTGACGCCGCAGTCCTCCGCTCACTGCGGCCGCGCGGCCCAGCACTGCCACCCATGGAGTCCATGCTGCCACACACTTAACATCTTATGATGGTTTTTATACGTATTACGATGGTTTTTCATCGTAAGGTATGCATAAATTTGCACATACGTAATATGCTCAATTTTTCATCGTATTACGCATGAATTTCATCGTATTACGCATGAATTTCATCGTATTACGCATGAATTTTACTGTAGTACGTTTCAACGTGTTACGATGGCCCTTTGATCATAAGAATCTGAGGGTGCACTAAGGGCGGATCCGGAGCCGGCCTGAGGGAGGGGAAAAACAGCACTTTTTGCCTACTCACGGGGGTAAAGTGTGGCTTTTCCCTATCTAGGGGCCAATCGCCCTTGTGGCCGCCCTCTGCGGACCAGCGCCACGGCCGCGGCTGGTCTAAAACAGAACAGTTCTGGCGCGAGGCGGTGGCCTGAGCCAGGTGCGTGCAGGCTGCGCAGGCCCTTCGCTTTTCTCTGAATCCCGAATCAATCGTATTGGGAAGGACAATATCGGGTGGGTTGTTGGTGGGGTAGCGATAGCGGCGGTTGGTGCTGGCGCTGGTGGAGGCGTGCTGGCGCGGGGCGCAGGGCGGCGCGCAGGGCGGGCGGGGCAGGCAGGGCCCAAACGGGCCTGGGCGCCAGAGGCAGGGCCAGAGGCAAGGCCAGAGGCAAGGCCAGAGGCAAGGCCAGAGGTAAGGCCAGAGGCAAGGCCAGAGGTAAGGCCAGAGGCAAGGCCAGAGGCAAGGCCAGAGGTAAGGCCAGAGGCAAGGCCAGAGGCCTCGTCATTCGTCTCACCCCGCCCAATGCAGAAAGGACGTCGTTGATCGGCGATCAGGCGATCCCTTTGGCGCGGGTCAGCCGCCTCGCACTCGTGTAAATTTTGTCAAAATGTCAGAAACATGTCTGAAATCCTGATCTAAATTCGCGCACCTCTGAAAGCTTGAATTCTGGAAACTTACTCTGACATTGATGGTTTGAGTTCTACAGAATGTCAGGAGATGTTTTCAGCTTTCAGAGGTGCGCGAATTTTGATCAGGTTTTCAGACAGGTCTCTGACATTCTGACAAGATTTACACGAGTGCGTCTCTTCCGGAGACTCGAGTCTTGGCGTGGCCGAGTCTTCGTTACCCCTGTCCCTGCGCCAGCTAGATGCTGCGTTCAATATCTCGCGAGATAATCCTTATCAACGATCAAATAATTTACTGTGCAGCGTAGCGTAGCGTAGGCACTAGGCAGGGCGGGCGAGGACGGATGGTCCAACCGTGGTTGCCGCACTGAAAAACCAAGTGTGGAGAACTCCACTTTTGAAATGCGGAAGTGTGGAATTTGCAGTGTCCGCACCTGCAAGTGCAGAGTTTGCAGTCTCCACGCATGAAGTGAAGACTTGTCCACGTTTGCGCCATGCCACGAGATAACACTGTTATTCAACGAATGTGACATCACATTCGTTAGAATATGCATTTTGTCACGTTCGTTTGACTACGATGTCGCATTCGTTGAATACCAGTGTAGAGGCTCTGTGAGCTACTCCACACGTTTAAGTGTGGAGAATTACTCCGCACCGGGAAGTGTGGAGTTCTCCACGCCGGTTTGAAAGTGTTGCCGCCGCTGTACAGCCCACACCAAAAGTGCTAACGGCGCCCTCCTCTCTGCTTGCAGGCAAAACGCGCACCAAGGACAAGTACCGCGTGGTGTACAGCGACCACCAGCGCCTGGAGCTGGAGAAGGAGTTCCACTACAGTCGGTACATCACCATCCGACGCAAGGCCGAGCTGGCCGCCAGTCTGGGGCTCTCGGAGAGACAGGTAAATACATCCCTCCGCACCACTGCGGGGCATATAGTAAATGGTGCACGCGGGCATCTATGAGCGCGTAATTACACTTTTGGCATTAACGTTATTTCTGCATGTCGTAAACGGCTTGAGATCCTATTCATAAAAGGAATTGGTTCATAGGGCAACCCCATCTAAAATTCAATTCAAGACGCGGGCTCATCCTCGCCTGAGTTTGGTGCCCTGCTCATGAGTCCATTTGCATGTGGTGTGGCCTTCAAGCCGCCAAGCAGCGTGGCTCCGATAGCATGCGGACGGCGTGCGTCCTCCCGCACCCGTCCCGTGTGCCTTCATGGCCCCGTCCGTGCCGGCTGGCTGTGCCTTCATGGCTGTGCCTAGGCTGTGCCCACACGGCGGCCATGAGCGCGGCGGAGCGGCAACGTGGATGGCGGCAGGGCGGCATGCCTAGCCTTCCCTCTCAGAGATAAGACCATCGCGGCACCAGGCGTGGTGGGGCGGGGCGGGGCGGGGCGGGGCGGCGTGGTGGGAGCGACGAGGGCGGGGCAACAGAGCAGAGGGAGCGGGCCCCGAGGAAACTCAAGCCTGCCAGAGCTCCGCCCACCGGGACTTCCCCCTCCACGCCTGCGGTTGCAGTGTGGGGGAGGGGAGGGGCGCTTGGTCAAGGCTGGCTGGACTCGATTCAAGTGTCGGCTCTGACGGAACATGGGGCACATTTAGAAAGACTTTGATCACGAACATGGCTGGCTCGGGCTACAGATGATGGACACTGGGGTTCTCTCCTTGGCCGCGCCAATGCTAACGCGCTTTCCTTTTTGCCTGTCCAGGTCAAGATCTGGTTCCAAAACCGGCGCGCCAAAGAGCGGAAGCAGACCAAGAAGCGCGAGGAGCTGGACCACAAGGTGAAGCTGGAGGACCTGCAGCCGGGCCTGACGGGGGGCCCAGTGCACCAGGGCCTGACGGGCCTGCCGGGCGTGCCGGGCCTGACCCACCAATCCCACCATCAGCACCACAGCCACCACCTGCACCACCAGCTGCACCACCACCACCAGCTGCACCACGCCCACCACCACCACGGCGCCACCACCCCGACCACGACCAGCCCGCTGCCGCTTCCCCTGCCGCACGCACACGGGGGCGGCACGGGGCACGCCGGCCTGGTGCACCACCATATGCTGGCCGCGGCGGGCGGCAGCACGGGGGGCGGCACGGGGGGCGGCACGGCGACGGCGCAGGGCCCCTCCAGCCGCACCAGCGGGGCGGGCAACGGCGGCAACGGCTCCAACGGGGGCAGCAGCGGCGCCCTGGTGTCGCTGTCGTCGCCCACCTCCAACAACCCCGGCGGCAGCGCGGCCACCTCGGGGACGTCTTCCGGGGGCGGCGGCGGCGGCATCATGTGACCCATGACAGAGCCTGGAGGCGACGATGCCTTGGTGGGCTGGTGACCCGCCCAGGCCACTCAGGCCCGCCTCCAGCTCAGGCGCTCGGCGATGCCCCCACGTCGAGCCCCGTGCGGGGCACCGTGCGGGGCACCGTGCCATATCCCGGCCCACCTCGGCCTGCCCAAGCCTTCCTCCGGTCGACTAGCAGTGCCGCTTGACCAGCAGGGAACAGCGTTCAAGGGTGTAGGCTGGGTGTCAGGCCAGACTGCTGTCGAGGCAACCTGAAAAGACTTCTGTAGTTATTTCTCCGGGCTCCAGGCCGTTCTAGCTCAAAAGACAAAAGACAGCTTCGGGCGCTCGTGCGTGATTCGGGAAGATTGCAGTGACGTGGCTGTCACTGGCCGTTCAATGTGCTAAGCTGCGACGCTGCGCCCGCTGCGCTGGGTTTGGGCGGGTTCGCAGCGCCGCCCTAGAGGCCGCCCCTACCCTACAGTGCAGGCTGCGCAGGCAGGGACTGCGCCGGACTGCGCAAGCGGCGCAAGTGTAGTCGACTAGAATACAGCTCCCACCTCAGGTGTGTTTCCGTCCATCCGTTCTAATTATTAATTTAATTTAACGTAGTTGTGCCCAGAACAATAATTGCTAGTTAAGGCGTGCAGACACGTGAGGTTCTCGATGGTCATTCCCCGTCTCGACACCATGCCCTTCGGCCCCGCGGCCGTTGAGGCGATGCCGCAACGCACCAACGCGCCAACGCGCCCACCAAGTCCACGCAGTGTGCGCCCAAAGCTTCCTGTGCAATTCTTCTCGTAATTAAAAAAATGAATAATAATTTAAGATTTGTAAATGATATGTGTGTAACTTTACAATGAACCATTCCTTGGTCCATGGAGCGGTTACTCTGTGATCGGATTGACATTATTTAACCCCCGTCACTAGACTACAAGACCCTTGTTGACAACCTAGTAAGATTTCGTTTTAAATGTGAAAAGATGAATGCTGTGACATGAAACTTCAGGTTTCTTCTTATTGTATAGTTCTAGCTTTCGTGTGCCTTTCTCAAAACCCTTTTTTCTTGTGGTCTTGTAGCTTTAGAATGCTCAAATTTTTGCACCCATGCTTTAAAAAACAATTTTGTATTGGGTTGTCTTCTTTTTCTACACCCATACAATGTAGAACTCACAGTATTATTCCAAGTTTCAAATTTTATGCTTAAGGCTAATGTTGATGTTGTATGTGGCGTATTGTTCAGTTAAATATGAAAATATATGTATATGGATATGATATATATACGAATTTATGATATAAATATTATTATTAAAATATTATTTCGCTGGAAATCCTGGTTTTATTTTTTCCGTGGCACGAATGTTGCGTGTGCAATCGCTGGTGCAATCCTGATCTAATGCCCTCTTTGGGCACCCAACTTGTTCCGGTTTTGTCCACGACCCCTGGCCATGCCCTATCGGCGGGGCGGGGCGAGACGGGCCGGGACGGGCCGGGCAAGGGAAGAAAGCCGTCAAGTGTTCCCGCGGGAGCCATTCTGAGTCGAGTCGTAGAGGGAAGACGGGAGTGCAGTGGCGGTGGGGGAAAGGGGGAGGGCACAGGCTTACATAGTGTCTAGTAGTATCTAGGACTGACTGACTCCGGCGAACGCCAGCAAGTAGAAAGAAAGGAGCTTAGCACAATTCCAGTCCTGCAGAAAAATTAAATTTATTTTTTCTTCTGCGAAATAGGGGTACACTGCAACTTGAAACGACAGCTTGCAAGTCACATATAAATGAACAGGACATAAAGGGAGCAGGTAATGTATCACTTTGTTCTCAGGGCGAACGAACAGGACTTAAAATGTAATAATTACCGACAATAAAATTAATTTAACAACGTTAAGTCACATGATAGATTTGCAGACCTCGTAACTAATTCCCTCAACTTAAAACCAGAAAATTACAAAGTTTACAACACAGCAAATAAACGTTTTTGCAAATATGCATAGTATGTACAAAAGTTAAAAAATAAAAACTTTGATGCACCCCTCAGAAAGTAATAAGCAGATATATATAGCAGCTTCTTAAGAGAAAAATATAACACAAAGAAGATTCGAGACGATTAAAAGCTATGCAGAATACTCTAATCCATCAAATCAATTGATGACTATAGGCATAGAAAAATTCTTAGCAAGTAAAGTAGAGGCTTCATTCAGTTATGTTCCTAGACACAAATATAAGAAAACAAAAGAGGGAGACGAATTTTCTGAAAACACAAATCAGCAAGAAGAAATTAATTGTGTTTATGATGGCACTAAAATATTGCAGTGCCAATGTGTGTAGATGTCTATGTTTGATCATACTTCGTCCAAAGAAGCAGGAGGTGACAACTACATAGAGAACTTTAAAACAATGAAGAATCTATGTAGGCAAAAAGTATTACTGCCAACATCAGGTATTTGGTATTCAGACAAAAAGTGAGTACGCTCCTTGGATCATAAGGACACCGGGACACATATCACTCCCTTGACCCACAATCAACAATAAATCAGAGTTGGACAAGGTAAGATGGTCAAATTTCATGACAAGCAAAGTAAATAATAAAAAAGTAAGTCAAGTTCACTTCACACATGTTACAAAATCTTGCTTCATAGAGAAAACATTCATAAAATATTTTATAATTATGTACACAACTATGGGAACACGAAAGGTAACTGTTTAACATATCTAGATTAGATCACAATGGGCAAAGTACCAACACATCCTTAAGACAACAAATTAACACTATATGTAATTGGGGGGTCCGGAAGTTGCATTGCATTTTTCAATTTAAGACGTAGTTTGTGTCTTGCCTTATTTCTGTGGTTATGTTTGTTAAAAATACAGTTTAAAAACAAAACAAAAAACAGAAACAAATTGATTTGTGGTCGAAATAACAGCAGCTCAGTCTAAGTGCTGATACAAGAAGAAGACGAAATACAGTGGCACAAAGTACGTAAATAAACTGACTCTATACAGATTATAGGTGACAAGAAACTTCCAGTAACATCCTGCATGCAGAACACATAAGTTACACGTCATAGAGCCATCCCAAGACATAACAATTCACAGGAACCTTCAATACTTTTCACTTGTGAAGCCTTGCTCTAGTATGCAAGGAAGATCCAGGTACAAAATCACTGCTCATGGTCAACAGGAAGACAGATAAAAATAAAAGAATTTCACAGGAAGTTATTTTGATTTGTTATAAAAATAAATTTTACTCTTCAATGAGAGACAGCAATACTTGTGCGCAAGTCACAAAATCACATAAAAGTTTAACTTAATCTGTGAGCAAAAGAACGATCACTAACAATAAAAACGCATATTAACTGCTAATAAAGAAGAGAATAATTATACTTTAATTTTGTGCAGCTGCTTCTAAGCACACCGGTAAGAAGATATTATGCCTCAACACCGCAAGATTTAGAACAGAAAGAAAGCATCAGATAAAAAAATGCACAGAAAAGAACAGAAGAAAAACACCAAAACAATGTCTAAGTTAATAAAAGAAAGGCAATGAACTAGCCTAATTTTCTATTGGTAAAAAGCAGCATACCAATACATCAAACATTTTGCCTCTAATTTAGCATGGCCAACCATTACTTTGAAGCACAGAGTGCTCCTGAGCCACCGCTGCAAGTTCTTTCAACCACTCATCTAAAATAACAGCGCAAAGAACTGCATTACGAACATAATGTTCTCGATCACTGTTATTTTGACCTGAATCTGTTATGGCTCGATGATAATACCTGGAAAGTAAATTAATATGATGCCATTGAAGTCAATAAAACAGGAAATTCAAACGAGACTATAAAAATACCAGACAAACCTGTATGAACCAGTCTCTCCAACACTTTCCAGTTGTTCCCTAATAGGCTGTGCTACTTGCACAGCTCTTCGGAAAACGGAGGTCAACGTTGATGAGAAACTTCTCCGTTTGCTATCCACTGAACAGGAATAAAAAGATATAATGTATTATACAGAGCAGTTGCCTTAGGTTTAAAACCATGACATTTCCTTACCTCTTGGAAAGGGATCATTTGTCAGAGAATTTCTATGATTAAGGTTGGGAGGCAAAGAAGTGAACTCTATGTCTCCGCCGGGAGCAGATGCTACAAGAGCCAACCTTCGTGCGTTTGTTAGTCTATCTTCTCTTCCAACAAGGTATTCTTGAGCTTCAACAACTAGCTCTTGAATATTTGGTAATGAGGAAAGAACTCTGTCAATGCGGTGCTTCAAAGTACCCAATACCTAGGCAAGAAAACAAAAGATCATTTTCATTTCTTTTCTATAGTTAATTGAAGTTTAACCATATTTTTTCCATTGAGAATTACTTTTTTTATTGAGCAAATACGGGTCTGTACAGACACAAAATACAGCTAGTTTTGAATAATGGTGGCATACTACAGAATTTGGTTTTCATGAAGAATTGTACAATTATGAAAAATCTAAAATATTGATGACAATATCTAAATGTTGATACACAAGCAAACTCAGAAAGGCACTAGATTTGTTTCCTAGTTAAATGAGCATACTAGTCTCTGTGATATACACACCACGTTGAACTAATTTCTACCTGTACACACCTGGAAGAGGGATCGAACGCTTGGCTGTGTGACAAGAGTATGATCAAGCAGAAATGAACGCAGTAGAGGCTGAGGATGTACTGCAAGACGAGATATGAGCCCTGTAAGTTGTAAATTGACAACAAGTCCATTTTCAAGCATGCCTTCTAATTTTCGAAGAACAGCATCTAGAAAGGGGCCTGGAAACATATAAATATAAAATTAAAAATAAATTGGTAGCCTGAGACCAATTGAGTGACACAGCTGCTAATAGCATAATATATTTACCAATACTTGGAGTGCTCTTGAATGCATCCATATATGAACCCTCATGTACACTCTTGGTATCCGGTAAACTTCTCAAGACTGGAACCTGAGGTGTAGAAGATTTAGATACTTCATTTTCAGATAAAGATGGAGGTATGCCATCATCTAATGTTCCAGCTGTGTCATCAGAAGGTTCATTTTCTGGAGATGAATCTGATGAGCCTTTAAAAGCAAAGCTCTCATATCCACTGCTTTCACCAACTGAAGGTAAGCTGTGGTCATTTCCTGAAGATGATTGAGATTTTTCTTCACGGTTAATGGTGAGATTGTCTGCTTTAAGAGAGTTTGAGACATCATTTTCTTCAGAGTTTTCACTTAGCTCGTTTACATTTGGCCTTACAAAACGATTTTGGGGAGATGAAAATTCTTGTAAATTAACTGTTTCTAAACTAGACGAAACATCGGAGTCACCATTCAAAGAAACTTGCTTGTTGTCATTTCTACTTGTGGACTCCACTCTCTTTTCAGGAGAGGGTACTGAAAATGCTTCATACGGTGGAGTTTCACCATCATAAGGATAAACCCAGTTGGCACAAGAAGCAGCACATGCTTGAACTTTGGCCCGTGCATCACAAAGGTAGGCATGGTAATTTCCATAGAGACTTTCACTGTGTTTTAAGCCATACAAGCTCGTAGTTGTTGGGAGAGATGAAATTGAATCACAAGAAGATGATGATCTAGGCCTGGCAAAGTAAAACTTAATATTAAACAGTAAAAAGATATCAAAATAGCACATCCAGAGGCTGGGCTTCTCTTACCGGTTTCCTGCATTAGGGCTACCTAGCAAGGGCAATAAGGGAGGATTTGCCGCAATATCAGTACAACACAATGGAGCAAGAGAGAGAAAGCGCTCAGCATTGCGGCAATATGGATCTCTTTCCCGCACCCTGCGTCTTTGTGAAACCATAACATGTGAACAAGGCACAAGATGGCGGAAAATTAGTTCCAGCATTACATCTTCACAATGTAAGCTAACTAATGTGTCTAATAAAGATAGGGTTACTAAGCCAAGCTGTAAACCGAAAATTAAACACAATATTAGTTCAAGATTAAACATTGTGAAAAGACATTTGAAGATGACAAATATCAAAATAATACTGATAACTGTGCACAGAACATACCCTTGTTTTAGAATTTACTCGTTGAACTAAGTGATCTAAAATACGCTCCCCGTCAAATTTGTTTTCCAAGAGGAACCGAACAAATGAGCATAGAAGGCCTGGCTCAGACACACTTCGCAGGAAGAGCTCTAAGTATGCCGTTGCAGCAACGAGATCTTCCACTGTATTCTGAAGAAGAAAAAATAGACCATTATGGTAACATAACAGAGATATTGGGCAAACCTGTGTAATACTCAAGTTAGTCCGGGTACAGCAACTCATCTCTTCAAGACTCATACTCAAACTCATCTTCCATGCATCCATGCAAAACACTCATCCCAAACATGCATTAAATAAATCCTAAAAGCTAAGAAGATTGGCAGTTACATTAAGAAACATTCATGTTGAAGTTAAATTACAAATAACTGAAATTAGAAATGGTTTTAAGATTAACTATAATATTCTACAAGCAACATTGATAATCAGACAGCAAGTTTAAAGACAATAGGCAGGCTCCCATACCCATTGCTAAGAACTAATAACTAATGAATGATTCCATACCCATGCATCCGCAAGACCAGACTGCAGCATGTAATGTAAAATAAGGTTTGATTACTCCTCTAAGTAAAATAGAAAAACAAAACCTTGCAACCATGAAGGGAGGGACTGTAAAAAAAATACACCTTGATTACTTAGTTAGTGAGTGGGGCATGTGGACACATATATCGCAACAACACAACCTTTTCCTCTCCTTCAAAGCAGAAATAAAAACTAATCCACTAAATACAGGAGTTAGCAGAAATCAAACAATCATGCATAAGGAGGTTTTATAAAAAGTAAATTCACAAGAGTTTTGATAGTAAAATAAATTCATACTGCCATGGCATTTACGAAATGAGGACATAATAGAGCCGAGGGATGCAGGCACAAAGGCTTATTGGTACTGACCGCATCAAGGGCTGTGTCTATTTGCTCGTCGCACAGTCCAACAGATTCCTGCATGTAAAGCACCATCCAACAGAGAAACAAAAGCACATCTTAGAACAGTTGAAGCTCTTCCACACCAGACAAGACACCTCATCACAGAAGACATTCCGACACCACAGCAGACCTCTTGGTTTTCTCCTGTTTTTGGAATTCAATGTAGTGACATCCAAATGTATAACCGGAGAAGTCAAAAGTCAAAACAATCAGCTGAAAAACTAACAGTGAATAAGCTTGTCAAATTTTCAGCTCTTCCCATGGCACATTTATTGACATCAAATATCTTTTCTATCATTTTTCCTACAGAATTCAATGAAATTCAAATTGAAAACAAAAAAAAGGGAGCTCAATAACTGAGTAGTTATAGGTCATGTGAACAATCCATAATGCAGAACACAAATAGAAATTCACTAGTCACTTTCACTCACACAAGCCAGTGTTTGTTCAAACAATGAAGGATAAAATGGAACTTGAAAATGAAACTAAAATAAGTTTTGTCAAAAACTTCAAAATCCAAGGAACAGAGGTTTAAAGCCCATGAGTTTTCCAACACCGTTGGCCACTGGCCTCAGATTAGCCTCCACCAACATGCCTGTCATCTCATTCACTCAATCATTTGTTGGTTTACAAGATATGTACAAATTTCATGGAAAATTTAATAAACAATACGTAAGAGATTACTTTAGTCAAGAAGATACAGTACTTAACACATAAATAATAATTTTAAAAAAATATAGGAAAAAGAACAATATTGCTGGTTTAGTTTACCTGTAGCAAGGCTGGTCCCATTACAGGAACAAGAAAGCCTTGGTAGAGAAATTCCAGCATCTGGCTTTTAATACTTGGGTGAGCATCCTGAACAACGGCATTGCAGAACTCCAGAGAGTTCATGAAAGCTCCAAGCTCTGGGAGGTCAGTGACATCATCAGGCGTTAGCTGATGCCAGTCATCACCTTCCACAAGGAGTTTCCTCGGCAGGAGGGAGTACAGGCCACTAAGACCAGTGGCTAATACCTGTTCAGATACACAAAGCATGTGGTATCACTAACCACACAGATACTGAGAGCAGGGTTATTTCAACATATCTCAGAGATACTCACTGGACAGACATTAGAATGCTGTGTTATATATTGAGCAACATGTTCATTTTTCTTTGACAGCGACATGCAGAGAAGTAATGCATGCCTTGCCTGCTGTCCAATGCCTTCCTCACGGTGAACAAATGGTATTAGAAGTGAAAATAACATAAAGCTGCAAATAACATAAAATATTATTTTCTAACTACATACACTTGCAATACTATCCCACTGGGGAGGGGTCTAAGTTTACATCCAAGCTGCAAAGGCTCATGGACTGGCAATCGCAAATGGCAGGAGATAAAGACCACAGGACATTTATCAATGGCTCATGGCAAATCAGACCTAACATAAGGATTGTGTTGCTCTCCCCACACAAGGGATTTTGGCAAAAGCTACATGCAGGCATTTTAATAACTTACTCTGTTTTTCCATGTTCTACAGAAAAGAACAAGTCTAGAAGTTGTACATTTTGCATCAAGGAGATACAAAGCTGGTTCAATAAAACAACAAGCTTCTTTTCAACTTCCAAAGGAAATACTTCCCTTGCACTTGAAGAAAGAAGCTCTAGTAATGGTCTGAGAAAAGGTTCATGAGAAAGCAATTGGTGTCGAGAATGGCTTACAAGATGTTCATAGAGTTTTAGTTGTGTTAGCCTCACAGCATTGCTGTATCTGTTAAAACAAAACCAAAACAGAAATATGAGTCACCAATGGAAGAAAACATCCCACAAAAACATGCAAATAGAACAAAACTCTTCACCTTCCAGTGATTTTACTCCAGGTGAATAGTTTCTCCAACAGATTTTCACTCAGGAGGAATTCCAGGGATGGACAAGATGCACTGGATTCTGAACCAGTGGAAGAGTTTGTGTCATGAGGGCCAATAGGAAAACTCCCTGCTGCTCTTAATTCCAACAACAGTAGAGTTGACATGTGGTCCAGGTGGTTGTCAACCCCAAGCACATCATCTTGAGTTAAAGACGTTGGAGTTGCCTTAAATAGCGAAAACACGAAAACAATAACTAGCTAGTAATAGTACTAACTTCTAGTAAACAGAATAACATTCATGCTAAGATCTTGAGCATACCTGAGTACGCTCAATTATGTCATTAGCTTGTTGCCAGTGTTTACGGAAACTTTCAAAACATGCAGTAGGGTCGGCATCTTTGGGTGGAGACACTCTTCGCCTGTTAAAGCTCGCACGAAGCGAGTTAACATTCCTTAATAAACTCATCTCTCTTTAAGATACACCATACCCACCTGAAAAACAGTTAAATATTAACAATTAAAACAAATTATGACAGGAAATCCTTAATGAAATATGTTCAACAGCAAAACATAATCATGGCCATGTACTCAATACGCTAAAATGCTGCACTCCCAGTAAGGCTCCTACAGCACATCTATCTTGTCAAATCGAGAGGATCAATCAAATATAAGAACGAATTGGAGCAAACAACAAAACATGAGAAGGAAAACCTAAGGTTGAGTGACTGCACTAAGTTATTACAGCTGTTCATCAATATAATGATCAGATTGCGCGCTAAGCGAAATTGAGAGTTCATACTAACAGTTCACTATATGAATCGAGCGGCAGAAACGTTTCTCCCTTAGAAAACAGTGACATCTTTCACTTCGGAGCATCAAATGAAGGTGCGACGTCACTGAAGTCCTGAAGTACAACTGTTATGTGAATGAGGTTAAGTACTACAGTGACAGCCGCAAAACAACTTACGTGAGGAAAATACATTCATGTCTGGACGGCACCACCCTACTGATAGTGGAAACAGGTGACGCAGAGGTACGTGTTGATAAGACCATATCATATCTCTACCACATCCATGATGATGGGATTAGAAAATAATGAAAACCAACATCAAAATAAGCAGGAGCCTTCTCGAAATCACTCGCAGCGAGAGCTCGAGTGTCTTCCGGGCTCGCCAACACTCAAGTTTCGTACAAGTCAATAACCAATCAACTCTTGTGAATCGTACAAAACTTACGACAATACAAAAAAATAAGCAAATTAATTTGATAAAAATATTAGATCAGCAATAAAAACCATGAACCTTTTTTTAAAATATTACTAATTAATTTCTTATTTGAGCGTCTTGGCGCTGCAATCACTGTCATTCATTCGAATAGGAGCGGGAGCGATGAAATTCGGAGAGCTGCCCTCTGATCTCATCACTGTATCCACAAGCTCAGTATCAGCGGAGCGGCATCTCCGGGTAGCAGTTGGTATTTTTAAAATTGCAGCAGTCGTTTGAATTGAACAGCGTTGTTCCAAAGTTCATCAGAATGTTTGTTTATTTAGAACGTGACCCAACCCATGTGAATAGTGCCGCCCAAAAACAATGCAGAGAGCCGGCTCATGTGCTCTGTTTCAGTAGTGTTGAGCTCCAATGGCTGTTTAAGAGTGGACTTCATTGCAATGGGAAGACACTGCACTACACAACACGACACGGGCCAGGTTGCTCATTAAAAAGGAGTGTTCTCAATAATACACAAACTAAGCTAGCTCAACCAACAGCTGAGCAATTTATTTTTTCCAGGAAGATTACAAAAGTGTTCGTCTCAAGACTTTGCTTCCTTTAGAAATTATTTAATTGTAATTCAGTCATCATCAGCTGACATATACATAGCTGCATTTCTTCTTTTAAACTTCTTGGCCATTGGGCCTTGACTACCTAAATTGAAAAAAACAAACAACAGCATAAGGTTTTTTTATCCCCCATGTCAAACCATTGTTAAGGTATTTTGATCTTTTGTCTCACCTAGGTCTTCCACACCAAGTCCTGAAGGCACCCTTGACTCAATAATTGGATTGTTAGCAGATGGTTCTGAATCTAATATTTTCTCCTGGTTTTCTGACTGAGAAAAATTATCTTCTGATGTGGTTGAGTTTATCACTGGTGTGTTTTCTGAGCTATCTGATGCTGGTGTTTCATAGGACATCTTAGGGCTAGGTAGCTTGAGTCCCTGTAGCCTTGGTTTTGGGGCTAGGCACTCATTAGAACCAGTGCTCACACTTTTATCCTCAGATAAATCATTATTCTAAAAGAGAAAATTAAGTAGAAAGAAAAACTATGCAAAGAACAGGAAGAAAATTGTAACAAACATTAAAGTTTGTGGAGAATTCTGTGAACTCACTGGATGTATGGGATCTTGAATACTTGAAACAGATCCATAGCTCGAAGGATATTTTCCCTCACCTTGCAACAAAAGTGCTATGGGATCATCAATGCCTAGACGGTCACAGAATGCCATAGTTTGGGGATTTACCCGTGCAGCAGGTTGTTTATTACCTTGAGCAACAAATAATAATAAAAACAATATTAGAAATGATTGGGCAAGTCTGTGCAAGAAAAGTAATAATTAGAATGAAACTCCTATCTTACCAGACCGGTCAGAAGAACTATATGCTTGCACAGTTTGACTGAAGTTTAAAGGTATTTTAAGATTTCCTGAGAATTTTTTGAAAACAAAGTCCATCTCTTCTTTTGTAGGTGTAAACTTCCACCTGCAAAAATATATTTATCTAAGTATAGGTAGTTTGTTCATTCCTGTCAATAGAAAGAGCATGAAGTAAAATCATTAAAATTAGACTTTACCTTTCTTTGCTCCCTGGCCCTGGCATATAATTAAAAGACTGTTTAATAGACAGGAGATGATTTGTAAGTGACAATATTGTCAACCATTCCAAATCATACTCTAGAGTAATTTCTTTATCTTCTTGATGTGCTATGTCCAAAATTTGTAAGAATCTTCTATTTGGAAGGCATTTGTCAAGGGCTAGGAATTTTGTTGATTTGGAAGGAGAATCATCTTCCTAGAATTACAATTAACTCTTTAGAGGGAAGTTACAGATGATAATGCATGCAAGTGGAGTATTGACTGACAGAAATATGACGGATGAGGGCAGAGAACTTGCAGTGCAAGTGAGCAGAAAACCAGTATGAAGGTTTTAGGTGATGAAGTAGTTCCTCTGTGGGTTGGCTGCCTAGGCTATTGCTTTTGATTTCATCCCTGAAGAAAAGTGAAGTAAATTAAATAATCTTTTTCTGAAGTTACAAGTTAACAGATGGAAGTAATTTCTATTGTGCTTACTGGAAGAATGGTTTGAATCTGAGGAGCTGCCTGAGATTGCCATGGTGATACACTCCACGGGGCCAATCATGGGAGAGAGCAATATCAAGGCCTCCAGAGAGCTGAAAAAATTAAAAAAAAAATCAACCACTAGCAGTTGTAATTTGAGACAGTAAAATGTCAAATCAAGAAGAAAATGCAAGTTCATCAACCCTTTGGAGAGAGGCAGAAAAACACATACCTGCTTGAGGCGGAATACATCCAGATTGCGAATGTGGTACACACTTCTAATTGTGTTGGTGGAAAAGGGGGCTTTTTCAAAATGGCCCATTTTATAATCTCGGCCCTTAAAAATACCAGATAAACCAGCAATACGGACTCCAGCAATTTGAACAACCCCTGCGTAGCCCAGGTAGAAAATGTTGGGGGCCACCCATCCTCCGTAAGCCAGCTCACTTAGGTAATTTGAGGCTTCATGATTTCCTCCAATGAATATTGTCAGAATGGGAGCCTGTTTCTCACCAGAGTAGTACCTAAAACAAAATAAAAGTGTCAAGTTAGGCTAATTTAAATGAGAAAAGAAAAACCACAACGATGGAGAGCATCACAGCGATTCAAGAACTCACTTATAAAAGGTACAAATATCGCGATACTTCTGCGGAACAGCCATACAATTTAGGTCTTGCGTGTTTCTGGTGGACTAAACAGAACGGTCAGACAGCACTTTCATACAACACTTCGATTTAAATGGTGATGGATTGCCTGCCCACCTGGAAATCTCCACAACAAATAAGTAGATCAATTTTAACTCCATCTTTCTCTTCTAAAAATGCAATTGTATCATAGATTTTTTCCAGCTCCCCGTGAGCGCAACCTTCAACAGCTATCTTCATTTTCTTTCAGTCAATTCTAACAACTTCTCGGACTAACCTATTTTGAAACTTAAAATAACTTTCTGCTGCCGAAATACCAAACACAAACAGGCACTGCTGCCAACGCCAACAGTTCTCATTTTTCAACTTTTAGAAAACTGACAACAGACTGACACAAACAAAGAACGCCCTTAAGGCCCTTGGGACAAAAAAGTACCGTAAAAATAAATTTAACTTCATACATGTGTGTGAATATTTTGATTGTGAATGATTTGGATTTGGTTTTAAAGTCTTAAGTTCGGAAGGGAAGGGTGGAAGGGTGGAGGGAGGAAGCGGAAGGGGAAAGGGGCGGGTATTCCAAAATGTCTCTGTCGACAAACAATGCATTGAATCTTCTATCGGCCTACGACTCAAGTAGCGATGGAAGTGAAGAAGAAATTCCAGGGCCTAAAGTGTCAGTCAAGAGACCTTTGCCAAATTGCGCTGAATCAGGAAACTGTTTTCAGAACAAGAAGCTCGCTACCAATGATATTAGGAGGTAAGTGCCTACTTAACCTTACTGCAACCGAAATAGCCGTGTTTGAAGTATTTTGTAATCCTTTCGAACCAAAAGATTGCCTCCTTAATTGTTTTCCTTAACCGAGTAAAACACCCAAATTTTTATTGAAAAAACACTTTTTATGTAATGCCATTTTGGATTTCAGGCTGCCACCACCAACTGCCCTGCTAGAGTTATTCAAGGACGACATTCCTGACCAGGTAAAAGATTCAGAAGCAGATCATAGTGGACGTGTCAGATCTTTTCCTCACGAAAGAGGAAATTGGGCATCTTATGTCTATATATCTGTCGGTAAGTTTCACCTGTTCCTAGATACGGAGTAAAATGCTTCAGAGTTGTACATTGTGATTAAGTTTGACAGATGCATCTTCATCAATTGAATCATTTATCGATCTGGTCTGTACAACGTGCGATCCATCTCTAAATCTGCAGAGATCAAATGATCTGCACATTAGTGTGACCAAAACAGTCATTCTCAAACATCATTGGATTGACTCCATATCATCATCCATTCAAGACATTGCGTGCTCAGTTAAAAGGTAATTTATGCCCTATTACGTTTAGTAAATCTTCTTTCGTGATTTATCTTTGTGTCTTTTTGCTTGTAAAATTTTGTTTTCTTATTAATCTTAACTTTAGATTTCCAATTTGTTTGGGAGATATAAGAGTGTATACAAATGAGGAACAAACTCGAACATTCATCGGTATCGTCGTAACAGCCGGGAAAGAAAATTTAACAAAATTAGTTGCCAGGTTGGATCAAGTTCTTTCAGATTTTAGGCTGCCTCCTTTTTATGAGGTAATTAAATCCATTGTCCCACTTCGGTGGATTAGAACTACTTGATAGAAAAAAATTTGCATATTGATAATTTTTTGAATTTTTCAGGAGGCATCATTCCATCTAAGCATTGCTTCATGTGTTGGTAATCATATTAATAGTCTGAAATCTCACTTGCCCAAACTTCAGACTTCTCTTGAAATGTTTATTCATGGCCACCCATTAGAATGGGGCATCAATGTAGAGGCACTGCATTTCAGAACTGGCAACAAGTACTTTTCATTTAAATTAATGTATTAACAATAAAAGCTATTTACTTCATCATTTTTTTGCATCAAGCACGTTTACTTTCCTCATATAAAATTAATTCAAAACAAAAGGTTATTTTTCTTCATCTTATTGAAGCTGAAATGACAACATGACTCGGCTATGTTTTCATGTCGAACTGCTAATGAAGTTAATGCAGTCACAAAACTGATGAAGAGTGTCAGTGGGCCAAGCCTTCCACACCTACACCACAAGTACAACAGTGCTGCCTGTTGATCCACGATTGAAATTGAAATGCGGACCGCCTCGCGCCAGGGTGGACCTTCGCAGCCGGGCAGACGCACGGGACGAACGGGATGCGCGATTCCCCGTTGGATAGAAGGACGGCCGACAAGATTCCTGGCAGGCCAACACTTCCTCTCGTTCCAAGATAACCCTCATTTCCCCCTTCTCATTTTCACCTTCATGACGATCTGTCACAAAGGATTGAGAAAGAATAACACGATTTGGAAGGAGGCTAATAGGGAGATTATTGCGTTGAGTGACTTGGGCTCATGGCCCGGCCTGGGAGAGCAAGAGAGAGAGTGGCAGAAAGTGGGAGAAAGAGAGAGATGAAGAGAGAGGAGTCGATATTCAACATGGCGCAGTTCATGGATGTAAAGGTGAAGAATTACCTGTGAAATCCAGTGAAAACAACTCATCAGAAAGATGGGGACTCAAAAGCCTCAGGAATGGGTTTCTTCGTTGCTGACGCGGTTCGAAGAGCAGGTATGGTCCTAAACAAGATCTGGTTGGCGGGGTTAGCGCTGGGCTAGGCAGGGGACCTGTCAAGAAAAATCAATAACACTCCATTCAAGGATTGGGCTGGGCTGGCCGGATGTGAAAATGGGCCTGTGGCCGTACTCATTCGTGGTTGTTCATGAATGACATCTCAATAACAATGATGAAAACTCTGGGAAAATCGCATTGCTGCGGACCAAATGGGTATTTTCAACTTTTCCCCACTTATCCCCTTTCACGCAGACAGCCTACCCCAGCTGGGTCCCTGTTCTGTCATCAATATGTCACAACTAGAAGTTGTATAGATAGTAATTTTTGACAACCAAATGCATTGGAACACACTGTTCTCCTTCTGCTTAATTGTTTTTAATCACGACATATGTTTCAGCTGCCATGCCGAACTATGCCTCAGAACACGCACTCGAGAATAAATGAGGAGCAGAATAAAAAAGCTTTGATCGAAATAAGTAGACACAGATTCTTCCTTGTGATATCTGGTCTTACTAAATGTTTGCAGAGAGTAAACGAAATGGTAATGGTTTTAAAATTTAATTGATTGTCTTTTGGGATTGGAGGTCATTTTTTGTCAAAATGAGTTGTTTATTTCATGTTTCTGCTTGTTTAGTGTCAAAATGTGACCCAAGGTACAAGACCTCATGGACCTGACATCGAGCGCAATTGTTACGAGAGTTTACTCATTGTGCTAGATACCCTTGAAAGATGTCTCAGCAACCAGCCTAAGGACATCAAAGACAACACAAGATTTGATGACAACATGAACGTAAAGTTGCTACTTCGTGAGATATGCCAGTTCATAGGTGAATAATTTCTTATTCTGGTTTTGTCCTTTTAAAAAGTTATTTTGTATTCATATGTTAGTAACTGTTTCTTCCTTTCTCTTCCCAGCAATGGGGAAGATAACTACCCTTCAATCAACACTGATTGTTACAGATACATCTGATGGGCCCTATGCCTTGCAGCTGAGAAATCTTGCCTCTAAGGTGCTCTTTGCCCTGAGTCTCAATTTTTTCCAAGCTGTCTTTAATCGTATTTCATCAAGGTATGCACAATTATCATGAAAATAATAACAATTTTCTGTCACAGAAATTTTAATTTTTTTTTTTTTTTAAAGGCTTCAGGAATTAAGTGTTATTAATGATGAAAATCCAGACTATAGTGACATTGAACTTATTCAACATATTAATGTTGATGTGTTTAAACTCATCAAACTATTGCAAGGTGAGAATGAGAGATAGTAAGTTGGAGTTAGTGATTGTTTTCCTGTTAGGTTTAATCACATTTTGCCTTTCTGTTTTTTATTTTTGTTTTTATTTAATGAAAAAAAATTTAGAAACCATCCAAAAGTTCAAACTATTAAAAAAATCTGCCCAAGTTGTTCTTATGGTGTCCCTTGAGAAGGCCATATGGAATTGGATGGATACTTATCCACATGAATTTGCTGAAATTCAGGTAAGTGATAACTTGTCAGCTTTTGTCTTCTGCTAGAAGCATTCCTTTCATCACAGAAACATGCTCTCCAGTGGATTGTATATTTCTTTATTTGACTTGGATGCATTGCTAATTTTGTGTTTACAGAAAAAACCCAATGAGGACCTTTCAAAAGGTTGTGACAACTTATTTGACATTTTGGACACCTCAACAGACAGCAGCAAAAAAGGGCGAGCAGCAGTTTGGCCTCTCCAAATGTTGCTACTTATTTTATCACCAGTAAGAACTGATCATTTTTGTATCTGTTATGGTTAGAAGTATGAGGTGGTTCTGCTTGGTTGGAGCTAGTGCCAATCAGGTAGAACTAGGTGGAACCTAAACACACCAATCACTACCAGTTGTAACCGAATTGCTCTTGGATGTAACTAGGTGTAACCATACATTTTCCTGCCTTGACTTTTGCACCATACCACACTCGGGTGCTGAAGGTGGTATTGTTGAGGGGTGCTGGGGCAACATAGGGCTGTGTATGCAAGTAAGGCAGCATGGGCAGCGCACATATTTATCAGCTCTGGCTCACTACATCCAGTCAGCCTGCTGCCTTAAAAGGGATTAAGTCAAGCAAGTTACCAAGTCAAAACAATGAAAAGAAATTGCACCCGGATGGTCTTTTATCCATGACACCTCTACCCGCTCGCTATGCGCCGGGTGCAAGCACTTCAACCTTCATGCAAGCCAGTCGTTACTTGATGGGGCATGTTGAGCTGGTGTGTTAGTTTCTACTTGGTTCTAGAACTAGGTGGAACCAATCACCTACTTCCAACTGTAACATATCCTTTTTTTAATGATAAGTCCCTGCCTCTTATTTGAAATCTAATTTAATTCTTTACCTTACAGAAAGTTTTAGAAGAAATAGTTAATGCAGATTCTGGAGCTCCATGTTCTCCTCGTCACTCCAAAAAGAAAGCATTCATTGACAATGTGAAACGTGCTTTGGGTCCGCATGGGAACAGCAAACAGCTTACTGAAGCTGCTGCAGTCACCTGTGTAAAGCTTTGCAAAGCATCTACATACATAAATATTTTAGACTCAAATAATGTTGCTTTCACACTTGTTCAGAGTATCATCAATGATTTAAAAGTAAGATATGTGACCTGTTCTACCTTCAATATTTCTTTAAATTGTTGCCCAATTGACAACTTGTCTTATGGTTCATTTTGTCTGTATTCTTTCTCTCTCACTTTCAGAATCTCTTATTCAACCCAAACAAGCTGTTCACCAGAGGCGCTAGTTTTATTGTTCAAGACATTGATCTCATGATTGATTGCTTTGTGTCTTGTTTCCGCATCAAGCCTCACAATAATGAAGCACTGAAAGTGTGCATTAACCCTGCTGTTTCTCCAAATTATCATTTTGTGCTTATAAGTTCTCTGTACAGGTAAAGCATTTACAATCAAAAGAGTCTTTTGCATGGTGTTTTTTTTACTACCTTGACTTGCACTAAAAACAATGTCCATTGCTTTTGTCATTATTGTTAATTACAGGATAATAACCCAGCCAAGACTCCCATGGTGGCCCCAAATTGATTTGGTGTACAACAAGTCATCCGAACTGAGATCCATGTTCACAGACACTCTTAATAAAGTTACCCAAGGGTACATCGCACATACTCCACTGAGAATGATACAGGTAAATACGTGATGAAATAAACCATCCCCTTGACTTAAAAGTTCTATCTTACAATTTCCTGTTTTTATTTCAGTCTCTAACCCTGAAAAGCAAAGATTCGACTGGAAAGTTCAAGGAAAGAGGAGAAGATTTTAATCACCAAAAAAATCTTTTGCTTTGGATGGTTCGACTCATTCATGCAGATCCTATGCTGATGCTCAATGTAATAACTTGTTCCTTTTGATGATGGCAAAACAATTTTTGTGGCATGGTTCTTCAAAAGTTGTGTCTTTATATTTACAGAATCAGGGCAAGGCAGGTCATGAAATCCAAAGCTCGACTCTTGAACTAATTAATGGACTTGTTAGCCTTGTTCATCAGCCGACTATGCCAGATGTAGCTCAAGAAGCAATGGAGGCTCTGCTTGTACTCCACCATCCTGAGAAAATCGAAGTTTGGAATCCAGAAGCTCCTATTAACACCTTTTGGGATGTTAGGTATGCACAATCTAACCATCACACTTATAATTACTCAATAATTTATAATTTTATGGGGGTCTTATATCTATGTTTTCTTTCAGCTCCCAAGTTCTGTTCTCTATATCACAAAAACTTATCCAGCACCAAATAATGAACTACACTGATATTTTGAAATGGCTCAGAGAAATACTGGTGTGTCGAAATGCATTTCTGACAAGGCATAAAGATTATGCCAATGTTGGTAGTCAAATTGCTATATGCAAACAGGCCCACATCAAGCTGGAGGTATTTTTCTGCATATAATGTATGTTAATAATATGTTTTGTGATATTAATACTATTGTCCTTTAGGTTGTGTTTTTCATGTACTTGTGGAGTATTGACATGGAAGCAGTTTTAGTTGCAATGTCATGCTTTAGTTTGTTGTGTGAAGAGGCAGACATCAGGTGTGGATCAGATGAAGTTACGGTAACATTTCTGCTACCCAACTACCACATTTATCAAGAGCTTGCCCAGGCATCCACTGTGCTAACAACTGGTAAGGATGTCTTCTGTAATATTAATTCCAACTAATGAAAACTCAGGCTCAATTAAAAGTGTACTCTCTACCCTTGTTCATGTCTCCGCTAAAGTCTACTGCATACATATTCAAATATAAATACACTCTTGTTTCGGAGCTTCCAAATTTGGACGCCTTCCCCCACCTAAAAAAGCAACCATTACTAAAAAAAAAGACACTTATAACATTAGGTTTCAAGGGATCAGAACAATGGATTTCGTTACATATAGTGTTCTTATAAATATGGTTTCAAGTTTAGTTAGACTTGATGTGGCTTGTGCCCTACTTCTTTCAATATTTGGTGTTCTTCCACTCAAATGTCGCCATTATCAACAAGTCTGTATCAGTATTAATTCACAGTAATATTGTACATTCTAAATTTTACAAAAAAGCTACCAGTGGGGATTCAAGAATTCATTTTCGTGAACAGCACCATGGTAAGACATGCATCATCTGTAGATTTTCAAGATACTCTGCTCCTTCCAGTATACAGTACTTGTGCATCACTTTTATTTATATGCTAAGTTTTACTTATTATTTTGATTTCCTTTTTTTTTTTTTTTTTTTTTTTTTGGTGTTGCTAGTGCATAGTTTTGCTCTTCATTTAATTATCAGGCTGTATCACCACTCAGTACAAAGGCTTTATTGACCCACCGCAATTTTTGGAAATGTGTTACGCGGAGCACAGTGTAGCACCTCATGAGACCAGTCAGCAACATTAATAATAATTAGTAATAAAAAGTTTAAAATTTTGTCTTTTATACACAATTAATTAAGTTTGCTCATTTTAATGTGTTGCTTAGTAAGTAGTGTTATTAGCTTTTGTTTTAGATCATGAAACTTGTTTTCTTTGTGATGCTTCCTTTAGATGTACATATCTCACTGGGTTAGCCTTTTTTTTTACTGTTATAAATAACTTGAGAATTAAGAGGTACATTTTAGTGACACTTATGTTTCTGCACATTGAGTTTATGCCAACTGTTCAGGGTTTGCATGTCATAATTTTCTCTTTCAGGGACATTTGATAGCAATTTGCCTACATGCTTGTTTTACTCTTTTTATATATTGGCATCTAGTGCTAGAAAAATTTTCTACAATGTTAAAGCAGAGATAAATGACACCACAGTTCCCTATCCACAACATTGGAAATGTAATGGTGAGTCATTGTTTCAGGCCGAGCTGCCCTTCAGAAGAGGATCATGGCTCTTCTGCGAAAAATAGAACATTGTGTAAACGGAGTTCAACCGGTAATGAACCTTAGTGAGCTGTCCGCTTCACCCATTTACTTAGGAGTTTCTGAAATTCCTTTCTATATTTTTTTCAAGTAATTCATTCATTTAAATATTAAGCACTACAATTTTGTTGTATCTTGTATCAGGCTTGGGAGGAGACTTTCCGAAACTGGGAAGTATCAAAGAACTCCTTATCTTTGTACCCAAAAACTAAGCTGGAAGATGGTCAAATGGAACCATTTCATCGTTCCATGGGAAAACGCCGAGCTTCACACCAGAATTCTGAGCATGAACTAGAGGTACTTGTATGATTCTTTAAATTCTGATGGCTTAACCACCACATACACCTCTGCATTTCTTTAAATGCCTTTTCATGTGATTTTTTTTTTTTATTTTTAATATTTTTAGGATCAAATAAACGAATGGGCCAACATGACGGGCTTTTTGGTGTCGCTGGGAGGAGTTTGTCTTCAGCGGAAGAGCCCATCTCGTAAATGTAATGTGCTTCCCAATCAGCCCAGTCAGACCAGCCAGGAAGTCCAATACTGTCCTGTTACACAGTAAGATATTCACCTCAGTCTGTGTTGTTTAACTTACTTGTACTATTTTAAAACCTGCTAATGGCCCCTTTCTATTAAGATTTGTTGGAGAACTGCTCAAATTATTGGTTTGCAAGAATGAGAAGTTTGGACCACAAATTCAAAAAAATGTGAAAGAGTTAGTTGGGCATGAAATGTCTCCTGCACTATATCCAATTTTATTTGACCAAATAAAATTTTTTGTGGAGAAGTTCTTTGACTCCCAAGGACAGGTCTGTGGATATTGTGTTGTCTTTACTTTTCTTTAAATACGTGCATAACTCAATAATGACAATTAATTGTTTTGTGTAGGTTGTGGTTGCAGACCATAACACACAGTTTATTGAACACATAATCTTTGTCATGAAGAATGTGTTAGATAGCAAGACTGATCAGCCCTCAGAGCATCTTGGAGTTACCTCTATTGAAGGAATGATGCTGGCCATTGTGAGGTAAATGTTTTCAGTAACTGTCTGTGGTATATAACTAAATTATTGGGTGGTAGTTCTATAATTAAATTTTCAATAGGTATGTTCGTCACTTGGACATGACAGTTCATGCAATTCACATCAAAACCAAGCTTTGTCAACTCGTAGAAGCAATGATGAAGCGCAGAGATGACCTTGCATTCCGGCAGGAAATGAAGTTCCGAAACAAACTGGTTGAGTATTTGACTGATTGGGTCATGGGAACAGCTCATCAAATAGCGCCGCCACAGCCTGGTGATGTAACATCAATCACAAGGTAGATATAAATGAAGCCGTTGATTTATTCTGTTTGTACTAATTCAAAATGTGATATGTGTAATTATGCGAATTTCAGTCGAGATTTAGATCAGGCTTGCATGGAGGCAGTGGCAGCTCTCCTTAGAGGTCTCCCTCTGCAGCCAGAGGAATCTGACCGTGGTGATCTGATGGAAGCTAAAAGTCAACTTTTCCTCAAGTGAGCAAAGAGGCACTTTTGAATCAACATTCTAGTTTCTGACAAACAGTTTTTATTTTATTTTAAAATGAACTTTTTAGGTACTTCACTCTTTTCATGAATTTATTGAATGACTCAACCGAAAATCAAGAGGAAGTTCCTCTAGCACGCCAAAGAGTGCAGTCAAATAAGAATAATACTTTACGCCAAGCTACTATTCAAGCTATGTCAAATTTGCTTTCCGCTAACATTGATAGTGGTTTAATGCACTCCATTGGTCAGTATTTCACTAATTATTTGTGTTTTTATCATGTTATGAAAAGTTTTATTCATTTGTTTTTCTGGTCACCTCTTCTCTGTCCCAATTTTACAGATTTGGGTTACAACAGAGATTTGCAAACAAGGGCAGCATTCATGGAAGTTTTGACTAAGATTTTGCAACAAGGCACTGAGTTCAACACCTTAGCTGAGACTGTCCTGGCTGACAGGTTTGAACAGCTTGTGCAGCTTGTCACCATGATTAGTGACAAGGGTGAACTGCCCATAGCCATGGCACTTGCAAATGTAGTAACAACTTCACAAATGGTATGGAGCCTCTCTCATTGTGTTTTTATACAGGAGTGTAACTGGCAACTATTTCTTGACTTCATTTAATTTCTTTCAGGATGAACTTGCAAGAGTTTTTGTTACTCTTTTTGATGCTAAACACTTGCTCTCTCCATTACTATGGAACATGTTCTATCGAGAAGTTGAAGTGTCTGATAGTATGCAAACATTATTTCGAGGAAACTCACTGGGAAGCAAAATTATGGCCTTTTGTTTCAAAATATATGGAGCTGAGTACCTGCAATCTTTGTTAGAACCACTCATAAGTCCCCTTCTGGATGATCCTTCTCAAGGATTTGAAGTTGATCCTGCCAGGTAGAAACTTAGCCTTGTCAATCTTTTGTATCAATTTTACTTTAATTACGTAACTTCAAGAGAAAAGAATGGGAATTTTTTAAAATTTTGCAGACTGGATCCATCAGAAAACATCGAACGAAATCGTCAAAACTTAATCACATTAACAGAGAAAGTTTTCAATGATATAATATCATCAGCAGAAAAGTAGGTCTCTCACTTACATCAGATTTTATCAACCCCTTTCCCAAGTAATAATTTTATGTTGTTTATCAATCTCCTTCAGGTTTCCACCTCAACTTCGTAGCATGTGTCATTGCTTGTACCAGGTTTTGAGCAAGCGTTACCCTCAATTTCCTCAGAACAACATAGGTGCTGTTGGCACTGTCATATTTCTCCGTTTCATCAATCCAGCAATAGGTTTGTTAGACTGAAAGTGACCACTTCGACGCCTCCTAATAGAATAATCCTAACTGTCAGTGCTGATCCAAGACAATCCTAGCTGTCGGCGCAGATTGTACGGCGTAAAAAGCTATTTCTCGTAAAATTCTGTAACGCCAACATGCTGTTTCAAATTTCTTGGCAATGGACTTGTTAAAACGTATAAACCTTGCAGATAAACGTGGAAGCTGTATATCAGTGATATCATGATTCGCTGCTTTGGAATGAAGAGAGCTAATGAGCAGTTTTAGCCTCCTCTGAAACCTCTGAGCTGTTAAAATTGTCTTGGATCAGCACTGACAGTTAGGATTATTCTATTAGGAGGCGTCGTCTTAAAAGTCATTTAATTGCATTAATCGTGGAACATAATTGGAATTTCAACATTTTTTTTTCACTTGTATTTACAGTATCTCCTCAGGAAATGGGTATTGTGAACCGGCAGGTACTTCCTGGGGTAAAGCGAGGGCTGATGCTCATGTCTAAGATCTTACAAAATATTGCTAATCATGTGGAGTTTAGCAAGGAACAACACATGTTACCATTCAATGATATGCTGCATGATCATTTTGAAATTGGACGACGATTTTTCATACAAATCGCTTCTGATTGTGAAACAATGGATCAAACATCACATAACATGTCATTCATAAGTGATGCAAATGTTCTGGCACTGCATCGTCTGCTTTGGAATCACCAAGAAAGAATCGGTGATTATCTCTCAAGCAGCAGGGACCATAAAGCAGTTGGAAGAAGACCATTTGATAAAATGGCAACTCTCCTGGCTTATTTGGGACCTCCTGAACATAAGCCAGTTGACTCACATTTACTCTTCTCCACCTATGCACGTTGGAGCTCTATTGATATGTCCAGCAACAAGTTTGAAGAGATCATGGTGAAGCACAAAATTCATGAAAAAGAGGAATTCAAAAGCTTGAAAGCTCTTAATATCTTTTACCAGTCTGGATATTCTAAAGCAGGTAATCCTGTTTTCTATTACATAGCAAGGAGATACAAAATTGGTGAAACTAATGGAGACCTACTTATTTACAATGTGATTCTTACTTTGAAACCGTTTTGCCATTCATTATTTGAGTTGGTAATTGACTTCACACATACAAACACGGACAACCGATTCCGAACCGAGTTTCTCCAGAAATGGTTTCATGTGCTACCCGCTGTTATTAATGAAAACATCAATCAGGTTTTCATTTATAACTGCAATACTTGGGTGCGTGAGTACACAAAGTATCATGATCGCATTCTGCAGCCAATCAAAGGGAACAGAAAATTGGTGTTTGTTGAAGCTCAAGCAAAATTAAATGAGTACATTGAACCTGATCAGCAAAAACTACCTGGCGCAACGCTGGCTCTTGATGAGGATTTGAAGGTGTTTAATAACGCCCTAAAGCTATCTCACAAAGACACCAAAGTTGCCATGAAGGTTGGACCCACTGCTATTCAAATAACCTCGGCAGAGAAGACTAAAGTGTTGTCTCATTCTGTTCTTCTGAATGATGTATACTATGCCTCTGAAATTGAAGAAGTGTGTTTGGTGGATGACAATCAGTTTACTCTAACTATAGCCAATGAATCAGGCCCATTGAGTTTCATCCATAATGATTGTGACAGCATAGTTCAAGCAATTATACACATTCGCAACCGATGGGAACTTTCCCAACCTGTAAGTAACATAATTCCGTAATTTAGCTCTAAAACAGCTGATGGAGGTCTTAATCTATCTATCTACATGTGTCCTTTAATTATTTCAGGCTCAGGATTCTGTAACAGTGCATCAGAAGATCCGTCCAAAGGATGTACCTGGAACATTGCTAAACATGGCCCTGTTGAATTTAGGGTCTTCAGATCCCAACCTTCGCACTGCTGCTTACAACCAGCTTTGTGCTCTCACAGCTACCTTTGACTTGAAAATTGAAGGCCAGTTACTAGAGACGTCAGGTACAGCTTTTTTGTTGAATGTTTTGAAATCTGTCTTACTGCTGTAGACAAACCTTTTCTAGTAATAGTTTCTTCATTTCCGTCCCACCTCAGGTCTTTGCATTCCATCAAATAATACCATATTCATTAAATCTGTAAGTGAGAAGCTGGCCACAAATGAACCTCACCTAACTCTAGAATTTCTTGAAGAGTGTGTGCAAGGATTTAGAGTTTCCACAATAGAATTGAAGCATCTGTGTTTGGAGTATATGACTCCATGGCTTCCAAATCTTGTAAAATTCTGTAAGCAAGATGAAAGCAAGAGGCAGGATGAAAGCAAGCGACAACAGAAAGTTAACTCTATACTTGAGAAGCTTATTCAACTGACTGTACAAGAAGTGGAAATGTACCCATCAATTCAAGCTAAAATATGGGGCTCTATTGGTCAAGTTCCAGAGCTCATCGATATGGTGCTTGACAGTTTTATAAAACGATCAGGAGAACATGGAGTTGGCTCCCCAGTTGTTGAAATTCTTGCTGACACTGCTGTTGCTCTAGCATCAGCAAATGTTTCTCTTGTGTCGAGAAAGATCATTAATCGTCTTTGTAGGGTATGTATCTGCTGTTGCTTGAAATTTTGGCTTCTTTCCAAAAGAAAAAATATAGTCTAATTTTCTCTGTATTTTTTCAGGTTTTGGACAAAACATGCACATCTCCAACTCAATTGTTGGAAGCCCATGTCCTGTGGGATGATATTGCCATCCTTGCTCGATACCTTCTGATGTTGTCCTTTAACAATTGCCTTGATGTTGCTGTACATCTGCCGCATCTTTTCCATACAATAGCCATGCTAGTTTGTTCTGGATCACTCAGTATGCGAGCTTCAACCCATGGTCTTGTGATAAACACCATACATTCCCTTTGCACCTGCACTAAACCAACATTTGATGAAGATGCACAGAGAGTGCTGCGTCTCAGCTTGGATGAATTTTCCCTTCCTAAGTTTTATCTCTTATTTGGGATCAGCAAGGTGAAATCTGCTGCTGTGACTGCTTTTAGGTCAAGTTACCGCCATCCTAGTGATAGGCTGTTGGGGAATGAGAGGGTGTTCTCTGGCTTGTCGTCTGACAGAGAACGGCTGTCCCTCACTTCTTTGGAGGTGATCACAGATGCCCTCCTTGAAATAATGGAAGCTTGTATGAGAGAGGTCCCCACCTGTGACTGGCTTCAAACCTGGACTTCTCTTGCAAAGAAATTTGCATTTTGTTTCAACCCTGCGTTGCAACCACGAGCTCTTATTGTTCTTGGCTGTATAAGCAAAAGCATTACCGACCAAGACATCAAACAGCTTCTCCGGATTCTTGTGAAAGCTTTGGAAAGTTTCAATGATATGACTCTCCTGGAGGCACTAGTAATGTGCCTTACCCGTCTTCAACCTCTCCTAAGGCCAGAATCGCCTATACATCGAGCTCTCTTTTGGGTGGCTCTTTCTGTACTCCAACTGGATGAAGTTTCTCTGTATGCTTCTGGGCTTGCTCTTCTTGAGCAGAATTTGCATACATTAGAATCACAACGGTCATTTGATGAGAGAGTAAGTCTTCTTAATTTTTACTTTTACCATTGGTGTTTGTGTTTTGTACCTCATTTCAAATCTAACCTAAAACTGTACCACAGTCTCTCGAGCAAGTAATGATGGCAACACGTGAACCCTTAGAATGGCACTTTAAACAATTGGACCATGCCGTGGGCCTTAGTTTTAAAGGTACTTTTGTTTTCCTCTGACTTTTAAATTTTTTGTATCAAGAGCCTGGAAATATTTATTGAGGATTTGTTCTGTATGTTTTTTTTGCAGTAAATTTCCACTTTGCTTTGGTTGGTCATTTACTCAAAGGATTTCGTCATCCAACCCCTACAACCGTCACTCGTACGACACGTGTACTAACCATGCTGCTTGGTATTGTTGCAAAGCCTCATAAGAGAGACAAATTTGAAGTTACTCCAGAAAGTGTTGCATACTTAGCAGGTATGCAGACATTTATGATGGAAATATCTTGAATCAAATTGAGTGTTCTGTCCGGTTGTGTCTCACCATAAACTTCCTTTCTCTTCCACAGCTTTGGTTTCTGTGTCTGAAGAAGTTCGAAGTCGTTGTCATGTTAAACATTCATTGGCCCGAATGCTACCAGATTCCAGCTCTGCAGAAAGTTTTGCTGTTGACATAAGACACGCAAATGCACCACCTGTCACTGTCATTCAGGTCGTTCAGGTAAATTCTAATTTTAAATTTTGTTAATTCATCTTTGTCTTCTTCTGAGATGAGCAGTAAGGACAAATAATTTATTCTGCTCTTCCTATTTCTTGCAATTATCTAATTACAGCTACCTCAGCTACCATGTACCTCTGGCATTGGCAGTCAGGCTAGTGCTCCATCAACTTCTACCTCCACTCCAAATAATGATCGAGCTGGCCCAAGTGGTGTTGCTTGTCCTGGTTTCATCGGCACAGTCAGCATGACAGCCCCAACAAATAGACGTCAAAAGTCATGGGATATGCTTGATCAGAATGCCCTTTCTCAAGCAAGGCAGCAGAAGACACAGCAACAGGTATCAACAATCTTTTTTTTTCTATGAGTTTTGTTTGCTGTATCCTTGAGAAAATTCCATTTAGAAACAAACCTTCATGTTGTTATATATTTAGAATACCAGTGTCAGGTGTTATCTGAAGATGATCCTGATTTGAACTGCATAAACTTTTTATTTGATTGTATCATTTGACAGCATATGGCAATGTTGTTGAATAGGGGAGCTCTTGCTCTGCTGCTGGTGCTGCTGGTGCTTCTACTGCAGCCCCATCCCCTTCTAAAGTCTGGCAAAGTCTGGACCTTGGATCCCAACCCAACCCCCTCCCTCCTAGATGGCTATTTCGAAATCAGCGCTCTTCATCAGTCCCGGCAGTTACGGCTTCAAAATCCAGTATCGAGTCAGATGCTGCTGATGTGGATGGGAAAGTAAGACACCAAACTCCCACATACTACAATCAGCCAGTCTTTCTTTCTGTCTCCCCTTCCTTCTCGGCCATCCTTCCATCATATCTACTGCAATCTGCCTTTCATCTTAACAGATCATTTCATCTCTTTCTCACTTCAGATTTTTTTTTTTTTAATTTTGTTTGTGCTGGTGCTGTGACTTGTTTGGACTGTTACCATTGTCAAGACCGACGAATACCTTTTTGATCGTTGTGTTTTTTTCTGCCTTAAACATTGTCCTGCATAAAGTTTTATCAGGACACAGCAATTATTGCATGCGATAAAAGGATATGGGCAACATCAATGACTGTAGTTGAGGCAAAGCCTTCCTCCTGCTGGTCTCTTTAACAAAACTGGCATTTCAATTGTGGTGTAAATTGTTTTGTCATGAAATTCCTTCTGGTGACAAAAGTGGTGACTAAATTATGTTGGGTTCAGAATGCGCGTGTCCTGTTCAAAACACAACGATCGTTCTCGGTGCCGACTTCTAAAGAGCAAAAGACAATGGAGGAAGCTGAATCCCAGGTAGAGTGCACTTCTATTGTAGAATTTCCTTTCACACACCACTTTTGGATTCAATGAAAAGGAAGTTTTGTCATTGGGAGCACTCTGACCTACTTGATGGTCATCTAACTGCATTTATGATCAATATTGGATATATTTTGAACAATTTTAATCAACAAGCATTTTGTTTGAATATGAAGTGGTTTAATGTGGTGTGTGACTAATATACAGCATGCCTTTGTTGTTAAGCATGATTTTTAATGAGTGTTTTCATATTTTTAAATGGAGTTTGTTGGGTTGCATGGCTCTTCATCATTGTGTGTTCCCTTCCCCTCTTTGTCTCATCTCTTCAGAGTCTGATGTGCCGTATGTGGTTTTAGCGATCATGATCTTGGTGATACATGATCCAATGTTCTTCTGCAGCTTGTTACCTGTCTTTTCTTTTTTGGTCTTTGCTTTGTTTGTTGGGAATTTTTCAAGTTTCGAAAGTTGTGTAAGTTTTAAAATATTGGTGTCTTTCTTTTTTTTTCATCTTAATGTTGTAATAGTTTTTGTTTGGTAACTTCAAAGTTGTGTATCTCTCATTCATTCTCTCTTTTCCCTTCTTATGTCTCGCACATACCTCAGTTTTGTTCAATTTTCCCAAAGGACAAAATTACTTTATCTTATCTTAGATTATTCATAAGAGAATATATTGAAATAATGGAGGTATGGAGAGAGAACAGGAATGTACAGAACTATAATATTTGTTATAGCTTGAAATATTTTTTCTCTTCCGTTAGTAGGTGTTTATATGTTTGAAAATTCTGTACTTAGTGAAATAGCTTTATGTAGGTATACAGTATAATCCATGTTTGAATGTAGAACATCCAACATGAGACACTAATTGCTGAGTGCCAAAATTCGTTATGATACACTGGTAAAATTTAAGGTGATCCTTCTTTTTTAAATTTAAATTCTGGTCAGCAAGGCCCTTGATGGATTTTTCTTATTTTGACTTGACCCCTTATTTTTGGGCAATTTTACAGAGCTGCTATATTGAACAATTAACCAAACAGTGCTGTCTTGTATCTTGATGCAAACGGACATACAGTAATCAAAATTAATCAAATAAATCAAAATTGAAAAAGCTAGTTATTGCTAGGGTCTTTGCTGTAAATAACATATGCTTTAAAAAAGGAAGTTGGTTTAAAAACTGAATAATGTTAAACTGCAATGGAATATGGACTGATAACAACTATGTTTTGATTGTTGACAGAATCGAAGTCCTCGAGTTTCTGTCTCAAATGAGAACAACATTCTTCTTGATCCAGAAGTCTTAACAGATTTCTCAACACAAGCTCTTGTGTTGACGGTGCTCGCTACATTAGTCAAGTATGCAACGGATGAAGGCGAGACACGGATACTTTACCAGTACTTGGCTGAAGCTTCTGTAGTATTTCCAAGAGTGTTTCCTGTTATGTAAGTGCAACTCCCGTTGTAAAACTGCTGAGAAACATAGTACAGTTCACCATAGCACCTTCCCTCTTCTTTACAGTCACAGTCTTCTTGACGCTAAATTAACCAGTGTAGTCTCCAACTGTCATGACCCTGTGATACTGAGTGCAGTCCAAAGCATTGTACAAAATATGGTCGCATGTGAGGATACTTCTCAACAACAGCCTCATTACATGCAAACCTGTGGCTTTGGTGGTCTGTGGAGATTTGCTGGACCCTTTACAAAAGTATGATCATTTACCTCATGTAATGAATCTAATGGATATGCATCTTAATTCTTGGAATCTATTTTCACATTTACTTTTCCTGTTCTATAGAGTCAGTGTACTGCTGAAAGTGCTGAGCTCTTTGTCAACTGCTTGGAAGCCATGGTGGAAACATGTTTACCTCTAGAGGATGGGGAACTTGAGTTGGCTCCTTTCCCATCAATGTTGAGTGTTTCTAGCAACGTGAACCTTTCATCTAGTTTATCATCTCTAAACATGGGATCCCCCACTGATAAAGGTTGGTATTTAATGCTACGGATTGAACTCAAATACCACCTTGTTACAAACTTGTAACAGTAATGCTAATAATACTTAAACCAAATGTTACAGATGTGGGATTGGAGATAGGTTCTGATAATACATCATGCTGTTCAACATCTCTGGGGCGAAGTTCATACGGCAAGCAGCGATCTGCTTCCACTACTTCTAAAATAGGAAGTGATTCCAAATAAGGGTTTGACACGTCGACTACAAACTGTGAGGGGCTTTGTGGCAGGGAACACCTTTAATATTGCTTATTCCTTTTTCAATTATTAGAAGAAAGACCTAAAATATTTGATCATTTACTTTGTGTGCCTGTAGCATCTAACTTTAAAGGGTGGCATCATGTCTGTCTTGAGGGAATTAAGCTATCAATGAACCAGTGCACCACTGGCTTGCCTTGCATTTTTATTTGCGTATCTGTAACAACTGTAACTCTGGAGGACATTGAGCAATCAAAGTTGCCAATGATACTAATTTGGATTATGTGATATAGAGATTTATGTATTATTTAATATTTTATTGTTGTTATGAAAATGTTTGTTTTTGGAGACTGATCAAATATAAGACTGGGGAACAAGAGAGTTAAGTATTCCCTCCTAGTAATTAAATTCATTTGTGTTTCAAATCTGTATTCCAAATGTTATTGAATGAATTCTTGGGTTTACATTAGTTCTAAGAGTTTTCTGGAGCTTTGATTAAAACTGATTGCTGCAGTCCATCCTTATTTTAACAGAAACCAAAAATTTTATTTCCCAATTTGTTTTTGTTTGGAATGTAAGACATGTTGCAAAATGAATTTTCCCCTAGTAAGGCCATATTAGATTAGAATTGGGCTTTTAGGAATTAAGGCTGTTGCTAATTATTCAGTGGTAATGTCACTGAAGTGTGAAACCACTGCTTTTATTTTCATTCTGTGTGTGTTTGTCTCCTATTCCTGTCTGTATTTCCTACATTCTGTGCTCTGAAACTTTCACAAGCTTCTTTAAATGTCTCTTTACATCACAAGTTGGTGTCTTTTCGGTAATTTTTTAAGTTGCATTTTTTACTGTACTATTTTAGGAGAAGCTTTGTCTGTGGTATTCACTAACTCCTACAAGCTTATGTGTGACTTTGTGGCAATTCTTACGTACTCCTCAACTAATTGTTCAATCTCAGAGTTCTCTGGTGGTTAAAATTTTATGTAGCGATGTTTAACAAATATTTTATCTTGGTGTCTTTATGTTTATGTGTAGGCAGTCCTCTTGTGGTTTAGGACTAAAGTGCCATTCATTCATTACATTAACATGTATGAGAGAGAGATGTGGGTGTCAGGAGATGTTTTCTGTTTAAAGGACTACATCTCTTGTAGGGCAGTGAAGGTTTATCATTCCAGCTGAGTCTGTAGTCAAGCTGTGGACGTGACAGTTTCTTCAGTCGTGGATTTCTCTTTATCGTACTTTGATCTAGTTGTTCTTGTTCCTGCTAAGTTCTATGCAAATGTAGTGTAGCTGTTGAATGTCATGAAAATGTGTGTGTTGTGTCATCTCTTTAAAATCATAAGAATTGATGTTGTGTAGGTCGTTAGCTTCTTATTCATGACAGGTGTGTCTGCATGTTTGGGAGAAACTTCCAGGGCAGGCATAGAAGCATTTTGATGTGGGCCAATGGGGACTGCAGACTCTACTGTATGTGAATTGCGTTTGAACTTGACAGCATGAGGCAGGCAACACAGTACGGACTTTCACTCCGCTCGGCTTGCATTGTGCTGTAAATACCACTGAGCGCTCACCATGTGGACAGCAGAGGAGGTATGGGTGAGTCAGGTTAAAAAGTTCTCTAAAATCCATAGATATTGTTGCCATGGTGTCGACATTGTGACAAAGTCAAGTGATGAGTGTGCACTCGTGAAGTTCTGGGGGCTGCCTTGCTTTCCCTGCCCCCCACAATCACAATACCTCTGATGACATCCTCTATCCAAACATGGAGACACACCCGGTATATTATGCAGGTTTAATGGTATCCTTGGACTGCAGATTCCTGTTGTATTTCTTCAAACTAATGTTCAAATTTGCTCTTAAGAAAACCTCTTATTTTATTGATGTTATGTGGATTCCTTTATTTAGTAAACTTGTATTGTTAAGTATACCATATTCCAAGGTGATAAAATTTTATTCTTATTGTTCAAAATCTATGTGTGATTCTATTATGTGTATTAAAATTTAAACTCTAATGAACGTTTTGTAAACATTTTAAAAGACAACAACGTATACCTTTCCCTTGAAAGTATTTTCTTGCTTGTGTCTACATAAAGAATTGGCTGTTTTAGGACTTACTGTCATATCAATTTTTAATTAATGCTAAGCAAGAGGAACACAAAAATAACTAAACAACAGAGCCCATTGAGCTGGGGTGTGTTGATAGAGCACAAGACTAAGCTTAAAATTATCTGGAAAGCTACGATTCAGACAGCTTTAATAAGAATTGCTAGTGAACACTCAGAACACTGGTAATACAAATCAACAGTCAAATTAACACATTCATCCTTTGGTACAGAATATAAACTTCCACAACGGCACGGATACGAATATGTTTCACTGTCCACTTTCATTTCACTCAATGTTAAAGTGGCAAATAGCACGAATTCGTTGGCACAATGTTCTGCTAGAAGCTGGGCATCATATGCCTTTCTCTTCACTGGATCTCTCAGTGTTTGCCAGGCTTCATTTATTTGAATAAAGGACTCATTATTTTTGTTACTAGCAGAAGTTTTGTCTGGGTGGGACAAACGTATTAGATCCTGATATTGCTTCTTAATTTCATCATACGAAGCATTTTCTTGACATCCTAGCAGTGTGTAAAAATTTTCCATCGTATAATTTTAAAGATCTGAAAATTTTACGAAATTTAACACATTAGATCAATGAATTCAATTAAAGATGGTTCATGAACATAGAGGTAACATGACGAGTATTTTATGTAATGTGTCCAACGCACATGAATGGGTAAAATAAGACTTACCAATTGCGTGTCGGTACATAGTTGTTGAATACAGACGACGAGCTAGACAGCTACAGAAGCAGTGTGTAAAAATTTTCCATCATATAATTTTAAAGATCTGAAAATTTTACGAAATCTAAGACATTAGATCAATGAACATGGAGGTGAGGAGACATTATGAAACTCAATAAAGGAACCATACTTGACAAGGATTGCAGGGAAAGCGGAGCTCACTTCAAAATCAGTTTAATCATTGAATCGTTAAAGTTCACAAAGGAAGAAACAAAATTCACTGACAGAAAGAGATTTGTAATAAAAAACTATTCTATTTTGACCAGTTAGCGTTACAGCATAGATAACCTAACCTCACAGTCCTCACGCCCTGTGTTCCTGCGAATAAGGACTAAAGCGCTATTCTCAGAACATTTGGCGCAGAAGCTGGGCAGAAGACGCAATGATGTGATCATGACCCACGAGTCTTATTGTAGTTTCGGGCTAACATTCTTTACTACTTTAGTATTTCACAAAAAACAATGTTACCGTCGATAACTTTGCACTAGTGCTTTAGCCTTTTGACAACGTCAGGTGTTGTGATGCAATGTCAACGTAAACAAAAGTATTCTTCTGTAGCTGTCTAGATCGTCGTCTGTATTCAACAACTATGTACCGACACGCAATTTTGTGTGGGTTAATCGTCAGGAAGATAACGCCATTTAGTCGACACTCTATATTAGATACTTGTTTAAAAATATCTTCTGTGAGGAGTCTTGCCTCTTGTATGTGTACTAATCGCCGGTCTTTCTGCACACGGAAATGGGGTTATAATTCCAAGGTGATCCCTTACGGCTCTTTAGCGAAGCAATTTAGTCAATCCCAGCATTATAGGTGTTCTGGCACATATCGAGATAGAAATAAACACCTGGTCAGAAGCAAAACCACTACTGTACTCCCTAGTTGTAAAAAGAGCAGCCTACCACAGGCGTTGCCTAAAGAAGGATCTCAGCGGATAAGTGAAAAAGTACCTGTGCATGTGCCCCAAATAAGTGAAAAATTAGTAAACAAATGTCCCTTACATGTTCAACCTTATCTTAAGCTTATGCGCATAGATAGACCAATTGGTAAGTCTTATTTTACCCATTCATGTGCGTTGGACACATTGTCACTTTTGAGTATTTTATGTAATATTGTTGTATTTTAGGAACATGGTTACTGTACTGGCCTTGTGGTTGGAGCATAGCCATGGGTGCGTCAGCAGGCTGCCTTCCTAGTTTGGAGATGCTGTCCCTCTTTGCCATTGGAGCATTTGTAATGCGGGGTGCAGGATGTACCATAAATGATCTTTGGGATCGTGACATTGACAGTAAGGTAGGTATCAAATAAAATTCTCTTTTTTGCTCTTTATTTTAGAGCTTATCAAGCTTTCTTGTGAGTTCTGTCATTACTTTTAGCACTTTCAATTGCACATTTCTTTGAAATTACAGGTAGCTCGCACTCAAGATAGACCTCTGGTAAATGGTTCTATTAGTCCACTTGATGCTGTCATTTTTCTCATGGGTCAATTAGGCGTTGGCCTACTTGTCCTTCTTCAGTTGAATGCGTACTGTGTTGTCCTGGGAGCATCCTCTCTGGGTACTAATTCTTAATTCACTTAAGTGGTGATCACTGTACTTCAGCTTATTTACTCTTTAGAACTAAACTTCCCTTTTCATCCATGGATCCTTCCGCAGGTCTTGTGATATTGTATCCATTGATGAAACGTGTAACATACTGGCCCCAGTTTATTCTTGGCCTTACTTTCAACTGGGGTGCACTACTAGGATGGGCAGCAATCCACGGCTCTGTGGATTTAGCAGTGTGTTTACCACTTTATTTAGCAGGGACTTGCTGGACAATTTTCTATGACACCATTTATGCCCACCAGGTAAATAATGGAACTTATCTATTTATAGCTTGGTTTTGCTTTTGTATATCTCAACATTCATTTTGCATTGCAGGACAAAGTTGATGATGTGTTACTTGGAATAAAATCAACTGCCATCAAGTTTGGTGACAATACAAAATTGTGGCTCTCTGGGTTTGGCACTTCTATGATTGGAGGACTATTGCTGTCTGGTATGAGTTGTGGTATCGGATGGCCCTACTATGCATCAGTTGCAGCAGTAGCTTCCCATTTAGCTTCTCAGGTATTCTAAATTTTTGGAATTTGCCTTCTTCATTCATAGCTCTAGTAAGAAGTTCTTGATGTCAATTTGGTCTTACTTTCAGGTGTATAAGCTAGACATAAACAATCCTAGTGACTGCGCCAACAAATTTATTTCAAATCACCAAGTAGGTTTGATTCTGTTCCTTGGGATAGTACTGGGGATGCTGAGTAAAGTGGAGAAAGAAAATGAAGAAAAGGCCAATAAGCAAGTGGTACAGGAGTGTTAAGTCATAATTGCAGAAACTGCAAGTGATTGTTATTGTTCCTAGGTACTATCTAAAATATAAGTGTTGTCATTCAATTTAGGGATAGCTTCTCTCTAAAAACTGTAAAAGCCATCTGCTGTGATCCTACTTCCCCCAGTAGCACCAATGTGCATCAAATGTGCAACAGAGCACATTCAAAGCAAGATTATGCATTAAAAGCACATAAAAGGTAACACATTTTAGGCATCTTTAATGTGCATTTACAAGCATCAATGTGCTTTACATGCCCCTAAAATGTGTTACCTTTCATGTAAATTTTAATGCGCTTGGTTCATTGGGCGCTGCTAGGGTCCTGCGTATGTTGAAAATCTTGTATGGAATCCAATAAAAATCACTCAGCTACCAATGCAAAAACCAATGCAAAAAAGAAAATTAAGGTAAAATAAATGTTAGTTCCAAAGGAAAACAAGTTATAAACTTGTTATAAATAAAGTCTTTCTTGCACCAAGAGATTTGTCTGTTTAATTAACTAGAATCAAGTTTCGAACCATAATATAAAATAAAGAAGCAAATGAAAAGTATAAGACGCTTTATAAGAATTGAATGAGAAAAACATACATCTAAGTTAATAAGTTACAAAATGCCAAGAGACTTTTCAACTATAGCATGGGGTTGTCCACCTTCTTCCCTGAATTCAACTGGGTTGAGGAAGTCTTCGAAAGATAGCTGGTCATCCCGTCCCAACAGAACATCAGCCATAAGATTAGAGCTTGGGAGGAATGGAAGACGGCCAACTTTATGGGCAGCCTTCAGCTCCATGGCCATCTTCAGAGGGGCATGTAGTCCTTGAGTGTTTCGCAGCATGTTCATTTCCATTCGGAGTTTATTGTCATGGAACTAAAAGAAAGAGTCAGGGAAATTAGATGGGAAGGACAGAGTTTAGAAAAACATAAGGATAAGGCTTACACTTCTCTCCGTAGCCTCAAGAGGGTGAGCCGGGATGGTAAGGGCTTTGCGTGTGGTCAATCTGAAAACAGTACATGTAAGTGGTGAGGTGCACTTTCAAATTAAATAATTCATGCAAACTATGCAACTGACACTTACCCAGAAGTCATGACATCAGGCACACCGTAAAATCCAACAGAGTTATCAGAACGTCCACTGCTGACCCCCATCTTACCACTGAATCCGAAACTCTGCATGAACATGAAGATAAAAGAAAGTTATCGATGTAATCTACAATGAAATGCACCTGCACTGCAAGTAAATGTATGTATCAGGCAGAAATGACAAGCGGAAATTGAAGCGATTGTAGGGTTAGAAAGTGAAGTGGACTTTGTGTTGCGTGGTTAACAATGATTTAGAACCACAAAGAAGATGATATAAAATACAAACCATGATGTCTTTGAGATATTCGTAACACGCCCTAGAGAATTCAACCACGCAACTGTACGCAAGCTGATGACAAGCACAAACAACGCTAACAACACGGGCTGCCGGTGTTAACACAGCACAGCCTTCCTTTTCAAAGACAAAAGGATAAATGGGCGAAAAATTTATATTCAGATTCCCGTTCTAAACCCACTATGAGAAATTGACGAGAAGTTGAATACTATGAGAAATTTACAAGAAGTTAGTTTCAAAAAGACAAAAATTTGAAATTTTCCCTTTTTGGACCTTATGAACTCCACGCCCCCCCGGTGCACTTCGGTCTTCGGAGAGGACACTACCGCATGATTTGGTTCATATCGTTGTTTCGGGTTTGAAGAAAGCATAACTTCGGACGTTGACCACTAGCACCTTTAAGTTCAATTTCCCAAAATTTTACTCAACAAAGTTAAAAAAAGGCGCATTCTTTTATCACTTTAAAAAGCAAGTGTCAAGGGTTGTGTTATTGTCGCGTGGTGTCATCTAGTGGGCCACATCATCCATACAACCACATCTGGCTTCCTTGTTAGAGAGTTGATGCAGTAAATAATGACTGAAAAAAATTAATGATGCATGTACTTTGAACTATAATTTTATTAATAAATTAACATTTCAGAGCAGAGCACACCTACATTTTCAAAAAAATAAAATAAAAAAAAATCATTGGGTAAAATGTGTTTGATTCGAAGACAGGGTAAAATCAATTAAGATCACCCAGCTCTCATTCTGTTAACAACTTACAGTAGAAGAATAATCTGTGGAATGTTAACTTTAAAAAATGCAATGGCAAGACGAGCAAGATTACAACAAATAAGTTCCTCTGAGGAAAAGAAAATGACACTCATATAGATGTGGAGTGGAACAAGTTCTTTGGTTTAAGTACACTTGCACATGCATGAAAATGCACTGTTTGACAAATAGCTCAAAATGCAGGGCTGATTCATAATCCAATCAAAATTGGAACAGATTTCCAAATAGAAAGAACAACTAATGTGACAAGATCATTTGCAAATTTTGCATCAACAATTTTAAACTACAAAAACTTTTTTTTTTTTTTTTTACATTTAAAGGTGATTACAAAGAGAATGTTGACTGAATATAAAGATAATTTTTGGAAACACATAGAAACACTACCTTTTCCAAGAAACAGATACAGCCTAATTTTTTCACTCTGGAAATGATAGTGGAGCCCATTGAAGTTGCAAGTAATGCCTGCTTCTTCACCTATGATTTCTGGCTAGATAACCATGATGGTTTAAACCTCAACTGACCGACACTGTACTAAAAGTCTCTTGAGCCAAATCTTAATAAAGGTGTTCTCTCGGCAACAACTGCATTTTTCAAATGAAATCAAAGTGAAAAAATAAAAGCCTGCAACAAAGAGCTTGTTCCGAATAAAAGTTATTGGAATTCTACATACAAATTTGATTTAGTTTTAAAATCATTGACTGGTGTAAAGGGTGAAATGGGTCAAAGGAACAATACAGGATTTACAAAATGTTTACAGAGGTGATAAAATTATTATACAACATTCAAAACAACATTTTCACCAGTACAAAATTTCTACAGAAAAAGAATAACATCACAAGCTGATTCTTAATTCATAGAAAGCTCACTTATGAATTCAAAACTGATTAGGTTGGAGTGAAAACCTGAGATAAAAAGTAAACAGGAACTGGGCCTAAGTATTTCCGGATATTTTGGAACTAGCTCCAATTCCCGCCGATCGAACCCCCTTCCATTTCTCGGGGAGGGTCAAAGTTGGGTTTATACAGTTAAATCGGTACTTTTTGCTCAAGGGGGGATCGAACCAGGCCTCATCAGCAAAAACTGCTTCCTTTAAAGGCCTTGATCGGGCCACACAGTTTATCCAGATACCACCCGGGTCAAATTACACATTGCAGCTAGTCTTAAGATAGCCTTAAATACCTGAGCCCGGGTCCAGCTTTTCCATCCCTGGTTTTCACTCTACCCTAATACTGATGGTTTAGTGAAAGATTTACAATTCCATTTTGTTATTGTCAAATGCTTGAGAACCAGTGTATCTTAGAAGAGATTATTGGTAGAAAATAAGGAGAGAAACAAAAATTTTGATATGCGAGTGGTGAGCTAAAATGTTCTGAATATACTATGCAACAAGATTCTTTTTAACTCTGGATGAACGTTTCAAAGTAAAACAGACCATTTAGAAAACAAAAGAGACAAAAACAATTTGCTTAAGCAAATAGCAATACACGGTGCACTTGGCACCTACTGAAAAAATAACACAAATATAAAAACATGTACGAATGGACAAATTAAAGTACCGAGCCAGCGGCAGGCATTCTATTGCTTGAGGTGAGTATTTGAGAAGCAATAATATTACAAAGCAAGTTTGTGTCACCAGATATATGTACAAAGGAACATCTGATATAAAATGATTTGAGTATCTATGGTAGTTCCTGGATGACACATAATGACTGCATAATGGCTGCAGAAAGAAGATAAACCAGTCTTATAATAGAAAAAAAAGAAAACATCATAGCATGGCCACCCACTGTATTAAGTCACCAAGAAAACAAATTGTTGTTGAGAGAAAACTATAACAGTATAGATCCATGACAAGTTCACTGCAGCGTGACCTTAATAGGGTAATTTTGTAGCCTAAGTGAATCTCTGAAATCAATTACGTTCACTCACTCTCTTGAGCAACCCTTGCATCAATATTGTACAGTAGTTCATTGCCATCTTATTTTTCCTGGGATTCAAAAAGAGTGATAACTTTTAAAAAAATTCACTATTTCATTGGCATATTTACTCTTCATTACTGTATTATGCTGTTTAGATCATAAAGTTGGATTCAGGCTTCAGACTGAACCAAATTTGTAACACGGTGATGAAACAATAGGAAAAATTGAGCTTTTTCTTGACAAAGAAAAAGACTGAAAGAACAACAACATCAATTACCAAATTGGTAACATAAAATAACTCAAAGGACTAAACTTTCCAAACTAAGTGTGATGCGGCACTTAAAAGTTAGTTAAGCCTCATCTTTCATAAAGATTATCACCTAAATTTACTCAAATAGGACAAACAAGAATTGTACAATTATTATGAGAATACTTACAAAAATGACATCTGAATTACTTGGGAACTTACAGTGACTAGCTTCACAACAATATGACTTGATGCTGACAAAAACAAATGCACAATGATAAAAATGAGACATGACCACAGGGTGGTATTGAGGAGACTCAGTTTCAAGAGAAATGTAAACCCTTAAAATTCTTTCTTCATGTTAGAAAACTGTATAACCTAATGCAAAATATAACTGTTTTAGACTGAAAAATAACATTGCCATGTTCTTTTCTATAAAAATGGCAAGCAAAGTCTCTTGTCAAATCATTACTTAAGTAAAGGACAAAAAGAACTCTCAACCAGTTTGAGATGAAGAAGAAGCAGCATCATTTTCACATCCTACCTCTGGCCTGAAGACATTGTGCACTTCAAAATGAGTTAAAAGAGTTGGTTGTTGATTTTCAAAGTGAAAAGTACGCTCTATGGGAGCATTCAGTCTGCGCAAGAGATCACAGAAAGCTTTCTCTTCTTTCCGTATCCACGGTCTTCTTTCATCATGAACTTGGTAGGGTGTGACATGTACGTGAATATTTATACCTGGAGTAAACAGTTGTTTGTTGACATCAGAGAGTAAATTACATGATGAGGCATTGGATGGACCACTGATATATATAAGAGATACATTAGTGATATGTTAGCATACTTACTTAATCTTGTTAATGTTTCAAGTAGACTACGGGATGTAATCCACGTGTTCTTCCCACCAGAGTGCCCACCATCAAGCCAATACATGTCTCGAATGCGAGATACAAGTTTGGACATGGTGTCATCATCAGGAGTTAGAGTTTTTAAATAATGAAATTCATAAATGAACTGGTTTAATACCACACACCCTTTGCTGAAACCAATGAGAATCAAGCGTGCCCGGTCTAACTGAAGTCCCTCACGCCACCATATTTTTTCCTGATCTTTTTCAGGTAGCTTCAAATCAGTAGCCTGTTTTAAATCAGGAAGAAAGAAGGAACAAGAATATTAGAAACTGGACTGAGCTCACAACAGACAATGAGAGATTTACGGTTAAAGTCGGTTATGGCAAAGACCTAAACATAATGAAATCCCACTTGAAACAAAATTACTCAGAGGCACAAAATTGTATAAGCAATGAAACTTTCAACATTTACAAATAAAGTCAATTTACTCTTATTAATTTTCATATGAAGAAGATTCCTGAGAAGTCATAACCGGCTTTACCTGTAGTAGCAATCTTAACAAGTTTAAGGAAAGAAAAAAATGGACTTACAGACAACATTGTCACATCCTTATTTTCCTCACTAGAACCACCTTCGCTATCATTGGTACTACTCGTGTCAGGTGACTTGACGGGATCTTTTGGCACCTGGGGTCTCAACTGACTAATAGGCATACTTCGCAACCGAGCAGAGGTACACTGGAGAAGGCGCTCAAGATGATGTAGAGCGTAGTGGGTGGGAGTGTGCTCAGGAGCACCACAGTTATTGCAAGGAACAAAATTGTCGTAACAGCTAAAGGTTTTGAATTCCATCCTGGAAAAAAGAGTGAATATGAGTTCAAACAAATAGACCTTACATGGTACCTCTCCTAAGTTGGAGCTACTTCCACATTCACATGGAAGTAAAAGAATAAGTCAAACAATTAATGGAGTGACCACCAAAGCATGTACCACATATGATCCAAGCAGTATCTAAAGGTATGCCAACCAATGAAATCTGATCTTAACACATTTACCTCCAAAAGCACTACAAACATGCACATGGTAGTCAAAGACAGGAAAATAATCACAAATAAATAGAAAAATAGAACAAGTTAATTGAATTGAGAAATTATCACTTGCCCCACAAGCGGAGCAAATGAACAGTTCAAGAATGTACTGTGTATGTCAATTACAAGTAGAAGCAAATCAAAAGTAAAACCAGAAATAAATTGGGGTAGCAATCATTTTTGACCAGCAATCTGCATCATCAGAATAACAATACAACTTACACTAAAATTAGCCACAAAATCGACTGAACAGTTTATTTAAATCAATGTGAGAGAGTTGGTAAAAAAATAGTCTGGTTTTTATCTTGAACAAAACGATTTTACTTGCCTGTTATGATCCATTTCGGCTGACACAAAGTCCATGAAGGTAGCAAGTTTAGGAGTTGTCGATCTATTCAAACAGACAAACAAAATGTCAGTCAAAATGTTGAAAATTAAATGAACTCCAAAGGAAGAGAGAGAAATAAAATGTTAAAAGAGAAATAATGTTGTTTTATGACGAAAATAAGAAAGTAGTTTAAAAAAGGAACAGTGAACATTTGTGAACATTTTGTCTTTTTGCATTGAGTTTTTAGGTGCACAGGTTAATTTAACTATAGAATTTTAAGGGTAGAAAAAGCTGAGATAAAGACAAAAAAAGGGGGGAGGAGGAGGACGTAGTCATCTTGCAAGTACTTTAAAGTGCGGTTCACAACTAATGAACCAAAAATGCCACCCCCTAGTGCTGAAATAATAAACTTTCATGAGAGGAATTGTGACTGCATGTTAACAATTTATTCTCTTCCTCCTGAAAAAGTAGGACAACATCGAGAAACAAACTTAACACAGATACATAGGTAGCTTGTTCTGCTCATGGCATGAATCAACTCAAACAATGAAGTAATTTACCAAACATCAGAAAAAGAGAAGAACGGATCTGGTTATGTCAGAACACACCAAAACTAAAACGTAAGATAACCATTGCTGGAATTTTTCAGATAATTGGGCAGCCCAGGCCATCTAGATGTTAAAAACTTGGTATTTGAGGTTTATTAGATCCTACGTATCAAATTACAGCGGCTGACATGTAGAAATCAACGTTTGTTGAGCAAGGGGGCGGTGAACAACAACCCAGACTAACGGCACCATGCACCACGATGCAGCACCGTGGTTTGGATCCAGTCGGTCTGAAATTCCAGCTTACAGAATGGCTATAGAGTAGAATGAAGTCCCCAGGATTAAGATTGGTTTAATTTGCTTGAGGAACGGGTCTTTAGTTTCACAATACATCCAACCAAGAAGGAGAAGCAGACTAACAGGCAATCCCAAGCTAACCCAAATTAAAACTGCTGCCATAAGTTAAATGTCTGTAGGCAAAGTTTACTGGCTTGATTTGGACCCTACCGAATTTGGAAGTACTGTCATCCTATTCTGAATTTTGAACAGAATAAGCATTAGTTCCACCTTGTTCCATCCCAACCAGCACTTTCCTCCTCTTCCTTTCCAGTAAAAAGCGCTATTTTATTTGCACATTGGCATAGGATGTATCAAATGCTGTTACAGTCTGTGAACTAAATTGTGTTAGAAACTAAAAGGGAAAAGAGTTGATGAGAGATAAAGTAAACAATAAAAATGGGAATGCACATAAATGAAAATAAATACTTTCAATTAGCCTTTTAGGGACACATGCATTTGCATTCTCAATAAGTCACAATCTACACTTGGACAAGTAAAAACACCATCATGCAGATGAGCAACAAAGAGAGGAATAAATCAAAAGCACTGTTTACTAAAGAGTATTTGTGCAAGATAGGATAAAGCTGCCTGAGCACTCCTAGTTCATAAAAAAAAGCAGGTCCATCAAAATATGCAGGCTTACCTAACTGGACGTATAACAACAGCATGACAGTCAGGAAAGCGTTTACTAAGTCTTTCACACATGTCATCTAAGCACCATTTCATATAGGGTTTATTATCTCGGTGAGCTTCCATATTTTCTCGATAATCCTGAAAGGCAAGCAGAATAAGTTTCACTTCAAGATCTGCAATGTAGTGATAACAGCCATATGCTAAGTAGTAAACTACCTGAACATCTCCACCAAAATAAATTACTGCTGTATCTTGTTCTGAGCGGATTTGAGGAGGGTAGTATATGATATCATTGACACGTCCCTCGTATCCTGGAACAGCAGGGAGCCGGACGGGCCCGCATGGGGGGGCCGATCCCGGCATCATGCTGGGAGTATGTTCTCAACACTCAAAATGCTGAAATTCACCACCAATGGACGTAAATAATCACTAAAAAAGTAAAACAAGCTTCATTATTTATTCAATGGATTTAAAGGGAAACATACCATACGTAAAGGGAATATGTATTTATTAATAGTCTCCACAACTACGTTGTCTTCATGACATTATGGGATATAAGGATCACACTGTTATCCATCTGTAAAAAATATTAAAAATATATTAAAAACGAATTTGACAACTGTTTGCAGAGGAACTTGTACAATCCCACAAGATTGTTCCCCAAATGAGTACAGTTTTAAACTTTTGAGTAACAAAAGCCAGAAAAGTGCACATTGCAGGGTACCTCGCAATGCAATAAGCTTTCTTGTCTTTACAGTGTCATCCCAACTTCAACGTCATCGAACCATAAAGAGTAACTTAAACAGAAACTTTGGCATCTGGTACATGTCCCAAACCACATTTCGTTTGGCGCCACAGCCCCCGGTCCAGAAAGAGCGCGCGCACGGCATCTGCTCCCAGTTCCGTCCAATACGCACAAACGAAACAAACTCGGCGGCGGCGGCACCGCGTCGGCACGGAGTCGAGGTAAAATTAGCTCGTCGGGGCGGCAAGGCGGCAAGGCGGCGGGGCGGGGCACGCAAGAGGGGCGTCCCGGCAAGGCGGCCAGGGCGCCACATATTGGCAATAAAGCGATGGCGGCTGTCTTCGGAACTTTGGAGTCTTTGGACGGAGTCACCACCGAACCGATGTCTCGGCCAGCGCAGCCACCACCTTGGCGTCCACCACCGTGCGGGGCGGTGCGCTTGACGCGCTGCGTTAGTACAGGTAGTCCATGTCGGGGCCGTCCATGTCGGGGTCGGGGCTGGGCCCGCGGTAGCACGTGGCGGCGCGCAGGTGCAGCTCGTCCAGGCAGTGGCCCACGTCGTCCTTGAGCTGGCGCACCTTGACGCGCACCTCCTCGCGCATCAGGTTGTAGCACATGGCGATGAGCCCCAGGCCCAGCAGCAGGTAGACGAAGTTGATGACCAGCCGCGTCTGGCTGCCGTCCTTGTCCGTGTTGATGGTGGCGCCCGGCACGAAGTCGCCGAAGCCGATCTTGCACAGGCTCGTCACGCAGAAGTAGCAGCTGTCCAGGTAGCTCCAGCGCTCCCACTCGGCGAACATGATGGTGCCGGTGAGCACGTAGCCGCCGATGACCCAGAGGCAGGCCGTGGAAGGCACGATGACCCGCGGCCCCGCGCCCTGGCCGGCGGGCCGCTCCGGCCGCTCCGTGGAGCACTCGTACAGGCGGGTGTAGAGCCAGCGGAACGACTGCGCCAGCACCTTGCCCATGTTCATGAAGTACAGCACGTAGAGCGGCACCCCGAACACGGCGTACACCACGGTGGCCGTCTTGCCCCACATGGTGCGCGGTACCAGGTTGCCGAAGCCGATCATGGTGAAGATGGACAGCGAGAACATGAGGGCGGCGGGGAACGACCACATGTCGCTGGCTGTGCGCCCGTCGTAGCCCTTGCGCACGGCCTCCACGATGGTCTTCTGGAACTCCACCAGCGTGTTGTTGACGTCGTGGCGCCACCGCGACTCGTTGAGGATGTTGAGCTCCTGAGAGACGCGCCACAGCGCCTCGGCCGTCTTGTTCCGCTCCACGCCCACCAGCTCTAGCTCCGGGTACTCCTCCAGGGTCTCGATGGAGATGAAGCCGAAGGCGCCCACGATGGCGTAGCTCACCACCAAGCCGCCCACGCCCACCTGCGTGCACATGAAGGCCACCACCTTGCGGCAGCAGTCCTTGACGCGCTCGCGGGGGTCCGACGCCGTGCTGGAGGACGACCCCTTGGAGCCGAGGCTGCGCACCGACCCCCTGGAGCCGCGGCTGCGCACCGAGCTTCGCTGCAGGCCATGCAGGCCGCCATCGCCGTGCTGCAGTCCGGCCCCGGCGGTCCCGGCCCGTCCGGTCTGACGCATGGTACTGACGGCGAGGAGCAGAGAGGAGAACGCCAGCCCCACTCGCCGGCCCCACGCCCCACCGGGGCCACACTAGTGGGCCACACGCGCCCCGCTCGCCGTGCCCCTTCGGCCCCTTCCCCCTTCCTGCCGCTCCGACGTCCGCTCCGTGCGGCCATCGTTCGACGCGGTCCTCCCTTGCAGTCCTCGGCGGCACGAGACCGGCACGCCCCCACTGTGCCAGACCACACGCCCCTCTCGCACGTCGGCGTTGAGAGGACTGCGTGCTCCCAGAGCGCCCCTGCTCAAAATCGCCCTTGGTCAATGCACTCTCTGACGCACCACCACCTCGAGTCCAACAGTGGGACTCTACACAGACTACCTCCCGAGACAATGCTACGGATCCCGCAGCATCCCGCAGCCCTCCGCGAAGAGCACTACGTTGGACCCGACCCGACCCGACCGCGGACCAAGCACCCCGTGCCGCCGTGGCGCCCTGCGCTCCGCCCAGCGCCCCCAGGCCCAGTGGGCTGCTAGGCTGGTCCCGGTGCGTGTTGGCGCTATTCCTGGCCCGGGCTGCGCTGTAGACTGCGCTTCGTCTCTCTTGCACTCAGGGGCGTCCCGTAAAAGTGCGAGAGAGACAGAGCGACGAAAACGGCTCTCTCAATCAGTCTGCAGGCTAGCGCCGCTGCATCGCCAAAGTGGAATCGCTGGCATAAGCTGCTGCCACATGGACATCGCTAGGCGAGACGTCTTGACGGATGACAAGCGTCAATGTTTCCACCAGCGCCTCTAGAAAACACCATTACAGGCGTCAGTGCTGGCCCAACAAGTTGTTGACAGCCCCAACGACATTTTGTCCGCCTCAACAATTTTAGATAGATTGAAATAAACAACAGGCTCCGATTGAAGCTAATTAGAAAAATTACTAGACAATCTTGTAGGTTACAGAAATTAAAATATTCGTAGGTGAAAGATGTTAAGAACATTTAAGTGGGAAAAGAGCAAACCAAAGCTCTTGATAGTACAGTCGGGGAAAGCTTATGTAAGTTTTGCTTGTTGCTGAAATAGTACATTGATTTATAAATAGAGCAGTGGCATGTGGTGTGATGATACATTTGCAATTATCACAAGAGGTGTTTGTTTGCAAGGGCTATTGCAGCAGCACGTTGCTGAAGTTGGAATTGGACCAACTTCTTGTGACGAGCTTGTGACCAGTCCTTGCGACCATTGAACGTTTACCATTACATGTAGCTTGAAAGCTGTGGCTCACTACATTACTTTTAAAACAAAAAGAGCTTTGAACATGAGCTTATATTAACGGTGAAAGGCTGACTCTTAGAGAATTCCAAGCAAGACGTTACGGACTTCCATCAATCATGCACGAGAAGAGAAATTGTAACTGCGATACAGATGGAGTGCAAGTACATTGGAAAAGCAAACTTAACAACTAAAATCATTGACTTTGGAAACCTTATGGTAGACTAATTGGTAAAAACACAGAAATGAATGACTTCATATCTAAGAGGAGCAAACTGGAGTCCACAAATGAAAATGATGCTAACGACGATTTGGGATGTTACACCAAAACACAAGAAAGAGCAGATAATGTTTTGTGTGGAAAACCTGGCGAATAGCTATAATTCCTCTTAATTTCATAAGAAAAAAAAATAACAAACAACCTACCGCTGAAGCGTCCATCAAACGACCCCTCTCCTGTGATACGAAAATCTCTTCCTGAGTGTTCTTGATACGGCCAAGACTTTATGAAACCATGTCAACCGCGACAAGGCTCACTAGACAATTAATTAACAATAAATACAGATATAAAATAAACACAACCTCTCTCGGCTCTCAACCGTCACGACGATTGCCGAGTGGGGATGTTCCTGAAGTGGATGTGCTAAACGGCGGGTTACTAACCGCAAGGTTAAAGTTTGACCGGAGACGACCACCGGCTCTACTCTCCTCGCGGGCGCGGCACTGCGGCACCCGCGGCCCAGGGGCGGAACCAGGAACAGTGTTTCCCTTTCTCTGGCTGATAATGATCGTTTGTCTTACTCCCTATTGTATGCTAGAATTTAGATGCAGTTCAAAAGGTGATTTGATTGCCAAACAACAGTACCAGAAGTTCTAATTCTTTTTTAAAGACAGATATCAAGTGGGAGTAGGGGAGGGGGAGAAGAAAAGGTCGCGAGAGGGCAGAGCGAGAGGCCATATGTTTGCTCGAATCCTGGATCGGAGGCCCAGCGACACGGTTCGATGTGCATTACATCAGAGGCACTTGACATACACTCGCAAGACAAAGTCATATGACTTCGTCACCACCGGCGCCAAACCGGCCCAACCGGCCGGTGCGCGGTCAGCAACCCAACCTCGCCTCGCATATTTGACTGCAGAGCGCGTGGCGCGTGGTTCGTTCGGCCCGCCGCCGACAGATGGCGTGCTTGCCGCGGCGGAAGCATCCGGGAGGGGAAGGGGAAGGGGCCTCGCCGTAGTAGACATGGCGAGTATTTTCGGGTGAATGATGCTGCTGATTGGAATACAAAGTACGATTATTGAGTTGTGTGCGTAGTTTATTCCGTGTACGAAACACTGCGGCTTGATGTGATATCATATAAAGTTTAGTTAAAAATGCAGAATGTTGCACAAGGATCCTCTTCTGATGGTCAGAAAGTGGAAAAAGTGAGCATCCTAGACCTGGGGAAATCGTCGACACCCCATTCTTCCAACTCGAGTCCTACCAAATCTGAAACGGATACATTTTCGGAACATCAACCAAGATCTATGAGTGATTCATCGGATAGCGAAGAGGACGAAGTCTCCGAGGTATTATACTTATTTGGTTGCTGACAAACTTGCGTGCTCTTTCCTTCACCGAGAGGTTTCTGCATCACACCTCGCCAAGAGACATCTTGTGGCATAGTAAAATGATGAGACAAAGTAGGCTTAAGTTAGGCTTAATCAAATGACGAGTTTTGATCAATGAACGCTACACTGGCATTTTGAGCGCATAGCTCTCGATACTGTGGCGATCTTTTATCGCTTTTTGCAAGTTCTGTGTTCATTGTGCAGAGCACTTCGCGAATTCCCAACGCCGAGGACACGGCCTAGCCCAGGCCAAAGACCTTTATTACGTATGTTGTTGTGCTCCAAACTTTCTGGTTAGTAATTTTATGGCATAATTTCTACTTTCAACATGTTTCGAGCCTATTCGGTTTATTCAATAGCAGCTGTCATCGGACCCTGGTAATTAGGCCACTCGTAACAAGTGTGGTTAAGTACTCACGGGCACACTGTACATTGCTTTTGTACCAGCGTCAGAAATCTCGTCTTATTTTTAAAGTTTTGTTTTTATTTGTATTTTATTATTCCGAACCCAATATTTTGGTTGTGGTTATCTGCGTCTTTAGTACAAATTTTGAAGTACGAGAGGGGAGGGGTAACCTAGCCTAGGCATGGGGGTACCACCTCATAGTGTAAGGCAAGGACAATGTTTTCTGAAATTCCTGTTATTTTTGAACATTTCTTCATGATGTCTTCTCCCTATCCAAATTTTTATCATCTTTATGAGACTAATTTTATCACTTTTCAGCAAGTTTGTAAATTCTTTCGGCATAAAAAGACGAATGAATGAGTCAGAATATGTGTGCAAGAGAGAGAGGTATACATAGGTATTGCTATTAGCAGCAGCACCATCAAAATTTTTTTCATGTGCTCATTTGGTTTTTGTTTTGACATTTCAATGTAGTTCTGTCTCTCCTAAAATATTGCAATGAGGATTTTTTAATGAGTAAGGGTCCTTTTTCCGTAAAGTTGCAATGTCACTAACCTCATTCTTGCCTAATTGAAGTTAATTGGTTAGCATCATTAAAATTTTTATTGTTTTTCTCAAAACTTGTAGAATTATCTAGTCTCTTATTTCAAATACAATTAGTTCTCATCCTCATTTTTTAAAATCTATTTTATTTCTTGTTTTTGGTTTGTTTACACCGAGCTCTAGCTGCTAAGGTGTGTTACTGGCAGACACTTGTGCTTTTGTCCCGTATTTATATTTCTAGTTTTCAGATGGGTCCTGAAGTTCACAGTTATATTGCGTTATTTTCATTATTCTTTTTATAAGAGCATCCCCTTTGTGCTTTGTGTGCATTCCTTATGTGCTTCTCAAGTCAACGCTGCTGTCTTTATTGTATTTAAATCATAGAGTCTACTGTCGCAGACCACATTTTTAACACCAGGTGCTTTGCTATTGATCGGAATTAAACACTTTTGGCTCTGATTCATGTCCTAAAGCATATCTGGTGTGTGTATGATCTCTCATGGTTGCGTTCTTGCTGAAATTTGTAATTCTTAAATCTGTAATCCCTAGTGAGATTATTTGTCACTTCCTTGTTTACTACATATTCTTAGAGGGATTCCGTTGTGAAAAGTATTTCTGCACCAGTCTATCATATGGTTTGTTCAATATAGAAAATTCTCATGATGTCTTTTAGGTGGAGTCGTTCGTTATTGGCCAGGAGTTGGATGATGAGGTGCAGTTGGAGGCCTCTAAAAAGTTCCTATTTGCATCTGATGAGTCTGAACACGCTGTTGATCCTGTAACACAAGCAAGACTAGAAGCTCTCCTAGAAGCTGCTGGTAAGTTAGCAGATCTGAAATCATTGTCATAAGATGAATTTCCTTGCAGAAAAAAGTAACATTCCTCCTCTGCAGGTATCGGCAAGCTTTCGAGTGGGGATGGAAAGCACCTGTCTGATCCAGAAGTCTTGAGACGATTAACATCAAGTGTGTCTTGTGCCTTGGATGAAGCAGCAGCAGCTCTTACAAGAATGAGGAACGAAAATCAGAGACCCCAACAGGAGACGAGGTATATACAGCATTAGGATACATTAAGCATGTTTAGAAGTCCCAATAGAAGTACTTAAGTTCTTTACTTTTGTTTTCCAGGTCACTAGTTGAAGCCTGCAGTGATGGTGATGTGGGGACTGTGAAAAAGCTACTCACTGAAGGCAGAAGTGTCCATGAAACCACAGAGGAAGGAGAAAGCCTTCTTTCTTTAGCGTGTTCTGCAGGCTACTATGAATTGGCTCAAGTGAGTTCATTTCTATGACTGCAGCATGAGAGAAGGAACTTTTGTGATTGGATTCTCTCATGAATCGTAACTAATGTTATTGTATGTTATTCCTTTCCCCTCTGTAGGTGCTTTTAGCCATGAATGCCAATGTAGAAGACCGCGGAATCAAGGGAGACTGCACGCCTCTGATGGAAGCAGCCTCTGCTGGACATGTTGACATTGTCAAGCTTCTCATCAATCATGGTGCAGATGTCAATGCTCAGTCCTCATCTGGTTAGTCTCTTGTTGAATTTCAGCTTTCTCTTGCAATTTCAAAACTGTTCTGATGGTTAAATTTGTTTTGTCTTGGAATATTTTTAGGCAACACACCTCTCATGTATGGTTGTGCTGGTGGGTATAGTGAGGTTGTGAAAGTCATGCTTGAGGCTGGGGCAAATGTAGAAGATCACAACGAGAATGGACATACTCCCTTGATGGAAGCTGCAAGTGCAGGAAAAGTAGCTGTGGCCAAAGTAAGCCTTGTTTGTTGCCTGACCTATTAATTCTCCTGTATGCCACTTTCAAACTTACTTAATCAATCTCCTTGTCTGTTTGAAGGTACTCTTGGATCATGGAGCTGGTATCAATACTCATTCCAACGAGTTCAAGGAATCAGCGCTCACTTTGGCGTGCTACAAAGGTCATCTTGATATGGTGCGGTTTCTCCTTGAGGAAGGTGCTGACCAGGAGCACAAGACCGATGAGATGCACACTGCACTTATGGAGGCCTCCATGGATGGTCATGTTGAAGTAGCCAAACTCCTCCTCGATTCTGGCGCGCAAGTGAATATGCCAACAGACAGCTTTGAGTCTCCTCTGACCTTAGCTGCTTGTGGTGGCCATGTAGATCTGGCCATGTTGCTGATTGAGAGAGGAGCCAACATTGAAGAAGTTAATGATGAAGGTTATACACCACTCATGGAGGCCGCGCGCGAGGGCCACGAAGAGATGGTGGCTCTGCTTTTAAGTCAGGGTGCCAACATCAACGCACAGACAGAGGAAACTCAAGAAACAGCCCTCACTCTAGCATGCTGCGGTGGCTTTTTAGAAGTTGCAGACTTCCTCTTAAAGGCTGGTGCTGACCTTGAACTTGGATCATCAACACCTTTGATGGAGGCAGCACAGGAAGGTCATTTGGAGCTTGTCAAATATTTGTTGGATCAGAATGCAAATGTGACAGCACAAACTCAAACAGGTGACACTGCCTTGACGTATGCCTGTGAAAACGGTCATACTGATGTAGCTGATCTGCTTCTGCAGTATGGTTCCGACCTGGTGAGTTAATTTTTTCTTGGATTTCACTTTTTTTGTACAGTTTTTGTCCAGGTTTTAATGAATCTGTCAAATGTTTGCAGGAGCACGAGTCTGAAGGAGGACGAACACCGTTAATGAAAGCTTGTCGTGCTGGCCACCAGTGCACAGTGAAGTTTCTGATCCAGAAAGGAGCTGATGTGAACAGGCAAAGCACAAACAATGATCATACTCCCCTCTCACTGGCTTCAGCTGGGGGGCATTTGGCCGTTGTCCAGCTTCTCCTACAGCACAATGCTGATCCGTTCCACAAGTTGAAAGACAATTCAACAATGCTCATTGAGGCTGCCAAGGGGGGCCATACTAAGGTGGTTCAACTGCTGCTTGACTATCCCCATTCAATTATGATGGGTGGTCAACAAGCGCAATCACCTCAAGCTGGCACCACCACTCCGCAACCCCCAACTCAGCTGCAGACTCAGTCACAGCCCGGAACCCATTCCCAGCCCCAATCTCAACCCCAACCATCGACATTGGTTCAAGCTCAAACTCAAACACAGCCTTCCTGCCACCCTGCCTCACCGGAACAAGTTCAGCAGGCTCAATTGCACCACCAACGGCATGCGGTTCAGCAGGCTGGCCTTATTGCTGTGCCAGATGCTGTGCAGGCACTCCCCCAGGAGGAAGTGAGCCCTGCTCCTGTTCTCAACGTCAGTTCATCCTCCAAGACCAGCCATCCAACCTGTTCTGATCCCTCTGTTTCACCGCTTGTAGCTGGCGGTTCCCCTGAAGCGCCAGACTTTTCGAAGAAATCTGTGCTCCGGAAAAACCGAGCTGCAGCAGCTGCTGAAGGCAATGTCTTAACGTCAGCAGAAGCTCAGCAGACAAAGAATGTCCCCCCAGGAGAGGGAGGAGCAGCGCTCTCTAAAGAAGAGAGCAACATCTTGGATAAAGGTAGCACTGAGCAGCTTCTCCGTCAACAAATCTACGCCGATTTGCAGCGAGTTGAGGAGGAGCAGGAAAAGCAAGTCCATCTTGCTGCTTTTGATGCAGGGTTTGCAGCAGGAGCAGCTGCTGCAGAGGCTTCTTCTAATGTGTTAAGTTTAGCAACCTCGTTCTCAGCGACCCCTCCTGAGCCTCAGCCCTCTTTATCCACCCGAAAGGGGGCTGGTAGTTCACAAGGGAGTACGTCTGGTACGTCATTGCCCACCAACCAACTGCAGGTTCTTCAGCCACAAGCAGAAACCCAAAGTACCTCCTCATCCACCACCACTCCAGCCACCAGCAACCCGGCAGCTATTTACCTTCCACCACCACCATCAACGCCTCCTCAAACTGTTACTACTTCTGCTGAAGTCAACCAGTCAACAGCAATCAGTGATCGTCCTAAAGCTAAGCCAGCAACCAAGAAAGAAACAAAGCTTCGAAAGCAGCAAATTGTGCATGCCGTCACCCAGGAACTTGCATTTCAAGCTGCCCAGATGGCTCAGATGGGGCAGAACTCAAGGATTTGTGCCGCAACTGCCGCTGCTGCTGTGAACTTAGCTCAGATTAACAATCAACAACAACTAGAGCAGCGGGTTCAAACCCTTGATCAGGAGGTGAGTCTTGTTGCGTGCAGTATGTTTTCATCGTAACTTTCTGCTTTTATTAAATTTAAAAATTTTCTTTTCAGGCCCTTCAACGCCACCAGCAACTCCATCTCCACCACCAACTTCCGCCAGGAGGCCCCGTAGACCCTGCTGCTGTTGACAAAGTAGCGGCTGGTGGCATTCTGACACCAAATCAGTTGATTGCCCACCTGCAGCAACTGGACCCATCAATTACTGCAGCCACCCCGCAGCAATTGCACCATCATGTTCACCAAGTCTTGCATCAAAAGCCCAACTTAAGAACTTTGCAGCAGATGCTTCCTGGAGGACCTGATGACCTTGCCGAACTTCTCTCTGAGCAAGTTGACCAGGGCACTCTGGATCGGGAGAATCTTGCTAGTGCTGTTGTGGATTCCCTAGAGGCCCTGCAGGCCCTTGCCTTGGACGATATTACTGTCACAAGTAGGCATCGTTCTTTATCTTGTCTTCTTGAACCTTCATCATTCTTGTTTCTTGTGTCATTTTGGTATTGATTGTGATGAATTTTTCACTTTTAGCTGATACTGAAGAACATTTCCAACCTTATGGCCCAACACCCTCTCTAGGAGAGGCGATTTCTGCCATGGCGGCAGCACAGGTCCAGGGGGACTTGAGTCATGTAGAGTACTACGCTGTGCCAGCCACTGGTGCCCAGCACCCTGCTCTGCAGGTGAGGGACACGGAAGGCGATGAGGTTTGTTGTCTGTCAGTCAGTTGCTTTCAGACTCCAGGAATAACCAAGATCAAATTTTTAACCCCTTGTTTTCCCTCTTTATTTTTCGCTCAGCAACTTCAGTATCAGCAATATCAGTTAACTACTGGGAATGCTCCCTGTAGCTTGGAAGTTATAGCAAATGCTACCAACGCTCAGATCCTAGCAAACCGAGCTGCAGCCACTGCTGGAGCTGCTTCAACAACATCAAGCACCATACCTACTGCTTTCCAGCCTCAGCTGTTACTGCCAAGTCCTCAACTTGGTAAGTTTATTGATGTGTGCAACCTACTAAGGCATTGCTCTCAGACTAATGAAATCACGTCCTTTCAAAGTGATGCTAAACTATCATGAGAGGCCTTTGCTGTTTTCTATGCATTTAGCCAAGTAAAGACTTCTTGTCATCTCCCTTATGTTTGAGTAACTAAATTTTTAACTACCATACCTAATTCATTAGTTATGTGGTTTATTATAATGCCGTTGGATTAACCACTAATTGAAATAAGTCGCTCAAGTCTTGTTGTGCCCCCTTTATACTTTAGGTTAGCCTGCTTGTATAAACCTCCAAATCCAGAGAGCTGAAGTAACTTGTGGCTTTCTCAATACTAACCTATTTTGTTTGGTGATGATGCAGCCTCTCCCTCCTCAGACTCCTCCACTCCGACCCTGCCTGTGCCTGCATCGTCTGCTGCTGTAGCCACGCAAGCCGAATCTATACCTGTACCTCCCCCTCTTCCCACTCCTGCGTCCAAATCCTCATCAACAGCAGCTCCCCCATCAAGTGCCGCCACCGCCGCAACTGCAGCCGTTCAGACAAGTACGCCCACTGCCTGTACGCAGCCTCACCACCACCACGGTACACCATGCAGTAGCCATCAAGTGCAAGCATCCACCCAAACCACCAATGCAGGTGTAACAGCACCCCTTTCCTCAGAGAAAAAGGTTTTGACCGTATCTCAGACTAATGCTGGGACTAAAGGAAGAAAAGCCAGATATCAGGTGCAGGCTCGACAGCAGCAGGCATCTCAGCTACAACCTTTACAACAGTCTGCTTCTGCTCAACAGCAGGGTGTAGCCCACCACGATGCTAACACAGGTCTGTTTGCATTTTCTCACTTGTATTATATAAGGTTACTAGACGTCTTCTCACCATCATCAAGTGTACTATTTTATTTGAGTTGAAGCATCCAAGTTACATAGAAGACTCCTCCTTTGTGAATCCCCTTTTTAAACTTAAAGTAAATCATCTCTTCTCCCCTTTCCCTTGAAATATTGCGATAGCTTGTTAAGCTTTTACATTAAGCTTTACAATTTGAAAAAATCATGAATCGCACGTATTGTTGTTTTTCTGTTCATCAAATTAATCAGCATGAGGTACTTTTGACCCACTAATCTTGCACCGTGACACTTAAGACGGATCTTTAACAATGGGTCTCTTTGCTGTAGTTTTTCTTGAAGAGTGACCTTTGCCCCGTCTTCATGATGATACGTGTTTTCTTTCTCTCACTTTACAGCTGCTGGACAGTATACTACTCCATGTGCACAAGCCCCTGTCTCATCTCTTAATGTGGACAGTGAGACTGAAAGTAACCATGATACAGCATTAACTCTTGCCTGTGCTGGAGGCCATGATGAACTTGTTGAGTTGCTGCTCTCTCGCGGCTCTGACATAGGTAATTTCTGCTTACAGCTTCACTTCATTTCTATCTGAAGTAGACAGATGCTGACTTTGTTGTTACACTTTCAGAGCATCGTGATAAAAAGGGTTTTACCCCTCTCATCCTCGCTGCCACTGCTGGTCACCACAAAGTTGTTGAGATCCTCCTTGACCATGGTGCTGATATTGAAGCCCAATCCGAGCGTACTAAAGACACACCCTTGTCATTGGCTTGTTCTGGAGGCCGATATGAGGTCTGTTATGTTCTAATTATTATTATTATTATTTCTTATTATCAGTGTTTACTCTAGAACTAAAGGTGATTATGTATTACTTTACAGGTTGTTGACCTCCTCCTTCAGCGAGGAGCTAACAAAGAGCACCGAAATGTATCAGACTATACCCCACTATCTCTGGCAGCATCAGGAGGCTATGTCAACATTATCAAACTCCTCCTGGCTCATGGAGCTGAGATCAACTCCAGAACCGGCAGCAAGTTGGGTATTTCCCCTCTTATGTTAGCAGCTATGAATGGTCATACTGCAGCTGTCAAACTGCTCCTAGATATGGGAAGTGACATAAACGCACAAATTGAGACTAACCGAAACACAGCACTTACCTTAGCTTGTTTCCAAGGAAGGCATGAGGTTGTAAGCTTGTTATTGGATCGTAAAGCTAATGTGGAGCATCGAGCTAAGGTATGTTGTTTGGTTTTTTTTTATGTTGAAAGCTTGTTATTGACTATGTTCATGAAATAAATTTTTTTTTCAGACTGGTCTTACACCCTTAATGGAAGCTGCCAGTGGTGGATATGTAGAAGTTGGACGGGTCCTGCTTGACAAAGGGGCTGATGTTAATGCCCCTCCTGTCCCTTCTTCTCGAGACACTGGTCTTACCATAGCTGCAGACAAAGGACACTGCCGATTTGTGGAACTGCTTCTGACTCGTGGTGCCCAAGTTGAAGTAAAAAACAAGAAGGGCAACTCCCCACTTTGGCTTGCTGCCAATGGTGGACACTTAAATGTGGTTGAACTACTCTTCAATGCTGGAGCTGACATTGATTCCCAGGATAATAGAAAGGTAAGACAGGAACAGTAAAATGTGACTATTGGTGCTGCCTTTCCTTTGTCCTGGCTTAACCTTGTACTTTGGTCATTTTTCATCAGGTTTCTTGCCTTATGTCTGCATTCCGAAAAGGTCATATTAAAGTAGTTAAGTGGATGGTACATCATGTAATGCAATTCCCAAGTGACCAGGAAATGACAAGATATGTAGCAACCATCAGTGACAAAGAGTTACTAGATAAGTGTCAAGACTGCATCAAAATCATACGCGCTGCCAAGGACCAACAAGCAGCTAAAGCAAACAAGAATGCAAGTATCTTACTGGAAGAACTTGATCAGGAGAAAACCCGAGAAGAAACCAAACGGCTTGCTGCGCAGAGGCGCAGAGATCGTAAAAAGAAGAAGAAACAAGAGAAAAGGAAGCAATTGAGCTCATCAAACGAAAATGATGATGATGACAATGATGACAAAGATGAAGAAAGTGACAAAGGTATGTGCTTTCCTCTCATTTATCTTAAGATCCCTAATGATTCTAAAAGTGTGGTTTCTAATAACATCTTCTGTTTGTCATGATTTACAGAATTCAGTGGAAGTGAAACTTGCAATGCACCTGAAGAATCCCCTGACAGGGTTGCACCAGTAGCCACTGAAACTGTTGATAAAGAGGAAGGGGACAGTGGTATTGATGCCAACAGCCAAGGCTCTTGTAGTTCTAGTGATGTAAAATCCAAGGATAGGCGGAAGGACAAGAAAAAGAAAACAACAAATGGAAGAAGTAATTTAAGTATCAACCTTAAGTCTGAGAAAGAGAATAGTCCACCTGACACAACGCCTGCTAATAGCAGAGTTGCCCCACCACCAACTGTCAACTCAAGGTTCCCAGAAGAACGAACTGTTGAAAGACGTACTGCCATTCCCTCCACTGCCTCTACCACCATTACATCAACAACTACTACTGCAACCTCCCGATCAATTCAGGAAAGGCAGGAAAGAAAGTTGAAATCTGAAAACAAAGCACCAAACCCTGTATATTCTCTGCATGCATATGAGACAACTTCAAGGCACCCTGCAGAAAGGGAAGACTTTGAAGCCACTGGAAATGAGACTTACACTCCAGTTTCCAAAACCAAGAAAGTTTCTCAGTTGTAAGTAGTGATTGTCTCTTTTTCATTCATTTTCTTTTAAATTAATTGATCCATCTTAACATGCGTGTAAATTGCTTGTGAACAGGTACAACTGTGGTGACGTTGGCAGATATGAAAGTGAAACGACCATCGTCGGCAAAGCAGCCTCCTCCACCAGTCCCAAGCAAGGGGGAAAGCGGGAGGAAGGTTGGAAGGAGGTTGTCAGGAAGTGAGTACTTAACGTGTGAAGAAGTTTTTATTACATTTTGTTATCCCTACTGATCCATTAATTCAGAGTTGTGCACACAAGTTTGCATTCCATGGCTAACATAAAATGGAAGTGTTTTCAAACAATAGCTCACTGTGACTTGATAATGCATGTCTATCAACTGGTTTCAATAGCCTTTCATATCCACCCCTTCCCCCTCTTATATTCTCCTGCTCATTTAATTCATTTATACACTTTTGTGTGTTTGAGTGAATGAGAATTTTGTGGTAAGACTTGCCAGCTTCAGTTGTTTATTGCTGTGTGACCCCTTCAAAAGAAAATCTTTGTCTTATTTGCCCCCCTGGTAAAAATTATGGAATTCGCAATTAGTTCCCTGCTATATTTGCATTCTTGGTAAATATTGAAAGGCTGACGGATTAATGTGGAACAAACTGAGCTTAGTTTGTTCTCCTCCTCATTGCTAGCCAAATGTAAACTTTGTTTTGGGTTTTATCAAAGTCTTGGTTAAATTATTATTGGTCATCAGTTGTTAGCACTCAAATGGTTATTAATTAATGTTAATATTTCAATTTCTAGATATTCGCCTTCGGTTCCAAATACTTATCCACAGAATTCCTCTTCCCACTTCAGGTGGGTCAAGTGAACATCAATACTTTAGGAAGCATGTGTTTTTGTTTGGATTGGACATAGCTCTGAAGAATTTCAACTTATTACTTTTGCATGAAATATTGACAGCTAATCAGAGCATTCTGTGTTAAATTTGATTTATTTTTGTCATAAACTTCGAAATGTATGTAGCTCTAGTGGAAACCTTCTGTCTGTTTCTCTCAGGTCAAAGAAGGTATCTGTGCCACTAAATGCCATTAGCAGAGTCATTGGCCGTGGTGGAAGCAATATCAATGCTATACGTGCTGCAACCGGAGCCCAAATTGAAGTTGAAAAGCAGTGCAAGGGACAAGGCGAAAGAATTATCACAATCAAGTACGTATTTTTTTTCATAATCTTGAAATTACTGTGAATCCCCTAAATTAATCTCTTTTCTCAATAACTTCAGGGGTTGTGCTGATGCTACACGCCAAGCTCACATGCTCATAGCCACTCTCATCAAAGATCCTGATGTGGATATCATGGGAATGCTTCCTAAGCCCATCAAATCTGGAGCAACTGTGGGGCAATGGGAAAAGCCTGCTCCCACTGTATGTACCACTAGTATTGTGTTTGGAACCTCAAGATATGTTAAATTTGATTGATGTTCTAATGTTGTTTTTGATCTCCAGGCTTTGAAGGTAAAACCAGCAAGTACTCCAGTTAGTGTGAAGCCAGCTGCTGTACCCACTGTTGCACCTACACCCCTTTTGGGATCTACACCAAGTTTGACCAAGATTGTGCCTTCACGTAAGTTTATCTAATTTTGAACTGGTGTGGGTCCGCAGTAGTTTGTCAATTTTTCTAATAATTAGATGTTAGCCTTTTTCGAATCTAATGGTATGGGAAGGTGGTGGCATATATTTGGAGCCTTTGTATTGGGGGTTAAAATGCACGTTCCCACCGGCCAGTGGTGAAGGTGCATGGACGACGGACCGTTTACGAATCGATAATTGCAAATGGCCAAGGATCGTACAACTCGACTGATGGATTTGGTCTTGCAGCTGGTGCCAACTCTCTGCTGCCTGCCTTGCGGTCTGCGGCTGTTTGCAAGCTCATGTCGTCATACTCTCCCCCGGTGACTCGCGGTACCGCACCACGTCTCGTGGCTGCAGGTAATGTAGCGGGGAGAGTAGTGTAGTGTAGTGTAGTTTGTGGTAGTTTGTCGGGAAGCTAGCCCTTTGTTGGAGGACGCGTTTTCACGCCACTGTTTGTCCCCTTCTTGCAGCGGAGAAGCGAGCCGCCATTCTGGCTGCCGCCAACACCAAGACCACCATGTCCTACACCTCGGCCATCATGACCTCGGGCCGCAACGCGGGCAAGGGCCACGCGCCCTTGGCCACGCAGACGTTCGCCGCCAAGCTGAGCGAACCGACGACGGGGGTGGTGGCGCCCGCCTCGAGTGCATCGAGCGCCGTGCCCACCAAGAGCAGGCAGCCGCCGACGCAGCCACCGGCCACCGCACCCGCCACTCCTTTGGTAAGTAGTGGACACGTCTGCTTACATGAGTGGCTAAGTGCAGTGTGCCCGCGTGCCCGCCCGTCAAGTTGCAGTCCTCTCGCATCCGCAATCTGAGACGCCCGTTGATGTGCAGGTATCCACCGTGCCTTCCCCGAAGCACCACCGCCCGCCGCCCATATCGTCGGCGCCTCCCAACATGACGACGCACTTGAGGAGCTCTTTGGCGCACACGTCGGTCAACTCGACGGCGGCGGCGCCGGGCGCGGCAGTGACCCTCGCCAACTCGGCGCGAAGCAGCAGCCCTGCGCACGCCGCGCACGCCCAGCCAATGGCGCCGGCCTCCAACGAGCTGGACACCGCGACCAGCAGCACGGCCACGCCGCTGACGTACTCCCTCTTCAACTCCGACAAGGTTCGTATGGCTGGCTGCTTCTTTTCCACCTTGCGGCTCGCGTACGTGATGGTGTGCCTGACCGACGCGTCCCTCTTTTGCAGACCATGTGGAGCCGCGACAGCGACGGCAACTCGACGCAGAAGGGCATGAACTTCGCCAGCGTGGCCGCGGCGGGCTCTGCTTCCGCCAACGCGTCGCACGCGTCGCTGCCGCCGACCCAGTACCTCGACTCGACGCCGCCGCAGGTGGACATCTCGAAAGCGCCGGGCTACCGCAAGAACACGACGTGCTCGCCCACCAGCGTGTCGTCCAAGCCCTGCAGCACCGCCAGCTCGCCGCCATCGCTGGGCCCCGCGGAGGCCGGGACCCTCGGCAGCGCCAACGCCATGCCGTCGCCGGTCAAGCCGCCCAACCTGCTGGCTCTGAGCCGGCCCGGCGCGCACCCGCACGCCCACCAGCACGCCCACCCGCACGTCAACACGGACATGCCGCCGACCTCGGCCGGCCAGGGTCAGGGCCAGAGCGGGCCCCAGGGCCAGCCGTCACCCATCATGCGGCACGGCCACGCCGGCCACGCGCCGCACGGCCACGCCGGCCATGGCCTCGGCCACGGGCCCAACCTGGAGATCCAGCCGCCAGACCTCGGCCTGTCCGTGGGTCACGGCCGTCAACCGGAGATGCAGCCATCGCCGAACAGCGGGCTGGCGGTGCAGCGCCCCAACAAGGACCAGCAAGGCCCGCTCGGTCCGCACGCCGCACACAACCAGCTTGGACACGGCCAGCACGGCCCTCAGGGCCAGCAGCCCTTGGCGTCGCCGTCGCAGCACATTCCGCTGCCCCACCGGCAGTCCTCGCCGCCCCACGGACAGCTGCAGATGCCGCCCACGCCCATGGGCAGCGCGCTCACGGTGCAGAGGCCCTCCATGCAGGACATGCAGCACTCGCCCAGCCGCAGCAACTCGTCCGTGGACATGCAGGCCATGTCGCCGTCGCCGCAGGCCAACGCGCACCAGGCGCAGCAGCAGGCCCAGCAAGGGCAGCAGGCGCCGCAGGGGCCGCCCCCCAACACCAGCATCCCCCCGCCGGGCCACGGCCAGGGCCACGGCCACGGCATGGGGCCCAGTCACGGCCACGGGCCGCACGGCCCCCACGGCCACCACGGCCCGCCCGGCCACAACCACATGATGCGGCCCATGAGCATGGAGATCCCGCACAACTCGTCCCTGAACCACAACATGGTGGTGCGGCCCAACAGCATGGTGGACGTGTCCCAGAACCCCAGCCAACCCCAGCCCCCCGGCCCCGGCCAGTCCGGCCAGCCCCAGAGGTTAGATCTAGGTCCTTCAGACTACGGCGTTCGTTCGCACGCCCCCGTGTTTCCGGACGACAACTCGGGCCTCTATAGCAATTCCGGCCCTGACGCGTTGCTGGGCATGGTCCCCGGCATGACTGACATGCTCAACACTGCCGTGAGCATGTCACGCCTCAACCCGCGCGCTCCTGACTTCTCTAGCGCCATGCACCACACCAACAAGCCCCCTCCCCACCCTCCTATGTTCCAGTCTGCTCCTCCGTACCTCCCTCCCACCATGCTTGGCCCTCCCGGTCCCCTCCCCAACAAGTTCCACCCTCCGCGGCCCGCTCCCGGACACGGGCCGGGGCCTAGCCATGGGCCTGGACACGGGCCGGGGCAGGGGCCAGCTGGGCACGGGCCCGGACACGGGCCTGGCAGCTCGCACAACCGCTGGCCCTTCATGCCTCACGGCCACCACGGCTACCAGCCTGACGCGGCCAACTTCAACGTGCTGGGCTCGCTCAATCACCCCTCCTCGGACATGATGCCCCCCATGGCGGAGAACGGCAACTCGCCGCCGTCGCCGAACCACGGCCACGGTCATGGCCACGGCCCGGGCGGGGCTGGCGGGGCCCTGGACACCCCCATGAAGGCGCCGCCGCGACCCATCGGCACCGAGCGGCACCTCAAGCACCACTCGATGGGCGGGGACACGGTGACGGGCGCGGACTGGCTGCTGGGCCTGCCCAACGTGAACCAGCCCCACCAGGCGCACCAGGGCCAGGCGCACGGCCAGGCACACGGCCAGGCCGACCACAAGATGTCCTGGGCAGGACCGCAGATGTTCCGCTCCAATCCGCCGCCCTACGACCTGCCGCCTATGGACACGTTTCCGGTAAGTGTGCTGCTATCTGCCGCTGTGAACCGTTAACGTAATCAGAAATTTGCATCATCTGCTTTCACGGTCAGAGGTTGAGCTCGTTTTTCTGTCACTGTGTTATTTCTAATAAATTGTTAGCATCTTTGTGATCTCGGACCATTGCTGTGCCGCTGTTATTTGATTTGGTGTTTGGTTTCGGTTTTGCAGCTGGGCATGGACAACCAGTTCCACAACGGAGGCAACACCGCGGCCGCGGCGGCCGCTGCGCTGCTGCACCACTCCCACTCCATCCCCATGATGAACCCCAACCCCTACAGCTCGGGCGGCGCCGGCGCGTTCGGCGCGGACCTCGGCCACGACGCCATGAAGATGGACGCCTCGAGCTGGGACGGCCCCAACAGGCTGGGCATGCCCGAACTGAACGACAAACAACACGTAAGTGTGGGCCGAAGGCGGGAGAGAGTCCTACATTGCCACCCCCTACTTGGGATGACCTGTTTTGTCAGACACAGTTCGAGTCTAATTTAACCACCAGGACTGGACTACTGTGCGGTCTTTAGATCTAAGCACCTTCACAAGTTATTTTTTCAGTTTGCAAGGTACTCATTGAAATTGTTTGATTTCAGGGATGGACGAACAAGTGGAGCCATTAGTAGTTCAAGGTGTCTACGTTCTTGGGATTTTGTTATGAAGAAATAGCGCAAGGATACTGAACCAATAGAATTCCGACGTGTTTTCTTTATGATTTTGTTCTAGAATGGCTTTTTATTTCTGTGGTAGTGTTGGTTTTTCCGCTGCTTGAAGAAATGTCAGTTTGGTAGTGAGCCACATTCAGACCATGTGAATTTCTCCTTCTGCACTTGATTCTGTGCAGATCCTTAATGCAGTGAATCTGATGTCAACTGTGCGGTTGGCACGTACTCTTTACCTAAGACTTGGATTAAGTACCCTATTTGGCATGATGAAACCCTGAGAGGTGTTTGGATCCAAGGTTGAACACGAAAGCATTGTGCGTCTCAACTTTCTCTTAATATTGCCGGTGTCTTTCTGGGTTTGATTGTATGCTTGTACTTCTACTAGTACCATAAGTATATTTACAGTGCAGTGACTGCAGGTTTCAATCTTTCATTCATATCTTGTAGTCATGTCAGTAATACTTTCCTTTTATTTTCCCATTAGTGATGGGAACTGTTGGTCCTCAGTTTGTAATGTATCCCAGGAACTTTTTTAAAAATGTATGTTCTACAAATGTAGCTTTGAGAGAGAAGTGTGGAGGTATTTAGGCATATTATTATGCTGTAGTTGATCACTGCAGTACAGTTGGGCGACATAAGGTCAGGGTTAATGGTGAAATGAATTTGTTAACCAGATTGATCATACAATCTTTGGTTCATTTTTCAATTTGTATTTTGATGATGTTTGTTTATTGCAATGCCATAAAGGATCAATAATCTCTTGTGGCTTTATGTAGCAAACCAATATTAAGACGTTGCTGGTGGTGATGTTAGTGGAGTAGAAGTGTGACGGGTGGCATACTTCTATTCTTTATATTGTACAGATGCTCTTTTGAGCTATAGTTAATGGCTGCACGTCAGCCAGTCCAGAGCGATGAATGCAGTAAAGAAATGTTATATTGCTTGTACATGAAGACTAAAATAAATCTTTATGCACTGTGGTTTGTCTTGTATTTCTCATCATGGTCCACACACAAAATTATCACTTACAAAATAATTGGAATTGAATATACACAGGTAACAGTTTCAATCAAAGTATTATTCACTTCTTTGCACCTCCGAACCCCGAAAATCCCATGATAGCCGCAAGCTCAGACTGGCCTTCAGATTCTTGATCCAAATCATCGTCCAATTTCCTCTTCTTTTCCTTCTTGCGCTCCTTTCGGTACTCTTTCAATTTATCCTCCTGCAGAAAAAATGTAGCAATCAGGTAACTGAATAAAGGGGAAGATGCAAGACTGAATACTTAATAATTTCATACCTCTTGTCTTATTTCTTTCATTCGCTGCTCGATATCGTAATCTCGCTTTTTCTCTTCCATTTTCTTCTTGTTCAACTCAAAACGTTTTTTGACCTGATCTAAAGATGAACGTTCTACTCTCATGGACATGCCCAAGTTACGTTGATCTGGACAAAGAAATAAGCTTGAAACAATTTTCAGATCATGCCAAAAACATGCAAACATGTTAAATGAAAACTTACGTTTCTTTCCATTGATATGGTCCAAGAAGTTAATAGAATCTTTCACAACGCAGTCACACACATTGCAGTAGTATCTATGAGACAAAATAGAAGTGAGACTAGAGGGTCAAAAATAATCAAATATCAAAGAAGAAGAATATGAATACTAAGTACACACCCTCCTGTTTGAGACGATGGTGTGTTTTTAGTAATAACAACACTCTTTCCAAGTTTTCCTTCAAGATCAACACGATAGTCTCTTTGACGCAGCAATTCTCTGGTGACTGGTGCCGGTTTCTGTTTGCCCTCTTCCAACGCTTCCAACTCCTCCCTCAGGCGTTCTTCTGCCAATCTTTCGAACTCTTCTTTGTCCCATTTTCTGCGATGATCCTCAGGAGCAGAACTTGACCCCTGCAACAGGAAACAAACAATCAAGTTCGTGTGGGGCTATGTGGGGAAGAAAGGAAACATAGCTGATGAAGGATGAAGTCCCAACAATCAGTACATTCCAGTAGTAATGGAACAGTCAGCTAAGAGAAAATTGTAAGACTTGTAGGGTTACAAAAATTGAGTCAACCATATCAGCACCATATTGAGCCATGTAATTTAATATCAAAACATGTTAGACAGTCTTTAGTTAACTTACGCTGCCTGATGCCATTTCGGCAACTTTAAGTAGGATGTTTGTTGCTCTTGTTTACTATCGTCGTTCTTGCGAAAATGAAAAGAAGTTAGGAGACGCGGGGTGGGGAGTGGGGAGGAGGTGGTGGAGGGAGGAGAGAGGGCGAGGGGGAGAGGGCGGGGGCGGGGAGGAGGGGAGGTTCAACCTGCGAATAAGTGAGGAGTGCGAGTAGTGGTCTCCTGCGAGTAGCGTGGAGGCGGGAGCGACTCGAGTGTCGTGTTTTTGTACCTTTGACCGTGTTCTGCTGACCGTTTAGCAATTCTAGCAATGATGGAGTGACTTATCTAGTCTACACCTCAAGAGAGTTCCCTCTTTGCATTTGAATTTCTTTGGTGGTTTGTCACCCGACACGTGGTGTGTTAGGTTAACCTAGATACCAAGATGCCCGTGTGTGCTGTGTGTTCTGGCACTGATTTTGTTTGCGAGTCGGGGTTTTATTACTGCTCAGAATGTCAAACTCAATCTCAGGTACGTTGAGCTGCCTTCACGGACTTCACATGTATCTCCTAGGTGTTTGAATTGTTGTGACGTTTTGAATGATTGCAGGACATTAGAGAGGAGGTACATGAAATCGATGGAGATCATGTGGGAAAACCAGTTGGAGGAAAACGAAAAAGATCTTCAACTGGTCGAACTAAATCACCTGTGGCTGTTGAGGGTAAATTCGTGCCCTTAATGAGAAAATGGTATGGTTGCATCGTTAATCTGTCTATTTCTTTTTATTCCAGAAAATATAACAACATGGGAAGGTTTCAACTTCGCTTTGGTTGGACTAGTAGATGAATTGATCAGTTTAGGAGCAGATCCTCTTTTAAAAAAATATGTGTTACGGATTTGGGTTGCATATCTGGCAAAGCTCGAAATAGCTTTTACTTCTAAGACAGAACCTGCTATTCCCAAATTAGGCCCAAACTACAAACATCAGTAAGTTGAATGTCATTCCTAAATCTAAGACTGGGTTCAGATCAGAAAATCTTAGCTACAATTTTATGTTTTGCAGGGATGCTGAAATCATCTATGGCTACTCGGAAAGAAAAGCCAGGCAGCAAGAGGCGAAGGAAAGCAAGAGAAAGAAACACAAAAAGAAAAAAAATGATGATGATTTATTAAATGATACCAATGACTCTGGGAAAGATCTAAGAAAAAAGAATATTAGGCGCAAAGTAAGAGTATAAACATAAAACTGCACTTCATTTGAGTGTGATAAATGACTTTCATTATTGTTGTATATTTTAGAGAGTCGCTATCAAAATGGACTATGAGAAAACAATGCACGAGATGTCTCTAGCTAGTCAATCCTTGACAGATGTAACACTTGAAATGCTATCCGCAAGGAAACCAGATGATGATGATGAGTGTCCGGAGGGTGAGGAGAAAAAACAAAAGGGTTTACAGTGAGTTAAGCAACATAAACCTGTTTAAATGTCTAAATTGTGTATTGTTAAACTTTACTTGGCAGGGAATTTCACTCACTCTTCCTGTTTTGGTGCCCAAAGATTTTTCACTTTTTGAGTAAATTTTTGAGAGTTTTTTAATTGTTTGGTCTACAGATTAAGTGAAATTGGAGAGAAGTTTAAAGATAATTTTGATTATCTGCACCCTGGTGTCTTAGTACGAGGCAAACTCCCTGCCATTCTCTACCTTGGACTTCTTATGACAGGTGGCAAGATTAAGCTGAGTGATCTTATCAGGTAAAGGCTTTGGCTTTTGGCCTTGTGTTTACCATACTACAACTATGTCAGGCTCTTAATTTGATTTACAGATGGATGTGGGAAGGCCATGTGTCATACAGTTATTTGTGGAAATTCTTTCCTCCAGAGGCAAAAATAATTGGGGAGACTTATGCAACCTTTGGAGCTCAGGTTCCCCCCACTGCATATCATTGGGTTCTTGAAGGAACTCAGCAGCTTGGCAATTTTATTGATGTTAAAGCTTTGAAAGCACCATGCCTAGAGGATATGATAAGGCACTACACAACAGAACTGAATCTTCCTGGTTCGTTCAAGTGAATTTTGCAGGTAATTGTCCATTTCATGGAACTAAATTTTATTTTCCTGTTTTCAGATCAGATATGCTTAATAGCCCTTCGGCTACTTGCTCTCTTGCCCAAAATGCAAAATTCTGCTACCGTGACAGTGAGAGAGAAGCTCCCTAACTGGGAGGGAATAGCAATGGCACATGTAATTGTAGCTTTGAAGATTTTATTTGGCTTGGATGACTGCACTGAAAATCGCAACTCCAAAGTGGCAAGAAGAATGAATAAGTGGGTCCCATTCTTCCTTTTTTTATGATTATTAAGAGAAAGGAACCGTTCGGTTTTGCAAATCTGTCATCACCCATTTTCTTATTTACTTTTATTACTACAGACTGATAGCTTCTCAACATGGATCTTTAAAGTTGTTTGTTTGGGATGATTGGGTGAAGTTCATTACCCTTCGCCAAACTGCTTTGATGCTGTTGCATGATCGATCAGCCCTTCAAAACAAGTTGCCTACATCTGCAGTTCAAAACATAAGACCTCTCGTATCTTTGGTGAAGAATAAATATGTAAAAGATACTAAGTATGGTAAGTAAGGTCGCATGTACTTAGTACTGAAGTGGCTTTTCCTCAAGTACTGATAAAATTCCTTCCCCTTTGTTTTTTTAAAATCGTAGCTACAAGAAAAACCATTTTATTGATGGAAACACACAAACAAATTTTGTCAAGACTTGTGTCCAAAGATCCTTTGAGTGAATCCAATGACATTTCGATTGCTTTTCCTCCCAGTATATCCCCTTTATCTGACTACACAAAGGTATGTTTCCCGAAAGAGTCTTTGTTTGGTTCTACCCTTTTACTAAAATTACTAAATTACTAAAATTAAAAATCTTCAGGTTATGATAAAAGCCTGTCAAGACGGACAGTTCAACTCAGCCTCTGGAGAGTGGGGCCATACCGTGAGGGGAATGAATCTTGACATGTTGGCAGAAAATTTTTCGAGCACAAAGGTTGACTACCTCACACATCCAGAAAGGTGCAAATAATGCTTTCTTTTTGCAAAGTATTTTTTTTATCCTGTCATGGAATTACATTTATACATTGTTTGTTTGGATTTTTTCTCAGTTATGTGGAATGGGCTCAGCAGCAAGGCCTGCGTGTGGGGCTACACAGTGGATCAGGAGTCAATGACCTCAAATATCCAGCACCTGAGAAACGACATTGGAAGTACAATAATCTTCTTCTCTACCGTGTCAAATTGATCTTGGACGAAAATGAAAGTCAGCTCAACCCCACCATACCACAAACATCCCATTTCACTGGACAGAAACGCAACTACAAGTGCCACAAACCCATCGTTTATCCTAAAGTTGGAGATGGGACAGAAAAGGTTCCTTTGCCAATGATAACTGAAATGACAGATTGTGCTCCAGAAAAGGTCATCAAATCCAAAATGAAGGAAAAGAAGACAGTTCTTAAGTCCTCAAACGAAGAATTTTCCAATGAGGACGAAGAGAACATGCTGCACACACCCCACACGGAATATTGGATGTTACACTTTGCTGATGTACGTGAAACTAGTTTCCCAGGCAGATACACAGATTACAAGAGACAACTGCCTGCATCATTTGCATTCTTGCTTGAAGAATGTGCTTCATTGTTGGAGATGGAACCATCACTTTTATACAGAGAAGTTTCAAACTTGGAAGCAATGCATATGGATCTAGCCAGCTTTGATGATTTAAAAGCAACTGGGTCCATTGGGTCCAACTACAATTTGAAACAGTATGGAAAGGAGCAGTATGTAAAGTATTTAAAAAAGTGTTGGTGATAAATGTTGTAATTCATTAACCAATAAAGCATTTAATATATAATACAATGCTTGGTCAAGCATTTTTCTTTTCTTTACTAAGTCCAATTTTTCATAAACCGAACCGAGCAGGAGTCCTCCTAGGTGTGGCTGGGGTGTCTGGCTCACGACTACCTGGAGTAATGATGTCACTCCTTAGACAAACAGAGAAACAAGTTATTTTGGTCAAACTGACTGAACTAGACAATGGAAACAATAACTGATATGATAAAAAGTAGTCCTTACTTTCGTTGAGTGGCAAGAAATTTACGTTCTTGTTCCTCCTTGCGTGCAATTATTTCAGCCTCTGCCTGCTTCATTTGTGTCTCCATATCAGCTAAATGTTGCTGTGCTTGGCGTCTCTTGGCTTGTCCTGATCTATTAGTTTCCTTGATAGAGAAGAACATAGGCCCCAATTCCGCAAGCCACTGGCCATCCACAGCTGTGACACATTGCATGTATTCCTAAAAAGGAGAAAGCAATTCATTCCACGAACGAACAGACACATTCCTTAGCACAGACCCTTTAAATTACCTTTGCAGTCATGATGAGTTCATGGTACACAACATAATCTGGAGTGAAACCCATTCCAAATAATGCTGATGTAGGGTGTAGATGGCAGGGCATTCCAGTTCGGCTATTAACATACTCTCCTATACCCTTCAGGCGTGCAGCTTGGTGGAAGTAGGCTGGAACAAAAATCATTTTATTTCCTTTTTCCACAATTAAAGGGAGAATTACTCTAATTTATATTTTCTTATTTTTTAATAACAAATTTGGGAAAACGATTGCTGTCTTTGGGGCAGTTGGAAAATCAAAAGTACAAGAAACAATTGCTTGAATGTGAACTCTTAACTTTAATCACTTATGATAAATAATAAATAAGGTTAATTGAAGCTTACCCGAACAGATACATTTTCTTATAATATCCCAGTTAGTTCCACAAGAAACACAATCCAACTTCTGTTGATCCAATATGTCCTTGAGCTGCTGTCTCACTTCCCGGACTTTTCTCATGGCCTTGACGTGAATGAAGTGTTCATTACACCAAGATGCAGAATAACTGGAGGAGAATGAATAATATTACTGAGAATAAGATAAAAATGCAAAAAAACAGATAATACATTGAAACCTACTTGTTGGTTTTCCATTGGTTGTACACATTAAGGTATGTTAAATGGTCTGATTCAGGAACTTGAAACTTTTCTCTAACTGCATCAGCTTCTTCCTCTCTCCCTTTCGGTCGGTAAAATATGGAGGGGACTGACAACATTGACACTGCAAATCAAGATAATGTAAGGAATTTTTTTAATTTATTCTTCCTCTCTTCTTTCATGAGCTAGTTTCTTCCCTGTGTACAATATTAGGTAGGCAAAGGAATGAACTTACCTATGATGAGCACATCAGCTGAACAACCCATTTGGCAAGACACAATCAGCATTTGACATTGAGGAGGGTCCAAAGGAAACTCAGCCATCTGCCTCCCCAATGGTGTCAGTGTCCCAGTATTATCTAGGGCGCCTAAAATCCACAGTTGGTAGAGGGAGTTCAAAATGTTGTCCTATAGGATTGCCGCCCCAAAAACAATAATGATAAAATAAAATAAAATTTAGTCTTTGTATTTTCGAAAATAAGTTTCAATAAAAAGAATAGATGATTTATGATGAACTACACAAACCTGGGGAGGTGGGTCCATAAAGTGGAACTGTAACAAATCTTGAACTCCTAACGATTTTAATAATAAGACAGTATTTGCCAGATTTGTGCGCTGAATTTCAGGCACTGTTGTTACCAAAAGTTCATCTTTGTACTGACGCTCAGTGTATAATCTGAAACAAAATTAACAGAAAAATCTTATGTGCAAATGTGGTCCAGAACAAGGGCCTGAAAGATTGAACTACATGGCTGCATACCTGTAACACTGTCCAGGGCCAGTACGACCCGCTCTGCCTGAGCGTTGATTAGCATTAGCCTGACTAATGGGATAGATTTGAAGAGCGTCCATACCTATTCGAGGGTTATAAACTTTCAGCTTGCAGTAGCCAGCATCAACAACAAAAATTATGCCATCAACTGTAGCAAAAACAACAAACTTAATTATTATTTATACACAATTAAAAATGAATCATAACTGACAAAGAATTCAAAATGTTACCGGTAAGGGAGGTTTCAGCAATATTTGTGGCTACAACACACTTCCGTATATTTTCTGGGGACTTTTGAAAAATTTTTGCTTGAAGATCAGAAGGCAATTGAGAATAAATTGGAAGTATAGAAAGGGCAGGCGCATTTTCTAGCTCTCCTAATCTCTCAGCTAAGACTTCACAAGTTACTTCAATGTCTTCTTGACCTGGCATGAAAATCAGAATATCACCTGCAAGAAAAGATTTTGTTCCAGTATCAATAAGAAATTATAAATATTATGACCCCATTGTCCATTAAATCCTACCAACTGTAGGCTGCAAATGAATCTGCAATGCCTGCTTCACAGCTGCATCAACATAATCTTCAACTGGATTTCTGCTAAAGAGTACATCAACAGGGAATGTGCGACCAGGTATGGTGTAAGAAGGCACATTTCCAAAGAAAGTTGAGAATTTCTCTGCATTCATGGTAGCTGATGTGACAATAAGCTTAAGATCATGTCTCCTTGCTACTATCTGAAAGAAAAGTTTTGAGTCCAAAATAGTTAAATTCTATTTCACTACAAGCAACAAGATAACATTACCTCTCTCTGGTATTACCTCTCTTAATAAACCAAAAAGAACATCAGTGCTCAGTGATCTTTCATGAGCTTCATCCATAATGATGCAACTATAATTATCAAGATCTGATTCCCTCAACGACTCTCGAAGTAGGATACCATCTGTCATGTACTTGATTACCGTTTTCTGAAATTGAATAGTAAATTATTATTTAAATATCTTCAAATTTAATTCAGGCATTGAGCTTTTAAACAAGGGCTTGCCTCAGAAGTGCAATCTTCAAATCGGATGGCATAGCCAACTTCTTGACCAAGACCAGTTCCCATTTCATCTGACACTCTCTTTGCAACTGACATTGCTGCAACACGACGTGGCTGTGTACATCCAATCATGCCATATTTACTGTACCCTTCTTCATGCAAATACTGAGTCAATTGAGTAGTTTTTCCACTCCCAGTTTCTCCAACAATTATAACCACATTGTTTTCTCTAATAACATTCAAAAGCTAGAAAGGGAAGAAAAAAAGTGTTCATTAAGTGAATTGAGGCACTGAAAGAGTGGCTTTGGCATGCCAAGATGATTTTGAAAACCACCAAAAAACATACAATGACCATATGATAATCTTCATATCCTTCAGTAATACCAAACAAACCAAATTAATGCTTGAATGATCACAATAATGGTATTTGTACATTTGTACAGGGCTTTCCCTCACTAAGAAAGATTTCTTGATCAAATAAACAGTTAACAGAAATGGTACTTCATAGGCTGTGTCAAAGTTCCCCGCAAGCCAAAGTCACCCTTCTTTTAAAAAAAAACAAAAAAAACAGGTGTTTAACCAAAAAGAAATCTTGACTAACCTCCTGTCTCACAGCAAAAACAGGAAGGTATTGGCGCTGTTGTAATATTGATTTCTTCTTAGCGAATTCACTAGAGGCTGCTGGAGTATCCTTCATATGATCAGCAAACTTCTGCTCCGTCTTGTAATCGGCACGATCGTCATCTCCCATCCCTACATCTTCTTCTTCTTTCTTCTTTACACCCATTATATTACCAATTGTAGTGCCTCCTAGCTCCCAATGCTTTTTTTGCGCTTTTCTCCGTTCCTTTTGTTCCCGATAGGTGCGTACCAGGGCAGAGCCTTTTCTTGAAGTAAGAGCCATGTCTGAAGTAGGATCCTGAAAGAGAAGATTAATAATAATTTGAACATTTAACATGTTATCTGATAATGAATGATCTGAGTCATACCTTGACAGGAACAACAGGCTCTGGTTGCTTAGTGAACACAATTCTACCGTCAAGGAATGGAGGAACAATGTTGTGAACTAAAAGATGCACTCTTGCTTCATTTTCCTCCTCAAAATCTTCATCGACGTCAACAGACTGAACAACACCTGACGTTAACATCCGATTTCGTTCCCAAAGCTCATTATCCTAAATAAAACAAAACAACAAAAAAGCAAGAAATAAGAGATTGTTCAAGACACGACACCAAACATATCAGATTTAAAATTGAATCTGACAAAGGTCAAATTTTCTTCCTACTTTATTTATTTGCCTCTGCTGGGCTGACATTCTCTTCTTCTTACGTTGCTCTAATTGTTCCTCCTTTTTCTTTGTATATTCTTCACTCAGGTTTGAAAAGGGATTCTGGGTATCATCAAAGCCATCATCAATGTTATACCACTCTCTGTCCAGCCGTTTCTGTTCCTCCTCCCATAGCGCTTTGTCTTCGTCTTGGGCCCACTGTATGCCATCATCTGAAAATTCATGAGAAAGGAGCATGGTGATTTAAATTACCAAAAACTAAATAAATAAATAAATCAGATCCTGAAAATTGGAGAATTACTTAACATGATACTTGCCTTTACCAATAGATGGAGTGGCACCTGTCTTTTTGCGGTCTTTAGCCCACGTATTGAATTTGTGAGCAGGAGTCGGCCTTGGTGTCTCATCTGCACGATCTTTACGATCTGGTCTGTTGAGGGAAGAGGAGAAGGAATTAAGAGAAACATTGCATCTAGATACTTAAAATGTGTTGTTGTTTTTGTGATTTTTTTTTCTAATTTGGATGAACATGAATGCATTACCTGTCTGTTCTCCTTCTATGAGATCTTTCTGACCAATCAGAGTCACTTGATTTATGGACTTTGGGGGTAGGCAAATCCCAACTTGATCTGCGCCCGGGAGTTGGGTCATCTTCATCCCAGCCAGACCTGGAATATTACAAACAGAGGCTAAGTTAACATCTAGGACCTGAATAGCTCAAGGATAAATGCATAAAATCACATACCTGGAGGGACTATCCCTAACGTTAAAAGAAGGTGTACGAGGTTCATCACGGAAGCGTGGAGTCTCTGACCATTCTCGGGAACGGCTTGAGCCACGTTCATGCTCACTGCGTTGAGACTTGTCACCTTTTTGACTTCGCTCACTATCTACAGCAACAAAATTAATTACAAGTTAAGTTAAACAAGAAACTCAAGTATGCAAAAGATACTTTGTTCTTCCATTACCTCTATGGTCTCTTCTGTCATTTCTATCCCTTTGTCTGTGCCGGTCTCTATCTCTGCTGTAGTGATCCTTACTCCTATCTTTTTCTCTATGCCTGTCTTTGTTCCGATATTTATCCCTCTCATTTTTCTGATATTTTTCTCTTGTCTGTTTATCATCATGTGACTCATTGTCATCACCCTTTGATGTCAGATGAATCCCTCTTTCTCGTTTGGCAGTGTGCTCTGCCAAACGGTTTCGAGCAGCATCACTCAAACCTCCTGTGTGAGTTGGCGTTTCTTCACCAGAAGATCGATAAATTCTGCAGAGCACAGATTATGTTAATAACAAACACTTAAAGTTGTATAAGAAATGAAATATTCTAAATGGAGGAGAGAAAGAAACAATACCTTTCAAGTTTCTGTTTTGATGATTTTGATTTATCCATGACATCGCGTCCCTCGATTCCATTATTATCATCAGTGTTATCATCCTCATCACTGTCGCCCTCTTGATATGACATCACTTTGGATCTTTTGAAAGCTCTGTCATCTTGATCATCTTCTTTATCTTTTCGGCGAGCAGCTGAAATAAATGTTTTACATGAGAAACAACATGGTAAACCATCAATATCAATGAATGGAGATTTGAAGCGGTTGACATTGCATGTACCTGCCAACCTATCAAGCCCTAAGAGTGACTTTTTCACTTCTGGAACTTTAAAGACAGAGCTGCCTCCATCCTGACTCTTTTTCTTGATGATGAGGCCTCCTTGTTGGGCCACTGGCGCAGCCAGATGATAAACACCATCATCATCGTCCATTTCCACTCAACACTTGACACTTGACTGGAAGAAGGGGTCAATCAATCCTGAAATTGAAAGTATGCCACCCAATCTCGAGGTTTCGCAAGGTAAGTTGTCTAGTATAAGGATACGACGAAAAGGTATAAGAAACGTTCTAGGAACGATTTTGTTTCTGTTAGTACAAGGAATCATAACCTTAACAAAAACAAAAGAGGCCGATAAAAACAGACCGCGCGCAAGAAATTTTTCATGAACAGGGATAGCGAAAAGTATGACCAACAAATAGAGTAAAAAAGGAAAAGTACTCTTTGTATTTTTAACTATCCGAGCACGTCACGCAGGCTGGCAACAGCAGAACATATCTATACAGAAAGATACCCAATCATGTTTCAGCGAATCTAGCCTATTGGTCATCATTATTCCCCATTGTCGACAACGGATGGGGTGTGGCACTAACACATTTCTGGCATGTAGCGTCTGCTGATGTTTTGACCTGGCAGGGTGTTTGTTAGGTGCCCTGAGAATCAGGTGAATATTGCGCGTTTATTGACTTTCTTATCGAAAGCAAGTATCTTCTCTATATTTCCATTATGTCTTTGCCATCTTTGTAGCAAAACCATCAAAACTAATCCTTGTGGCTTCTGCTCAGGTCCTCTGTATGCATTGTCATAACCTGTTGTTCTGTCATCACGGTCATCACCCGGAGCATCGGGAACAGAAGGAAATAGAATCACTTCACAATGGGGAACACGGCTTTGAAGCAAAAATATGAAACTGCCTCCAAAACTGGTGTCCTGAAAATATCTCAAAGGAAATTAACGGAATTTCCAAAGACAGTGAAGTGCTTAGAACAAACACTTCGTGTCCTGGATTTTTCTGAAAATCATTTTACCTCGTTACCCAAAGAAATAGGAGTATTCATTCATTTAAAGCAGCTTAATTTGGAAAGTAATAGACTTGTGAGCATACCTGAAGATATTGGTAATTTAGTGAAATTGGAAACATTAAATATAAGCAATAATCAACTTACATCATTGCCTGCATCTCTTGCTAAACTTAAGCATTTGAAGCAAGTGCAAATAACAGACAACCTTCTTACAGTTTTCCCTACCATGTTGTGTAATCTTAAGCATTTGGACTTTCTGGATTTGTCACGAAATAAAATAAGTGAGATTCTCGATGGCATCGAAAGCCTGTATGTAATAGAACTTGTGTTGAATCAAAACCAAATACGATCTGTATCTGATTGTATAGCTCGTTGTCCTCGTTTAAAAACTCTGAGGCTGGAAGAAAATTGTTTACAACTGTCAGCTGTTCCACATGCCATTCTCACTCAATCTTCCATATCAATGATTGCACTAGAAGGAAACCTTTTTGAAATGAAAGAATTTATGAACCTTGAGGGCTATGATGCATACATGGAAAGGTATACTGCCGTCAAGAAGAAAATGTTCTAGAAGATTCAATGAATGCTATTTTTCAGGCTACTGTGTGTTCAATATTTGGTACTTGATATGTCCATGGATCTGTCCAATTGATTGAGGCACAGGAGTCCAAGTCATTACAATTGTTATTATTGAGTCAAGATGCTTCAGAAAGGGACCAGCCCAGATTTTTTATTATGGTGATAATAATTTGTTTTTTTAGCGATCATATACTTTATTCCACTCTATTTTTTTAATCACTCTAATATTTATGATTATTTTGCTTATCCCAGCTTGTAAAATAGCTTCAACACATTTTTTCAGATTCGAAAGCATGTTTACGCCTTTATATCTTTAGCTTGTCAGCGATTAAAGCCCCCTAACACAATATTCTTGTAGCTCTCAAAATGCTGTTATTCTATTTCTTCTTTATGCTTACCCAGTGTGTTCATAGATATTTGTGCTACTTTCACATTGTATTTATTCATGTTGTCCCCTTTGATATTGTGTTGTACTGTATTTTAAATTTTAGCACTGCATTTTTTAAAAGTGCTAAGCTTAAAAAAAGAAAAAAATGAAATACACTCAAATGCACTTTTATTGATATCTTATTTACGGTAAGAACTGAGTGGAGTGTTTTCATTGCCCATCATCGTCACACGAATAGATTAGAGCCAATAACTCAGACGAGGTGACCGCGTCGGTGCGCGCGCCGAATTTTCCCAGTGGGCAAACCGACCTCAGACCCAATGGACTTTGCTGCCTAGTCCTCACGTCTCCGTTTGAAGCCATACAAGCCCTGTTTCACCGTCAGGCGCGGATCCGGGGGGGGGGGGGGGGGGGGGGGGGTCGCGCAAAAATTCGCACATTACCCCTGTAGGTAGGGTAGGCAACTTTCGCGACATCGCCCCCCCCCCTGGATCCGCCCTTGTTCACCGTGTGGGTCTGGGATAGCTGCCCTCATTGCCTGAAGCGCTTTGTGACGCCTGCGAGGTAGGCCACCGGCTCGGACTGCAAGATGGTGGCCTACCTCGCAGACACAACACTGTTAGAGCCCTACATCCCCTTCGGGGATTGCCCCCGAAGGGGTAATGTAGGGCTCTAGCAGTGTAGTGTCTGCGAGGTAGGCCTCCGATCCGTCACGCAAGACCCCGCTGTGGAGACGGTGGCCCACCTCACAGTTGTAGGGCTTTACTGGCAGTGTAGCGCCTGCGAGGTAGGCCTCCGATCCGTCCCGCAAGACACCGCTGTGGAGACGGTGGCCTACCTCGCCCCTAGCAGTGTAGCGATTGCGATTTACGGCTGGACCACAAGTGATCGTCTGCCTTTCGGGCTCGCCCCGCCATGTCGGTGATACACCAGCACATGACGGGTCGTCCCTACTGAGAGTAGTGGTTTTCTCGGTAGACCGGGAACATACGCCCCGCATCTGGGTATGTAGCGGGAGCAGCCTTGCCTCCGATCCGTCCTGCAAGACACCGCTGTGGAGACGGTGGCCTACCTCGCCCCTGCCATCTTCACAGGGGCAACATAGGCCACCGTCTTCACACAGGTGTGTTGCGGGCCGGGCAGATGGCCTTCCTCGCAGGCGCTAAAGGATGCCCACGACGGGGTAGAGTTCAAAACATGGTTTTACTGGATGTTTAGGATCACCTTGAGATAAAAGACTAAAGTTCCAAAATGGTCACAGTGCAAAGGATGCAAGGACGATGAAAACTTTGAGTTTGTCTCCGAATGAATATAATTTTATTGAGATCGGATCAGACGATTAATCTGAGGAGTCGTCGTAGTCATCGTCGTCGTCGTCGTCACCTCCCCCGCCGCCCATGATCCAATCAATGATTTTGTTGATGGGCAACTTGTTGAGCAGAGCGTTTGCCGTCTCTTTGATCGTCATGGACAAAGCTTGGTTCACTTCCTCTCGGTACATGTCCAAGAAGGCGGGGCCGACGTCGCTCACGATGCCGCAAACCAGGTCCCCCACTTCTCCTCCCCCGAGGAAGTTGGACATGACGACCTGTAGGACAGCCGTCAAGCTTTTTGTAGTCAACAAGACCAACAAAGAGTATAACTCTTCACTTCAGAGCTGTGGCTGCAGATATCCAAGAATCATCTCTACACACCCCTGATCCCTGATTCGAGCGCTTTCTTTACTCTATCTCGCACCAGTAATCTCGGAATCAGTCTGCAGAAGCTTGGCAAGCGGGGGACTTCCCCGCATTCCTCACCTTAAGCTTCTCCAGTTTGACGTAGATGCTGAGCTCCTCCACGCTGAAGTACTCGTTCTCGTACCCCAGCCGCACGGAGACCTCCACCGTCGGCCTGTACAAGCGGATGCTGCGGGACAAAGGGATGCCGCGAATGAGATTGAGAAAACCCGGGGGAAGGGGGGGGGGGCGAAGAGGAATCGTCTAGCACACCGAAACTGAAACTGCACGAAAAGTGTCCGTCTCCCAGCAGCCCACGCGGTGGGTCCTGGTGAAGGGGAAAGACGAGGGAAGTCCTGGAAAGGACACTCACTCGAAGCGACCGTCGCCGAATATGTGCAGCTGATCCGATGCTGTGGCGTCCACGTTGTACATGCCGTGCACGTCCAGCTTCTCGAAGTCCACCGTCAGCTTGGCGCTCACCGTGGGCACGTCCACGTCCCGGTCCAGGATGTTGAACGTGGAGAGCTGGGAGACTGACACCTGCGTTATTTCGCCCTTGGAACTGTGGGCGGAAGGCAACAAGTGTTAGAGCAGGGCCACAGTTAGGGCTTAACAGTGGATTCCTCGTTCCGAGAGCAATCCAGTGGGGTCACACGTTCGGTTCGCGTCCTGCTGTACAGCGACTCTGGAGGTCAAAACGCGTCCGGAATTCTGACCGCGTCCACCGGTAGTCTTCTGACCCACTGTGGGCTGGGCTGCGAGTTACATTGCGCTGCACTCAGTTAACCAGGATATCACTGCCCTGCCGCCTACGGCCCCAGGATGCCCCAGGATGGCGCGCGAATCCCTCAAGACTACCTCAGTTTTTAAAAGGCCTTTATTTTTCAGTTACAACATACACTCTAACTATGCTAAGTTTTTCTATTTCGAGTTCAGTCTCCTATGACGACAGCGCCGTGCGGGCAGGCAACCCAACGTGCTTCTAGTGGGTCCACAGGGGACTGAAGGGACTGAAGGTCTGAAAAGGGGCAACAATTGCATATTCATCCTCTTCGTCTTCGTTCGAGGCTGTGGGCTCTTCGGCCGGGTCAGGGGGGAGGACCTTACCCCCCGCCCCCTATGGAGAGGGTCAAAGCCATCTGACAGCAGTGAAGCGTGCGGGGTTGGAAGTAATTCGTACATAGTGGGACATCGCTGCCGCCGCCTTGGCCCCGGGATCGCTCCTCGCTCCGCGGTGGCGGTACCCTGCAGGGAGGCGGAGGGAGGCGCACTGGAAGGCACGCATGCCGGCGACAGTGGGGTACTCACTTGAAAAGCGGGTTGGACTGGGTGAGGTCGATGCGCTCGATCTTGAGCGGCTCGGCCGCGGCCTCGATCAGCCTGCGCACCTGCTCCACCAGTTGGTCGATGCTGTCCTCCAGCACGCGCTGCACGTGCCGTTGCACCACGGCGGTCTCCCAGGGCGCCCGCACTAGGCCGCTGGTGGCGCTCTTGGCCTGGGCGCCCTGGGCGCCCCGGCCGCGCCACTGGCCCATCAGGGGGCCGATGCCGGGCACGCCCAGCGCCATCACGCTCTCCAGGGCCTGGTCGAACTTCTGTCGGGCAGACGCCCCCCCGAAGAAGAGCTCCAGGGCCTCTTTCTCTGCAGGGGCAGAGTGGAAATCGTATAAGAGTGTGGTGGTTTGTGACAGGCTCTTCCGGGTTCCAGGTGGTTCTAGGATGAAAAGGGCTGTGGAGTGACGTCCCGCTAAGCGTCGTGCCCATGGAAACGCGGTAGTCAAAATGAGATCACATCCACGTCAAACTGAACCAAATTCTTGATCGAGTTCGCTCCTAGCGGGGTGGTGTTGATTTCATTCTGACTTTTCCGACCTCCCTGAGTAAGACACCGCGTCGTCGGGCACCCCAGCCAGACTTGAGTGTCGCTGACTGTACTTACGCGTCATGGGTTGCGCAGCCTGACCCCCGACGGCCAGGACAGCCAGGGTAGCGAGCAGCAAGGAATGCCTCATGACTGCCGCGAAGCTAGCAGCCACCTGCAACCATCGCCATTTAGTCGACCTCTCCTATTCGCCAGAGACTGCAGGGAAGTCCCTAATGGGAGCCACCATCTTCCTGATGCCGAAGGATCGTTTCGTGGCTCTGTCTCTGTCACACGCATGGGGCGTCCCCTTGCGGAGCGAGAGAGACAGCGACGAAACATCCTTCGGCGTGAGGCGGCATGCGTCGCCCCGACCGGTGCGCTATCGAGCTGCGCGTCGCTGATTCGCGGATTCCCGCTCCCGCTATCACTGCGCGTCACTGCCAAAATACTTGAGCAGAGCGACGAGCACGACTCGCGAAGCACGGTGATTCTGAATCATTCAAACCATTTTAACGCAGCGGCGAGCACTGGCCGTCCTGGGCCTGCCTACCTGTGTCGGTGCGAGCAGCGAAGCGGCTATCCCGCGGTCCGGCAAATGTTGATGTATGCGGGTGAGTACTGAGTACAGTCCGCCAAGCGAGTAGCAACTCCCGGCCCGCACAAGCAGAAAACCCTCGGATAGAAACCCGGTCCGGCTGGGCGGCTCTGCGGCGACGCACTCTACTCGAGCAGCCCGCACTCGAAGAAAGGCAAGACACAGGCGAACCTGCGGCTCTGCTTGCCCTCTTTGTGACAGGCCTGTAATCAGCAATCAGTTCCAAGGAGAGGAGGGAGGAGGACCGTGATGGGCCGCCGTGCTGCAGGTGTCCGCTATCTTTCATTACACACACCTCAAGGCACAGGTCTGGTCAACTGGATGCACCTGAGAACCCCCCTCCCTCCCACCTTTTCCAACAAAAAAAGTCTCAATCTGCTCATCCTCAGGCGTGCACCCAGGATTTTTACGAGGAGAGGGTAATGTAGCGATTTTTGCCTACTTACAAAAGAAGTGCTTGTTGCCTGCCCGACAGGCCCATGTTTTTTTTTTGGTGTGTGTGTGTGGGGGGGTCGCGGGGTATTGATTACCCCCCTACTTCCCTTTAATCAGCACCTAGTCATTTTGGCTGCCCGAGCCGCAGGACCGCAGGCATGTATACATGGAGACACACGGTGTCCTCTGCGGAAGATGAACGGAGTGGTGGCTGCTGCCTCTGTGGACCGGCCTGGGCAGGTGCCGGCCTGGGCAGGAGGCAGGCAGAGGATGCCAGGAAGGCTACAGTCACTCCGAGAGAGAAGGGCCTCGGGGCGTCTCAACACTCGTAGTGTGGAGGAGTCCAGCCGGCAAAACTCACTCACTTTCCCCAAATTGATGATAAATAATAATCCACAAGATCATAATAAGAAGTGCATTTTATTTATAAGATCAGTATTGTCCGAGCACAGGCACTAACTACGGCGATTGATAATTATACAAAAGATCATAATAAGTGCATTTTGTTCATAAGATCAGTATTGTTCGAGCACAGGCACTAACTACAGAGTTAAAATTGGTCCACAATCAATATCAAATTTTGAGTAAAATACTAATGGCACACAGAATCACAGAGGAAAAGCATCACAGAGTAGGTAAAACGTATTGGAATGGGTCATGTTGTACACTGATTGTAACAGCTTGCACTGGCAGTCAATGTAAACATGAACAAGCACTCAAAATGAGTGTTAATACAAAAAAAAAAATACTACAAAAGGTGTAAAGACAGATGTAATAATAACTTTACACCGTGGATGGCACTGGGAAACATCAATCCTGCTGAAACATCACAATATACTCAAGAAAACAAATCAGTGAATAAAAATTAACAAATGAGACCTCCCAGCAGGACAAAAGTTGAAACAATAGCTAAGTTAGCATCAAAAAATTTGCAGCACACTCAGAATAACAGATTCCTTATTTGGGAACAATAATAATAAGGCTGCCTCTTGAGCATCAAATTTTTAAAAACACATTAAAAACAACAACAATTTGTTAAAATGTAAGGGGCAAGGTGCTAGATCATCTACACCACCCTACTGAAGAGAGCTATCATGGATACTAATTTTTTTTCCATGGTATCCTGCATGGAGCCTATCTTATTATGGTTAAATCCTCTGGTCTAACAAGCCAAAAAAATTGACTTGCCATGGTACTGTAAGGACATCAACCACATTACATTCTCATTTTAAAGCAGAACATCTAAAGATGCAACTTCTGTTCCCACACCTGCAAAGAGAGAAACAATAGTTGGTTTGTAAATATATTTTTATATTTAAAAAAAAAAACCCAATCAGTGATCCTTGAGATCATCTGGAAACTTACCGCACATATTACTATTCATGGCCAGGTACAAGTAACCATTGTCACCAAATGCTGTTCCCCACGAGTTACGGACAATGTAGTGTGGGATGGCAGCTGTGCGGTCATACCCAACAATTTGCACAGCATGGTTAATATGGTCTAAAGAACCATCACAATGAAATTGGATCACCCCTCCTAGGTAATGTTGCCATGTCAGGGCGTTTACAGCAACAATGATGGGTCCATGATTAGCAAGCATAGAGACCATAATGTCCTCTCGTCCCACAAGACTGGAAGTGACAAGCAAAATTAATAAGAACACTTTAACTGAATACAAGATATAATCTAAAAATAAGCGGAAGAACTCACCTGCTACAGGTATAACTTGCAATCCTTACGCCTGTTTCTGGTCTGTTCAATAACAAATTTTGTTAATAACCAAGTTCTTATACAAAGAAAAAAGAGAGGAGATTTTGTGTCAAGGGACACCTACCCTTTAAGTGCACATGCGTTGGTTTTCCAGTTCAGTGGATACTGCTTTTCAGGTTCAATGGCAATATTATTTTGCTTGAGCCAATACAGGAGACTGCATGTGTCACCACCATTACATCCAAGATTACCGTAACCGGCACAATCAATTATCTGAAAGTGCAAGAAGTCATGTTACTTTCATTTTAACGAAACTGAATAATTTCAAGGAACAAAGAATCACCTCCTGTACGCTAAGAACTTCAACCGTGCCAGTTTTCATTGCTGCCATTGATTCGATAGTTCCAACAGTGCTGAAGGCCCAGCAGGCTCCACAAGTTTTCTGATTTCGGACAGCACCAACAACACCTTTCGTGCGCCTGAAGTGTAAAAAGAAAAGCAAATAAAGGTCTGGGAATGCAGTTTTAATACAATACGAAGCAAGTAGAGATACTATGTATAAGTTGCATTACCAGTCTACTACATCTGGTAAACCATCAACTGATCTCTTTTTGATGTGATTTATTGTAGATGATTCATTCTTATTAGAGTGATGTCTGTTATGAGAGTGCAATCGTTTATGCAGATGTTTCTGAAGTTTGCGATCAAGAAATTCTTCTCGTGACATATCAGAGAATTCTGTGAGGCCATATCGTGCACTGTCATTTGATGTACGATCTCCATTTAGCTCATCAATGAATCTCAAAGTTTCCTGAAAGACAGAGGAAAGTTCTTGGATTAGAAGTTCAAGGTTTTGCTTGTCTCAGTCATAAACGGAGGTGATAATAGCGTTACATAACACCCAGTGGTGGACGGCTACCTGGAACTTGGCGTATCTGACTTCGAACTCGGTGGCATTGTAAGTTTTATTGAAGCGGTGGACATATGATTTGAAGAGAGACAAATTACTTTGACTGCTTGGCTTATCGAAGCGTATGGGTACTGCCACAAAACACAAACAAATTAAACCGCACGTAAGGGCGACGGTCTTCCAGTCTGTCGCCATCTTCACTGACTGTTTCAATGTTTTTTTTGTTATGCATTATTTTTCATCGTTTTTCGACCAAAATTCTCATACAAATATGGGTAGCAACGTGATTTTTCCGTAAACAAAACAAAAACAACAATATCGTTGACAAGTCAAAGCTGAAACTTTCTGGGATTTGCTGTTTTTAGTTCATTATGGATAAACCTCAGATCATTTCCCACATCGAGAAATCCGTCAATTATTCCCTGTTTGACTGTCGATGGATGCCATGCTCTGCCAAGTTTGTTGTCATGGGATCTTTGCCAAACTCAAGTGGGGTTATTCAACTCTACGAAATTTCTGGAGGAGATTTAAAATTGATAAAGGAGGTATGACTCTTTTCGCCACTCTTTTAATATTATTTTCCCAGTAGGGTATGTCACATGCTCAAATCCTGTTGTTTCAGTTCAAAAGTGATAAAGCTTTCAAGTGTGGTACCTTTGGGGGTTCGAAACTGTCAAGCCGTCTTTTAGCCACTGGAGATTTTGACGGAAGATTACACCTATGGTTTGTAAAAATTCTGTTCATTCTTTTTAAGAGGGATCCGATTCATATCACAATGCCATTCTGAATCATATTTTCATTTATTTGCTTTCAGGGATTTTGAAAAGCCCGATTCTCCTGCCTACTCTTGCAAAGCTCACAAAGAAATAATTAATTGTATTGATGGAGTTGGTGGATTATCAACAGGATGTGGAGCTCCTGAAATAGTGACAGGAAGCCGAGATGGTACATTGGATACAATTGAGTTTTTATAACGTACTCATATCTAGTTCTTTGCAAGAAGCTGAAGTTTAAAATTTTACAGGTTCTGTCAAGGTTTGGGATCCAAGACAGAAAGACAAGCCTGTGGCAGTAATGGAACCAGAAGAAGGCGAAACGAAGCGTGATTGCTGGGCTGTTGGTTTTGGTCAGTCCTGCATTAAAAGAAGCCCTGCAATGTTTCTAATATTTTTGAAAACTAATACATTTTTATTTTTAGGGAATTCCTATAACTCTGAGGAACGTATTGTATGTGCCGGATATGACAATGGTGATATAAAAATGTTTGACCTAAAGACTATGAGCCTAAGATGGGAAACAAACATAAAGAATGGGGTAAGGCTTCTTAAAAAGGGTTCTTTATTTTTGCTTCATAACTTCCAATAGCTTTTCTTTATAGCAGACTTTCTACAGGTATGTTGTCTTGAATTCGACAGAAGAGATATTAAGATAAACAAACTGGTTGCCACAACACTGGAGTCCAAAGTTCTAGTATTTGACATGAGAACTCAACATTCAAAAGATGGATTTCCTCACTTAACTGAAAAGGTAAGATTATTTTCGTTTTGAATGTCCAGCACAGGAATGAGTTATCTAATCATGAGTTGGGATTTTTTCCCTTTTGGACATTTCAGGCTCACAAGTCAACAGTGTGGCTATGCCGTCATTTGCCTCAAAATAGAGAAATTTTCATGACAGGTGGCGGCTCGGGTAGTCTCTGTTTGTGGAAATAGTAAGTAATTTTAATTTAGGTTTTGAAGTAATGTTAATTTTTAACATATTTTGTCAGAACGGAGAAAAGCATGATTCCTTTTTGCTGCTCTTACAAATGAAAAAATTGTTTTAGTAATTGGGCAGTTTATTCATTTTATCTATTAGTGCCTAATATTAAAAAGTTATAACTTTGCAGCAATTACCCAGATAAAAGGACCAAAATGCTGGACGGAGAAGAAGTAGGAGTGATTGGCAATCTCTCATTGCTGCAAAATTCTACATTATCTACCCAACCCATCAGTGGTTTTGACTGGAGTCCCGACAAGCAAGGTCTAGCTGTATGCACATCGTTTGACCAAACTTTCAGAGTATTGATTGTTACCAAGCTTAATTTATTTTGAAGATATACATTCCTGTTGTATATAACTGTTGATGGTTTGACTTGCATTGTTGATGATGTTTGTTTTGAGTTTAAGTTCTATAGTGTCATTTTTGTTGAGACACAGTTAGTTGTGTTTTAAGTAAAGAAACTCTGTGTGTGTCTAAGTCTGACAAAGGAAACAATTTTGTGTATTAAAAAAATCATTAATATGATGTTTAAAATGAAAGTTTTCTTTCATATTAAAGAAGTTTGAGAGCCATAAAATTTTTGCATTGATAAGAACCTAATCAGTCCTTTCTAGCAGCATAAAGATGCGTATCAGTGAGTCTGGGCACAAGCAGAAAAACCAAAGATTCAAAACCCTAAACAATGCTTTATAATTCTCTCCGAATTACATAATGACAATGGTGGCAATATGGAAAAAGTCTCTGAAGTTTGCTAGGTACGCAATGTTCCAAGAAGACGAAGGCTTCTTCTTGAGAACAGAATGCACTGAATAGGTGTACTATACAAGGTGTAATGGTAAGCCTTGTAAAGCACTTTCTACAAGGGCACTCTTGAAACAGGGACCCACATTCTTTTTCATATAACATAGACCTCTGGATCAATTTGACAACCATATATACATATTTTATAAAATATGCACATTCACATTTGTAAAATAAGCGCAATTTCTCATCAAGCAAATATCATATATGTATTTGTCACATACATAAGACCCACTTGGGCTGGGGATAAACGTCAGGACAACCTCTAACAACAGGAAATTGAAAATACTTGATGAATGTCTCGTTCTTGGATACGCAAAAAGGTGAATGGGATGTTACAGAGCACACATTGGTTAAATGCCATGGCATCAATCACTAACAATGGAGTTCATTTTACACATAATTGTATTGATATATTCTTCAAAACTATGACATTAAAAAAAAAAATATACATATCCTAACAAAGACATTCAAAAGTCAGCCTTACGGTTAAAAAGAAAACGAGATAGAAATCAGGTGACTGACTATTGCCTGGAGCATTTTCTCAATGAAACATGAGGTTTCACTAGAGGACTCTGAGCGGAAGTGATATGGCTTCATTTAAGGGGTCTTTTACAAAAAAAGTGGTGTTTTATGTTTTTCTTTTGTAGAAAAGAAACAAAACATAACTCGAATATTTACGTTTGAAAGAACCTTTAATAATTAATTTTTCACACAAATAAGATTTAAGAAGCCTAATTTTGTGTTGAAGGGCTTCCCCAAGTTACCCTCTGTACTACACTCCAGTGGAGTTTGAAAGATGTTTTGACACTTCATATTTTTTAAACATTTTTTTTTATACAAAGAAGAAACACAAAATTTGATGTTCTCTGGCCAGAGAACTTATCTACATTATTTTCAAACCCTTGACAAAAATGTCTAAGAAATTTCCCCCTCCCCCACATTGGCAGAACACGTAAGAGGTCAGGTATGAAGGTTAGCCATTCCTTCAATAACAAAGAGCAACCAGACATTAAAATAGCTATTACTCTAAATCAGTGATTAAAAAAGTTCGCATGTTCTTGTGTGTACCTGAGATAAATCCACATGTAAAGGAATCACTAATCATCTCAAGCGTCTAGGTATAGTTACATTCTCATTATTGTTACACATACAGGCATAAAATCACCTTTCCTTCAGAGATTTTCCAAATATTAGATAGGTAGATACCTTAACTTACACAACAATTTTGTTACTTTATTGACTGAGATGACAGATCAACAATGTACATTATCCACTAAGTTTAATTGTTACAAGGAATTTGGTCGATGGACAGCCGACACAATGCGCAGGTGGGTCGGGTCCGTCAGACAAAGTCAGCCATCGGACTGGTGGGGCTGGTGGGGCTGGGCGGGAGAGGGGCGTTTTAATGCTGCGCGCAGCCGGGCGCAGCCACGAGCGTTGCAGCCGCATGTTGGGCCTGAGGAAAAAGGGCGGGGCTGGGCGGGGCTGGGCGGGGCGGGGCAGGAGGTACACTAAAGGCTCATTGTACTTTTTCAAGTTTGCAGCACCGGACTCCACTCCTTGCACTCCACGACAATCACACAATGTAACAGCAAATAATTTGTATGACTTTTTCTGTCTTGTGTGTGTATCAATTATCACTTGAAAATGAGCTGTGGCTCTTTATTATTGAGCTGTTGCTCTTTATTCGATTGGCTATTCACCTCAAGCTCTGACAGTCTCTGCCACAACTCCTCTCTTTCTTTCTTCCGCTTCACTTCCCTACACAGATTCAATTCAAAAGAAAAAACGAATGTCAGTGAATGCTTAAAGAGTCATTAAGTAAAATCAAGTATGAATTAGATGCTCACCTTTGTCTTTCTGCCTTGTAAGCTGTTGTAAGCTCATCAAAAAGCTTGCTGTTCATCTCCATGAATGACTTGAGCGCATTGTACAAAAGAGCAATGATAGTCTGGTTCCAATGCTCCTTGCTCATACGATAAAGAGACGGAAACACAATCGGCATAATAACTTGATTGTTTTCCTCAATTAAGGACATTATGTATTCATTGTTCCAGAAATACAAAGCTCTCTCTGCCACCTAAGGTTAAAGCATATGCATTAAGAACACATTTCAAGAGAAAAGAAAAAGAAACATTGACAACTGACAAAAAATTGACAATGAAACTTGCCTGAAAGTGATGACTGGCAACACATCTAGAAATTTGTCTGAAGAGAGGTTCTTGGATCTTGACAAACTGCGTTGGTTCGATCACGTCTAAAATCTCTTCAATCTCTCCAAGGAACATCACCTGCACATTTGCATGTGTTAGAATGGATCCATCAACAAAATAGGCAGCACTACTAGAAGACGAGACAGTGTAGAAAAAAAAGTACCTCTTTCTGGCTGCAGGTCTTGGGCCAATACTTGAGCAGTCCCTGAATGACAGGCTCTGTGAGGGTTGGGTCCTTTTCCAAGAACTGTACCACACAGTAGGCCAGCTGTGCATGGTACAGCCCAAGGCACTTCACCTTGTGCAAGGGAATGAGCACTTTGACGAGGAACTGTTTATGTTCCGCCTTCAAGGGTAATGCAAACCCATTGATAATGCTGAAAAATAATTTTGCATGGTTTTAGTGAAGACAGATAGGTTTATTTTTAAATTAATCTAAATTTTGGAAAAAGGGTGTTTACCTTCCAAGAATTTCAAGGAGTTCTCCAACTCCATTGAAATGTTCTGTTTCATAAACAAACCTGAAACAATTAAAACAAAGTTTGAGTTGAGGTCAATCACTTAGATGAACTTGTTTCATTGGTAAGACAAAACTAGCTCAAATGTTACTTAAACATAGTATACCTAAGAAAGATGTTGTTGATCTGTTTGCGTATGAAGGCTCGCAAACCCAAGAATTTTCCATAGATGCGATGTAAGACAGTTTTCAAAAAATCTCTTTCCCTGGGATCTTCACTGTCAAATAAATCCAGCAGCTAATGTGGAAATAAATGTAACAATCAATTAAAAGACAAATACATTATAACCTTATAAGCATTTTGGTATTATACTGACCTGTAGAACAAATTTCTGATCAATGACTTTCTTGCCAATAGCTGGTTGGAAATCAGTGGACTCGAGGAACCTCAAGAAAAACTCATACACAAACTGCAAAACAAAACAAAACAAAACAAAAAAAAAAATACAAATTATTATTTTTTTAAGAAAGAAGTTTACAATGTAATTTATAGAAACATACCTGGAGATGGGGCCATGAAGCCTCTAGCGTAGGGTCATCCTCTTCTGGGTCAAAGTCAGGATTTTCACTTGGTGGCAATGTTCGAAACAAATTTGCTGAGATCTAGAAAGTAATAATAAAATATTAACCAACACAGACATACTAAATAAAGTCATCAAACCTCAACACAGCTGCAATGAGCAGTACCATCTTAATGATCTCAGGGTAGACCGGGTCAGTGAGGACTCCCCGTCCTGAAGTAATGTAGTCCACCAATTCACTAAGCGTATTCCTCTTGACCTCCTTCCCCTTAAGGTCCGTCACCGGGTCCATGAAGTCGAAAGCTACGCAGCACTGCCGCAGCTTCCGAATGAAAAGTTCTTCCTGCTCTGTTGATGGCACATCTGTCAACAAAACGGGAAAGGAGAGCGTTAGTGTAGAAACTACTTGCGGAACACAACCTTGGTGGACCTGCAAAATAGATAAGCCAAATCTAGTACAGTCCGCTGCACCGCCCCGCCCACCCTCTTCCCCCTTTCCCCCCAACGCGCCTCCCGGCCAGCACCTCCTTCCCCTTCCTTCCCCTTCCGGCCGCGTGCCCCGGCGCGGCGGCCCAGGACCCATTTAAAAACCCCCAAAAAAAAAAATTAAAAAAAAAAGGGGGGGTTTTTAAAAAAAAAATTTTTTTTTTTAAATTTTAAAATTTTTTAAAATTTAAAAAAAAAAAAGGGGGGTTTAAAAACCAAAAAATTTTAAAAAAAAAAACCCAAAAAAAGGGGGGTTTTTTTTTTTAAAAAAAAATTTTTTTTTTTAAAAAATTTTTTTTTTTTAAAAAAAGGTTTAAAATTTTTTTTTTGGGCCAAAAAACCCTTTTAAAAAATTTTTTTTTCCCTTTTTTTTTGGGGGGAAATTTTAAAAAAAATTTTTAAAAAAAAAAATTTCCTTAAAAATTTTTTATTTTTAAAAAAAACCCCTTTAAAAAAAAAAAAAGGGGGGAAAACCAAAAAAAATAAAAAAAGGAAAAAAAAAAAAAAAAAAAAAAATTTTTTTTTAAAAAAAAAATTTTTTTTTTTAAAAAAGGAATTCCCGGGCCCCTTACCGGGGGCCCCCCGGGGTTTAAACCCCTTTTTTTTAAAACCCCCAAACTTTTTTTTAAAAAAAAATAAAAAAAAAAATCCCCTTTTTCCCTAAACCCCCAAAAAACCCCTTTTTCCCTTAACCCCCCCCCCCCCCGGGGGAATTTCCCCCAAAAAATTTCCTTTTTTCCCCGGGGGCCCCCCCTTTTTTAAAAAAACCCCCCCCCCCTTTTTTGAAAAAAAAAACCCCCCCCCTTTTTAAAAAAAAAGGGGAAAAAGGTAAATTTTGGGAAAAAATTTTTTAAAAAAAAAACCCCCCCCCCCCCCCCCCCTTTTTTTTCCCCCCCCCCCCCCCCGGGGGAAAATTTTCCCCCCCCCCTTTTTCCCCCCTTTCCCCCGGGCCCCCCCCCCCGGGCCCCCCCCCGGGCCCTTTTTGGGGAAAAAGGTTTTTGGGGGCCCCCCCCCCCCCCCCCCCCAACAAAAAATTTTTTCCCCCCCTTGGGAAGGGGGGGGCCCCCCCGGGGAAAAAAACCCCCTTTGGGGGGGAAGGGGGGTTTTTTCCCCCAAAAACCCCGGGGGGGGGGGAAAAAAAATTTAATTTCCCAAGGGGGGGGGTTTGGAGGTTTTTTTTCCCCCCCAAAAGGGATTTTTGGGGGGGAAAAAAAAAAAAATTAAAAAAAAAGGGGGGGCCCCGGGCCCCCCAACCCCCCCCAAACCCGGTTTTTTTTAAAAGGGGGGGGGGAAAGGAAAAAATTTTTAAAAAAAGGGACGGGGGGTTTTTGGGGGGGGGGGGGGCCCCAAAAAATTTGGGGGCCCAAAAAAAGGGGCCCCCCGGGCTTTTTTTAAAAAAAGGGTAGGGGGGAACCCGGGGACCCCCCCCAAAAAAAAAAAGGGGAAATTGTTTTTTTTTTAAAAAATTTGGGGTTTTTTAACCCGAAACTTAATTTTTTAAAAAAAAAACCCCCTTTTTTTTAAAAAAAAAATTTGGGGGGGTTTTTTTTCCCCCTTTTAAAAACCCCCAAAAAAAAAAGGGGGGAAAAAAAATTTTTTTTGGGGAAAAAAGGGGGGGGGGAAAAAAATTTTTCCCCCAAAAATTTTTTTGGGGGGCCCCCCCCCCAAAAATTCCCAAAAAGGGGTTTTTTAAAAAACCCCCTAAAAATTTTTCCTTGGAAAAAGGTTGTGCCCGTTTAAAAAAAAAATTTTTTTTTTTTTTTAAAAAAAAAAAAAATTTTTTTTAAAAAACCCCCCCTTTTTTTTTTGGGGCCAAACCAATTTTTTTCCTTTTTTCCCCCAACCCTTTTCCAAAAAAAAAAAAAGGGGTTTAAATTTTAAAAAACCCCAAAAACCCTTTTTTTCCAAAACCCAACCCAAATTCCTTTCCCATTTAACCGGGGGGGGGGGGGCCCCCCAAAACCCCCCCCGAAACCCCCCAAAAACCCCGGGCCCCCGGGGCCCCTTACCCCCCGGTGCCCCAACCCCCCCGGGGGGGTTTTTTGGTTTGGGGCCCTCTGGGGGGCCCCCCCCTTGGGGGGCCCGGGCCCCCCGGGGGGGGGGGGGCCCCCAAAAAAAGGGGGCCGGCGGGGGCCCCCCCCGGGGAGGGGGGGGCCCCCCCCCCCCCCTTTTTTTTTCCCCCCTTGGGGGGCCCCCGGGGGGGGGGAAAAAGGGGGCGGAATCACCAGACTGATTCCGAGAGGCTTTTTTCGTCGCTCTGCCCTCGGCTCTGCCTCTCTCGCGCACTCACGGGGCGTCCCGTGCAGGTGCGACAGAGACAGAGCGACGACAGCGACTCTCGGAATGAGTCTGGTGCCGCGGAGCGACAGCGGCGGATTAGGCGCGGCGGCTGCGCGGCGCAGCGGGCGCAGCCCTTCAACGTTTCACCGCGGGGCCGTCGGGCCGCGAGGCACCGGGAGGCACGGGAGGCGCACCTAGAGACCCACAGGGATGAAGGGCTGCAGGGCGCGGCGGGGAGCGGCGGGGCGCGGCGCCGAATCGATTCAGCGCAAGCGAGGCAGCAAGCGAGGCGAGCGCCGGTCCTGGCGCTGGTCCTCGCCGTCCTCGCCGTCCTCGCCCCGGCATGCACACACAGCCACGCCGCGACCTCTTACTGCAGGTCAGGTCAAGACGCCGCGCCGCATCGCCCCCGCGTGCGCCCCGTCAACACGTGGCGACACGAGACGATGATGGGACCGGGCGTTCGAAATAAAGCCCTTCTGACATTGAGAGGGGCAGGGCCAGGCATAGGGCCAGGCGGGGCCGGGCCTGGGAGGGGCAGGGCCGTGCCCCAGAGCTCCCCCAGGGCCGCGAGGCGGGTGTGCGGGGTGCGGCAAGCAGCCCGTTCCGTCCGGGGGAGGGGGCGCGCGGCGTGCGAGGCGGGGAGTGGTGGCGTCACAACGGTATTTTTAGCGCACAACATGGTCGACACGGTCGCACGCGCAGGAGGACGAGGGTCGTACCTTTGCCGCCGCCCCCGCGTCGCCCCGGCCACACCGCGTTGCCCCCCCGGGCCCCCGCGGCGCCCCCCCCCCCCCGGCCCCCGCACGCCCCGCACGCCGCGCAGCACAGCGCCACGGACACCGTCCTCAAAAGGGCCCATAAATAAAAAGCAGGCGGTAGGGGTGATATGTTTACAGCGGGACTTGTTGGAGCCCCGGGGGGGGTGGGGCGGGGCGGGGCGCAGGCGACTGCAGGTCAGCGCGGCGCGGCGGGCGCGGGACGGCGCGGTCGCCCAGGCCAACCCCGGGCCCCACCGCACGGCGCCACGGCGGGGCACCGCTCCCTCGCAGTGACTTGGTCCAGCAAATGGAGCCTCGAGGGGAGAGCGGGCAGAAGCCCCCCACGGGGCACACACCTCATTACCGAGGCCATCGCCTTTCCGGGGGCCCCTCCCCTCCCCCACCCCCCCACCTCCCACCCTTCCTCCCCCTCCTCTCTCTCTTCTCTCTCTCTCTCTCTCTCTCTCTCTCTCTCTCTCTCGCACTCATGGGGCGTCCCGGGGAGGTGCGACAGAGACGGAGCGACGACAGCAGTGCTCAATCAGTCTGAAGGGAGCGCGGGGCGGGCTGGGCGGGCTGCGGCTTCCCCGTCAACACCACCGCAACGCAAAGATCGTCAACGGGGGGATCGCGATGGATCGTGCTCCCGAATGGCGGTTCGGGTCGGTTCCGAACCAAAACCCAAGCGCCGGTTTTGGCCCCAAAACCCTTGACCAGCTTCGAGTCCCGGCGGCGCTATAATGTTTTCGCGATTTTAGAGCTGCAACCGCAACTAAAATTTCACGGCACACTTAAAAAACCGTGGAGATTCCTTTTCAAGAACCTCAAGGGTACCAGAGACCGACAAAAAAGCAGGCCTTTTGCCGGGACTCGAAGCTGGGCCAGTCGCCCGGGCCCGGGGCCCCCGCCCGCCCGGGGTTGGCTCGGGACCGACCCGGGCCGACGTTGGCGAGCACGATCCAACGCGATCCACCCGTTGACGATCTTTGCCGCAACGTCGCCACGAGGCGGGAAAATGAAAAAGGCCCCGTCCGCCGGAACTGCTGTGCGCTCGGCCGCGCCCCCCCCCTCGCGCCCCCCCCGGCCCCCTGGCCCCCCCACAGCAGGCAGGGGGGTGATTCCCCAGCGCGCTTTCGCCGCTCTGTCTCCCTCGCACTCACGAGGCGTCCGGAATGGGTGCGAGGGAGACAGCGCGACGAAAACGACACGCTAAACACGGTTCCTGGTTTTCCCACGAACTCTCTTGAAATTGCCTCTCTCTTTGCCATCGGCTCCCTGGGAAAACCGGGGACCGTTTTTACCGTGGACGCTCGGAATCACTTTGTCGCGGCGCGGCGGTCGCCCGTCCCCTCGCCGGCAGCAAAGGCCAAAACCGGCACATCCCCCACGCATACCGGTCACTCAATAGCGGCCCGCCCGCACGGCAGATGCGGCGCCATGTCACAGCAACCGCAACGCCAAAAGCATTTTGATCGAGCCGGAGCGGTGGGCTGGGGGATGGCCGATATGGCCGGGCCTGCTGGCTCTCCGGCAAATGAAAGCCGCAGACAGCGGCCACGGGGGACGCGACCACCGGGCTCACTCCGAACCGCGATTTGAACGCGCCGTCCTTGTCCGACCCCGCGGCACACCTCGCCACGCCAGTGCGAGAGGGGCAGAGCGACCAAGGCTCTGTTCGCACGCAATCAGCCTCCTGGTCGAACGGTGCGGCCGGCCGCACCGGGAGCTGCGACGCTGCGATCCAGTAATTGAAGTGGCCTTTTGACTTCCTCATCAATCGCCGGCACTGGTCGCCGCTGGCCGCCACTCGGACGGGGGGGACGCCGTCCCATCAAC